CTAGGTTGCTCAATCCTCTTCCCCTCACAGGGGAGTGAGACACTGTCAGCCTTCACCAACAGGGGAATGGTGTCGTGATGGCTTTTCCTTTCCTATTTATGAGATAAAGTGATCGACTGGTAGTCAAACGGAAATTTCTTATCAGATTGCTTCCTAGAATGTGCTCTGCCTTGGGCTCTCTTGTTTATGAGCTATCCTGTTCATGTTTACGAGCTATCCTGTTCATGTTTATGAGCTATCCTGTTCAAGGGGTGATTTCATACTCACAGACCTGACTACGACTTATGCCAAGAGCAGGAGAAGACCGAACCCATTGTGCTGTACAGGAGAAGACCATCCCCAACACTCTGTAGAGGAGAAGACCATCCCCACCAGGCTGTACGTGAGCAGACCATACCCACCACACCAACAACATGCCATAGAAATCGTGGCCTGGGGGAGCCAGCTGAGATGTGGTCAGAGCAGCCAAGCACAATGCACTACATCTGCCCTGGCTTTGCTAATTCAGACTACAAAAATTAATTGCGTAATCCAGCAAACAAATTAGCCCGCTGGAGAAAAAACATCCATAAATCTATTTGAAAACCTCAGCGGGAGCTGTTTGCTGCCAGCTAGGCAGCTGGGACAGTTGGAGTTGCATCATGGAAGGACACATAGGTTGGTCTGGTTTGGTAACCCAGGAAATTTCGGATGGACCAGCCTCAAAGTGCCACATTGCTATCAATTCCGTGGCTGTGGGCAATTTCTCTTGCTCCAGAAGAAGTACGGACTCTATAAAAGATCATCCTGTATAATCCGTTCCGAGAGCAGCTCTCATTTTGGTTTTTAGACAATTAGAGGACTGGTGAGTGAGTTCACAGAGCTGGATGAAAAGTTTATCTTTAATTCTAGCCACGAGCAATATGATAAAGTGACCGGCTGGTTTTGTGGTTAGATATTTGCCTGTCTGATTTCTGCTGCCTAACAGAGCATTGTGTCATGTGGGCTTCATTTTGGGACCTTCTGGGTTTACTACTTTCTCCTTTCGGTCTGGTGTGTGCCACGAGACCTTTGTACCATTCCTGAGACAGATATCATTTCTCACAGTCTTCTCCAATACCTTCTGAGAGTTTTTTCTTATCTCTGAGCAGCCAAAATTGCTGTTATTTACATTCCCTTGAGTTCACATCATCTGGGAAATGGGACGAGTGGTACTGCCTGCTCACAGGCAATGGGCTTGTGTTTCAGTCCCCTAACTCATGCAGAGAGATTGATAAAAAAACACTTAATATTTCTGATTCTGCTTTTGTATGCAGTCCACCAAAGACAAATCCTGGTCAAGATGCGTTCTTTCAGCAAAATGTTTGAGTTTCTCCTTAAGTATGATTAATCTGTCCAAATGCCCTGAATGCCAAGCTTGTTTTCGTGTAATTGTGTACAATCTTTTGTAGCAGAAAATTCAAGTGGTGTGCGCTTGAACCAGAAGTGTTGCAATAAAAATTATTTAACTCTTCTGAAGCAACATAAGCAAGCAGAACAAGTAGGGCTCCACTTCAGCGAACCCTCCAGCCATCTGTCTTGTTTTCTTTTTTTTGTTTGTTTCTGTGGTTCTTTTCAGGAAAGAGCTATAAAAGGAAAGAAATTTTTGCTGGTGATGTCTGAATCCGAGGAAGGAATCCAAGAGTTAAAGCACAACTTGCACTTAGAGGGCAACGTTCATCCCTCCGCTGTCATCGTGGGGCATGCTGCTGGCTCGTGTTCATTCATCGAGTGCTGAAATGTCTCTCCTCAAACCTAAGCTCCTCCATTTTGTGAAAGACACAGACGAGGCTGCTACGCTCTGCAAGATGGAAGGCTGGAGGCAGCTACTGTACCTTTCTGCAGTTCTCCTCATTAACGAAGGAGCAATTGAGGACTCTGTCCCCTAACCAGAGATCCTGACTCAGTCATCCCTATCAATTACATCCAGTGCGTTCGAAGAGGCAGTTGCATGCCAGTCCAAGCTTTGCAGGCCTAAATCTTGGTGTCAGATGAATTCAAGGCAGCTGGCGGGGCAGAGCAGAGGGCTTCCTTCCAGATTTCCAAGCAATTCTCTCTGAAACGGTGGCAGATAGTTTATTCCCTTCCTCTTTGTCTTCTTACAAAATGCCCTGTTTTCTACAAGAAGAGAGGTAGTTGGCAAGTTTTGCTAAACTACTTCTTTTCTTTCTTTCTGCTCATGCTAAAGCTCTGCTAGATTAGATATACGAAATCATTTCAAGTCTTTGCAGGTATTTTCTACTGCTGACCACGAGTTCTGATGGAAACCAGCTAAGACGCATCCAAAAAGTGACAATTTTTTCCTGTGGGCTCCGAGGGAATCAAAGGCAACTGAGCTGAGTGGGAACATCCAGGTGTTGGTATGTAAAGCAGATCTTCAAAGTCAATGACTTCTTGAGTGATTAACAGGCACAGCAGTGTTTGGGGAGTGTTTGGAGTGGTGTTTGGCATCAACCCAGTCTTCTTCAGCAACGTATTCCCTACGTGAGAACCTGCGAGTAACCTGCGAGTAAGAGAAGAAATTTGTGCATAAGGCTGGTACGGAGCAGCTCTCGTGGCTGGAGGCTGTGGTTTTAGCTCAGAAATGTAAGAAAAGAACTTGAAAAGTTATAGATGATGATAAGGGTTGTGGAAAAAGAGCATCTGCTCCTTCAGGGGTGCCTGGTCACGGACCTTTCCCAAGGCTAGAAGGTGTAGTAGGAAAAGAAGGCGGTGATGGGAGCCCACCTGGTCAGACACACTGATTTAGGTGAGAAAGTAGGAATGTTTATGCCACCAGAGCTATCCGAAGGAGGGTTTCTAAGGTGGGAGACGATCACAAGAAGCAGAACTCCCAGTCACACTAATTGGTGGGCTAACGAGCTACCAGCACAGAGGCCAAACCTTGCTGCTGGTAGGATGCGGACCAAGGGGATTGGGAGGGTGCAGAAACTGCAGAGCTCATGGGGGTGTGCAGGGGGAAGGGGGAACAGGAGGATCAAAGAGGGGGGGATAGGGAGAAAAGAGCACGAGAAGGAGGTCCTCGCATCAGCCGTCCTGGCCCAGAGCAGCTGGAGGGAGCAGCTGCTCTTTGCTGCATTTAACAATAACAAACGAAGTCCAAGTACTCCCAAAATGTAGTATTCTAGTTTATTTTTCCTGTCTCGTTTAAAAAAAAAATAAAAATAGAATAACAAATGATACATGTGCAGGAGCATTCGTCTTCCAAAAACAACCCCGTGTCCTTGCAGTCTTACTGAAAGCTGAAAATGCTGGCAGCACGGATAGTTTGCAAGGGTGAGTCTTTTACTTTGACAAATAACTTGCTACTACTGCTTAGAGTCTTTCAGTATAACTTTTCTGGAGTGATAACTCCGATGTTCAGCTTTTAGGTGTTCAGCTTTTAATCTGTCTTGCCTCCTGAAGCTCTAATCGTGGCGTTAACCCCAGGAGAAACGCTTGCTCATTTAAAAACCGTATTCAGTGTTAATTAACGTGAGCATCTTCCTTTTTATCCATGCGTTCCAAGTGGCCCGTGGCTTCAGATGAGACATCTTGTACCAGAAAGTGCAGATTCACAAAAAAGTCCAGTCTGCCAGCTGTGCCAGCCCTTTCCTTGCTGTGTTTGCATTTTCCACCCCTTTCTCGAGCTCCCCTGCTCCTGGATCCTTTGCCCCATCACAAAAATCCCAGTGGCAGCCGCTGGGAGAATTTCCCCTGCAGGAAAGCCCCACTCCTCAGCGGCATGTTTTCCTTTGGTTTATGCCAAGAAAAGGATTTGGTTTTATTTTTATTTTCTATTTTTTTTGCAGCTTTGCAGTGCAGAAGGAGACGAGAAGGAAAGGGGAAAGTCATAAACAAAATATACCGAGACACAGACCCAGTGGAGGCCAAAGACAAGCAAAACCTCATCAGTCACACTAATTCATGGACTGTTATAAAAAAAAAAAAGAAAAGAAACAAACAGCTGAGCTGGGACTTTATGGATACAGGTGCAAATCCAAGGGTCCTTGTACTGGGGGTGCTGGTGGAAGCGTGCAGACTGGTGACGGTGTGTGCAGGGAAGTAAAAAAGGAGGAATAGACAAGAAAAGGTATAAAAGGGGCCAGCTTGGTGGAAAATGGAGCTGGTCTGTTGGGCTTGTCTGCCCCATTTTCTTTTTCTTTTGCCTCCGGTGGCACCTTTTAATCTTATATCTGCCTCCAGGGTCTATGCAGAAGCCCCTGGCTCCCTGGCTGCTCAGGCTTAGCACCCACCAGTGCTGCTTCCCCAGCATTTTGTAGCCTTGTTGGCATCCACACACGGCACTGAAGCTGTTATGTGCTGAACACACGTCCGAAATCATGGTTACATGATCGTGGTTGTACCTCCGACTGCTTTCAGGAGCAGCAACGTCTGCTTAATCCTCTCCTCAGCAGCAGGATGGGGAAAAAGCTAAAAATAACGGAAGGGTTATTTTTATGCTCCGAACCAACCCAAATAATGACCTCACGGCTCTGCTAACTTGTTAGGCCACTCGATCCTCGGGCAATGCGTCTCCAAAACCAGGGCTTGGAGTTACTGCCTATAAATAGCCAGCTTGTTTGTTTGTTTGCTTCCTCAGCTTCTCCGCCAGCTCCAAGAATTCGTTGAGAAAAGCAGCGCGGCGGGCGAGCAAAGCACCCAGACGCCCGGTGCAGGACGTCCCTTGTGAGTACTGATTTTTTCAGGCCAAAGAGAGGAAAAATAAAAACATCCTCGTGGCGAGGACAAGCTGGGAGGCTGCATGACGCCCTCAATCTCATCATAAAGCCGAGCTGAAGCTTAACACCCTCAGCCATCTACAGGCGGGTGAGAAAATCCGTGAAATGAAAACCAACCCGCTCCTAAGCCTGTTTTCCCCCAGCTTTTAGTCCTCTATAATGAGCTGTTTCCTTTGACACCTTAGAGAGGGCAAGGAGAGTTTCCCTGAGCTTCTTACAAGGAGGAAAACGTGGTTTGGTTTGGTTTTTCCAAGCCTTTGCTCTGCACGAGTGTTTTGGAGTAAAGATCTCCTAGATACCATAATTTACAGCTTTCAACAGCAAAAGCAGGCGAGTTTAATTTCACACATTTCAGGGCAGCTTTAAAAGTACCTTGTTACACTTTCTACTATTTTATGAATCCCGTGCAATGCTTTTCACCCCAAGGAAAGTAAAATGGGAAAAAGCCTCCTCTGACAGACATTTATACGCTTCTGGAAGGAGCCACAGAAAGCCGTGCATCCTCCTCATTAAAAAAATAAATAAAGACAAAGTGAGCAATATTATTTTTGCTTTCAGAGAAGTCTCTTGGAGATGTGATTTATGGACAAAGGGATTGCGTCCAAGCCTCTGGCTAGCGATGTTACGGGCTCGTGTTTCAGCACTCATTTCCCCCCAGGATGTACTCCGATTGCATAAATTGAATTTTCCCGGCCCAAATCTGCCAGCTTTCTTGGAGAAAAGGCTGCGGGCGTTCCTCACCGTTGACCTTACACTCTGAGAGCCGAAATTCCCCCAAAACCACGGATCCCAGAGGACAAGACCCAGAGCAACCCCGAGGCAGAAACCCCCTCTGTGGTTTCATCGCTGCCTCCCCATCGCCCTACGTGGAAACGGAGCTGAAATTCCAAAAAAAAACCCCGTCGGAGATCCCCTGCTGAGCCAAGCAGCCCCTCCACCTCTCTCTCATCTCCCGTGGGATTTCTTGGAGGTGAAGTCCTGCCTGATGAAACACGGAGCAAATCCTCTCGTCGAGCCCAGGAGCAGTTTTTGGAAGCCCCTCCAGCCAGGTAGCGCGGATTTCAGAGCCGCAGAGACGCTCACGCCTGCTGAGCCGAGCCAGGGTATTTGTCCGGGCAGGGAAACCAACCCGTTTCCAGGAACTCTGCCGCCTTGCAGCCAGAAATAAAAACTTGCTGATGTCTATCAGTGCGTAAAACCGAACGTGGGCTCCAGGCAGTGCGTTTGGGCTCCTGGCAAAAAATGGTCCCAACTAGGATGCCGAGCGCTGCGTTGTCTTCTTACTTCTTTTTATTCTTTCTCCTCCTCCTTTTCCTCCCTCTCCTACTTTTCCTGCTTCTTCTCCTTCTTCTGCTTCTCCCTTCTCCTCCTGGTTCTCTTTTCTCCTGCTTGTTTCTTCGTTCTTCTTCCCGCTTCCCCTGCTTCTCCTCATATTCCTTCTCCTTTCTCTTTCTCTTCCTTCTCCTCCTCTTCCTCCTTCTCCTTCCCCTTCCCCTTTTCTCTCCTTCTCCTTTCTACTTCTGCTTCTCCCACTTCTTCTCCTTTCTCCTTGTCTTTCTCCTCCTCTTTCTCTTCCTTCTCCTTTCCCCTTCTTCTGCTTCTCCTTCTTGTCCTCCTCCTCCTTCTTCACCTCCTCCTCCTTTCTCTCCTTCTTCTCCTCCTTTTTCTCTTTATTCTTCTTTGTCCTCCTCCTCCTTCTCCTTATTAATCGACGCATTTAACTCTTCAAACTCACCTGCAACACCCGTAGGATCAATTTTTTTTACACCTGTGCACCCCTGGGTGGGAAGCACCGCCAGGTGCGGGTCACACTTTTGCCTCTCCAAACCTGCATTCCTCATTTGCAGCCCTAATTACAGGAAGCCTAATTGTTATTTCTGTACCAGAAAGCCAGCTGCTTCTTTCGCAGAGAGCCTCAGCGGTTTTGGAGCTGCCCTAAGGCAAAGCATTAGCACAGTGATTGCTTCCTGGATAAGGGAACAGTTAAAGTTTTGATGTTGCTTTTTTTTCCAGGGCTCTATTTTAATTTTAATTTAATTTTCTTTTTTTTTTCAGGTGCCTCTTCTAGACACAAAACTAGAGCAGGGATGCTAACCTGACGGGAAATCACTCCACCTGGCAAATCAGATCTTTAAAAACAGTTCCTAGCAACCTTTGGTACTCACCATATGCAAATAAAGCTGATGAACCAAACCCCGAGACATTCCTGGCAGATAAGAGCATTTTGTAATAATCTCACATCCCCGGGGGTTATACGTGCGGCTCGGCGCAGGTTACGCTAGAATTGATAAGAAACGAATGATTCCTGGCTGCATCCCCCCCCCCAAAAAAAAAAAACAAAAGCAGATTTATTGTCGGGCCCTGCGCTATCTTGCTGTTTAAGTAACCGTTTCCGTTGCTTTTAGCTGGAAAATGAACACAAAAGAACATTTTAACCCCATCAGCAGAGGGGTCATCGCTGGAACAAGCAAGTTTTCTCTCTTTGAACCCACTGGACTGGGCTCTACTGGTCTGAATCCAGCTTTTCTTACCCCAAAATCTTCAGTAAAATAGTCAATAATAAAACCCTTACGTAGCCAAGGAGGAAGAAACAAAACTCCAGCAGCAAAAAGTGACCTGACAAGGCAAATTAAAATATTGCCTATTCAAAACTCTCTTAAATTTGCATAGGAACTTGGAAACGAGGCACAGAAGGGGCAGGCACCACCAAAACTAGTCTGTGCTTGCGTCTCTGCGCCGTGACACCGCCGTTTGGGCCACGTTGCACGGTTCTCTGCGTGTCACCGGTGTCTTTAGGAGCCTTGTAGGGTTGTTTTTTTGTCTGGGACTCCCAGAATTTGCAGAACTCATCAGCTATTTCTACCCAACCTTCCCCAAAGCGATGCACGGCATCAGTGGATGATAGCTCAGCCCCAAACTCGTTTCTCAGATGCTAGAAGCAATTGAAAAGACAATTTTTACATCGTTAGCTTGGCCGTGGGATGGCAAAACCCCTTGAAAAATAGAAAAGAGGAGCTCAGCCCCTGGAAATCTCCCTGTCCCATGGCAAGGGATGCTTCAGGATCACTTTGTTGTCTTGCTGCATAGGGCAGGGGCGAGGTGAGAAGGATTTTTAGTGCCATGGGCCAAGGACAGGGCACAAAGACCTCATTTACGAGCCGCAGGGCTTGTTTTTAAAGGCTTACAAAAGCCCTCCCCCAAAATCTGCTGTGATGCTCTCGTGCCCTCCGCGGCTTTCGGATGAACGCTTGCAGAAGTCTCTGCAGGCTGAGGATTTTCCTTACCAAATCCTGGTGTTATTGCCCTCAGCTATTTATTGCCTTGGCTCACGGTGAACTCTAACCTGCTGATTGCTTCACAACGCTCATCAGGTGAAATCTCGGCTGTCCAGAGTACACAGATTAAGTGTGCTCGCTAAAATACGCTCGGAAAGATTTATTGACTTGATGAGCACTTGGGCCACCAACCATGACCCTCTTCTGCTCCGAGGGAGGTTAATGGGGGCTGATGCCTTCTCCTTGGGGGGCAGAGGAGGAGTTTACCTACTCCTCATGAAGGTTTTCTAATCAACCAGGAAAAATTCTCCTTCGAATTGCTCTTCTCGTTGTTGTGTTGGTAGTTGTGTCGTTGTTGTCATCTCCCCTCTTCAACCCTACTTCTGCTTGGTCCATGGAAGGGGAAACGAAGACACACAAAGCCAAAAAGCCCCCAACAAGGATCCTGGGGAGGGTTTGCTGGGAGCAGCACGGTCCCGAACACGCTGTGGGTTGAAATCCCAAGGCAGGAGCTCCGCGCATCTTCCAGGGCCTTGGCTCATGGCTTGGTTTCCAGTTTCAGACCAGCAAACTCCAGCTCCAGCATTTCAGGCTCTGACATCGACATCCCTGGGGTCCCCCCCACCCCAACCAAAGAGAGTTTTGGCTGAGATTTTGGTTTAAGAGAGTTCTGGCATCGCACCCAACTGCGTTCCCTGGGATTTGGGGGGGGGAATTGCATTCCCCCAGGGCACCACATTTCCCCTGATGCATCCGTGATGCATCCCCAAGCTGAATCCTTCCCCATCCCCTACCTGAAGCTGCATCCCCCCCAGATACTGCATTACCTGGGTATTTCTTCCCACCCTGGGCACCCCATCCTCCTGGCCCCATCCTGTTTTTGGGTATTGTATAACCCCTTTGGGTGTTTCATCCCCCCTTTGGGTGTTGCATCCCCCTTTTTGGGTCTTGCATCCACCTTTTTGGGTATTGCAACCCCCTGGGGTAAAGAGGGGTCTCCCCTTTTGGGTATTGCATCCCCTGGGGTAAATCATCTCCCCCCAATATTGCAACCCCACAGATAACCCCTCCTTCGGGTATCGCATCCCCCTGGGGTAACACATCCTCCCTCCCCCTACAGCACCCTTGGGGTACCCCATCCCATCTGCCCGTTTTTGGGTACAGCACCCCCTGGGGTACCCCATCCCCCCCTTTTTGGGTACCACCCCCCCACCTCCGCCCTCGGGTGCCTCCCCCCCTTCCCGGCCCCATTCCCTCGGGCTCGGGGCGGGCGCGTCCCCGCCGGGCTCACCCGAGGCCGAAAGCGAAAGCGAAAGGGGCCGGGCCGGGAAGAGAGGAAGAGAAGGGAAGGGAAGGGCCATGGCCGGCGGCAGCGGCGGGCGGCGGGGCAGCGCCTCGGAGCCCCCGGGGGAGCCCTGAGCCCCCTGCCCGGTGCCGCCGCCCATGGCTCGCCCGCTGCTCTCGCTCCTCTGCGGGGCCGTCGCCCTCCTGCTGCCCTGGATCGCCGGCGAAACCGGTAAGCGAGGCACCCCCGGGGCTCCCGTCCTACCGGCGAGGGGCTCGGGCACCTCCTCGCCTTGCCCGAGCCCCCCCCGTGCTCCCTAGGGGGCACCCATGGGTGCCCGGCTTGCCCTGGTAGCGAGGGAGACGCGCGCTCGGTGCGCGCCCGGGGGCTCCCGGCGTGGCTGCGCTTCGCCCTAAGGCTCCCTGGTTCCTTCCCCTTCCCGGGGTGCCCACGCTGCACCCAAGAGCTCACCCGGCACCCACGGGTCCCCATACAGCACCCACGGGTGCCCACACAGCACCCACGGGTCCCCATACAGCACCCATGGGTGCCCACACTGCACCCACGCTGCCCCCCCATCTCCCCTTACACCCCACCGGGTACCCTCCAGCCCCACTTGGCGCCCACCCCAAATCCCCTCCGACATCCCCAAAGGCTTGGGGACGATTTTAGGACCCCCGGGTGCTGCTCCCCACGGGAGACGGATCCCACGGGGGGATTCCCGTTGGGGGCACGGAGCTGGGGCACAAAACGGGGCTCGGGGCAATTGGTGGGCATCGTCGCCGGACTGGGATCTCGTGGAAATTTGGCATCGCCTCTCCCAAATGGCTTAAAGAAAAACGGTGCCGTGGTGTGAGAGGAGCCAGCGATGCTCAAACCCTGGGGGAAACGCTCGCAGCGGCGCCAAAACCATCCCCGGCACGTGTTAGCCCTGCTCAATTCACTGAAAACTGGGGGGATTCGGAAAGGTTTGCCCGAAAGTGGAAGCGCGGGACGCCCTGCAGAGCTTCGGGGACGGCTTTTCGTGCTCCTTTTATCTGGCTCCTGGCTGCCAAAACAACAACGCCCTGGAAAATGAGTTTATTCCCAGCTCTGAATTGCCCGCGTGTGCAACGCGGCGCTGTAAAACGACGCCGGCAGCGGGCGAAACGCCGGAGAGAGTTTTCCCCGAAGGCAGCACCTCCTGTCCTGGCCCCACGGATGATGCTCGGATGCGGAGCTGCTTGGAGAGGACGTCGGGATCGGGTTTGGGGCAAATTCGGCTGCTTTTCACTCAGTGCTGGATAATTCGGGAGGTGCCGCAGCCACCGCGTCCCGCCGAGCTCACACCAGGTGTCGCACCCCCGGGGCTGCATTTCGCAGGGCAAAGCACAGAAACGCGGGGATATTTGTCAGGAGAAATCTTTTTTTTCTTGCCTTCGGGACGCGGGGAGGGTAAATCCGAGCTTGGCACCGGGGGAAGCTCCAGCACTGGGCTCCCTGCGGCTCTCCTGGCCGCGCGGGGCTGAAGCTTTCGCCTTTTTTTGGCGTGCAGATTTGGAGACCTGAGGATTGTGACTAGTGGGGACAACACCAGACGTGTTCAGTTTTATCTGAATCCCAGTGAAAATTAAATGTCTGCTTATTTTCTTAACACAATCCGTTACCATCGTGCCTGATTTTACCACGGAGCGATTCATCCTCATCAATAAAACACAAACCCACCGGTGGCTCCTCGCTGGGTGTTCCCGTGCTAACACCTCTCCCTCGCACCCACGGGCACGGCTGTTCGATTTCACGTGCTTTGGGGCCCGTTAGCTGCAAAACAGCCAAAAGTTTGACTTATTTCTAGGATTTTGGTGTCTTCCATGGATTCTCTGGTCCCGGACAGAGAGTTGTGAAATTTCTCTTTCCTCTATTTATTTATTTTTTTTGGCTCACGTTCTTTAAAACGTTCGCGGAAAACGGCACCCGCTCTCGTTTGGCTGCTGATTTTTGGAGGAGGTTCAGCCACCACCATGGGAAAGCTTCCCCAGCGGGGATTCTCTGATGGCTGATTGCGGTTGCGCAGCTGGAGGGGGACGGCTCGGCGACTTGGAAATGGGAAATCCGGGCTCCAAAACCCGCCTGGACCCGAGGTGTGCGCCCAGCTCGCTCCCGTGCCATGAGTTTTTGAGCATTTGGGCCGGCAGATTAATGGCAAAAACTCAACCTGAGACGCTGGGAAGGAGCGGGGATCAACAGAAAGCTGCTTTTTGGCCGTGCCGGCGCTTTTGTGAGCTTCTCCTTGAGTAATCCAGGAAAACAGAAGGCAGATGGCTTGTTTCTTGTACGGGGAAAGCAAACTCTGGGAAGCACTGGCTGCACGCCAGTCCCCAGCACTGACCAAAATCCAGGGGGTTTTGTCCAGCTGGAAATCGGAGCCCCCGAAGCTTTTCTCCGGCTGGATTTCCCCCCGTGCGCTCGCTTCGCTTTGGCATTGTTTTGATTTTTTTTTTGGCAGCGGAAGGTCTTTCCACTGATTTTATGGCACCGCTGCAGGTTTATTGCCAGGCCGGCGTCCCGCGGCAGCGCTGCCTCGTTTTCCTCCTGGAAATGTCACCGCTGGCTGAGAACCGACGCGCTCGGCACGTGCCCGGCATCGCTCACGTCCTGGACCTCAGCGATGGTTTCTGCAGCATTTCGGGGTGTCCCAGCACCTGGAGACACAGCACGGAGCTGCCCAAGCACCAAAACGAAGAGAAAAGGGAGAAAAAAAGCAGCCGGGGTGGCTCGGACCACCCCAGGCGCGGCTGGGGCTGTGCCAGGAGATGCTGCGGATACAAACGGGGGCGTTTCAGCCTGAAGTAGCTTTTATTTTTGATTTCCGAGTGATTCAGCTCATCCCTGGCAGTTTGAAGGATGAGGGACACCCGCGGGGCAGCGCCCGAAGCTGCTCTTTGGCTTCTCCCAGGGTGGTGAACCCGTCCTGGCTGCCTGCCCGCTTCCTTTGCCAACACGTGCCGCGGAGCTGCTGCCAGCACGGTGGCGGTGACGGCACGCACCCCGTGCCCCTTGCCCTGGGAACGGGTGGAAATGCCCCAAAAAATGGACCCTGGAGAGGAAGGAAGGCTCGTGCAAGAGGGAGGCCGGGATGGAGTTTGCTCACAAAGCGTTTTTTTTGCTGGTTTTGTGATGGGAATTCCCGTTGTGTTCCCATTCCTTTATCCATTACGCTCCCATCTCCATCGTTCTCCTGTCCCCACCACGTTCCCATTGCTGTTGTCCTCCTGTCCCCATCCCCATCGTGTCCGAATCCTGTCCCCACCCCTGTCCCCATTTTTGTCATGCTCCCAAACCCATTGCGCTCCTGTCCCCATTGCCATCATTCTCCTGTCCCCGTTGTGCTCCCATCTGTCCCCCACTGCCACCACGTTCCCATTCCCATTGCCACCATCCTTCCATCCCCATCCTCCTCCTGTCCCTGTTATTCTCCCATCCCCACCACTGCAATCCCAACCCCGTTGTCCTTGTGCCCCTACCACCACCCCGCTCCTGTCCCTGCCACCCCGCTGCAGCCGCTGGGCACTTGCCAGAGCCACTGGAAAGAGTTTGGACCTCACCTGCAGCCTCAAGTCCTGGTGGCCTTGGGGACATCACCAAAAATTGCTCCAGCCTGGCGTCCCTCCCTGCCAAACGTGCTCCATCCACGCCATGCATCACGTCCCGGCCACGCATCACCCCGTGAAAAAACTTTCTCCATCATGGACAAGGGGAAAGGAAGCGAACTCGTGACGCCCTCTGGCAAAAACCGACCTCAAATCGGAGCTGAAGGGGAAGCACGAGGAGAAGGAAAGCAATAGCTCGGATCCCCACCGTGCCTGGCCACGCGGCGGTCAGATTTTGGCCAGCTTCAGGGTCAGGGGTTGCAGCCAGCAGCGGGGTGACAACCCCGGGAAGCAGCAGGAGGACTGCAGTGGCTTTTTTCTGCTAAAAGCCTTTTTTTTTTCTGCTTGAAGGGACCACAAACATGCCAAAAAAACAGCTATAACTGGGGCACAACCCCCTGCGTTTGTGCCAATGAGGCTCTCCCAGCCCTGGAGCATCACCAATACCCCGCACCCCTTCCCCAGCGGGTCGAGACCCCCCAGTTGGGCACGGCGAGCCCCTCACGCCCCCGTTATCACCTTAATTTTTATTTTTCCCCCCCCGTGACAGTGCGATGCAGCCGCCCCAAGGCCGTGGACAACGCGCACATCGATGCGGGCAACAGCACGCAGCTCCACGCCTGCCTGCGCTACACCTGCAAGCCGGGCTACAAGCGCAAAGCCGGCACCTCCGGCCTCATCCAGTGCGTCCTCCACGACTCCAAACCCGTCTGGACGCCCGCCAGCCTTCAGTGCATCCGTAAGATCTCGCCGGGTGGCTTTGGGGACGCGGTGGATTCGGGGATGGGGTGGAGGAGGATGTGGAGTGGCGGTGGCGCTGACGGCGTCTCCGCGTTGTGTTTTCCCCCAAGGGGACCCGGCTCTACCCCTGCAAACCCCCAGCCCCGAGCTCCCGCCCGTGCTGCCCACCATGAGGACGAGCCAAAGAGGTGAGGAAGGGGCGAACGCGGCCCTACAGGGGGGTGTTTGGGGTTGATTTTGGAAATGAGGAGCCATTTCTGCTCAGAAAGCGCAGCCAGGCGCTGGCATGGGTTGCCCAGGGAGGTGGTGGAGGCCACCGCTGGAAACTGCCCCAAAATTCCAAGGGTTTTTACACCCTTTCCCCAAGCAGGAACCACCGGCGCCGCTCCGACCTCCAGCCCCTCTCCAGCAGCAACACCCGCGCCGCCGGGGGCTGAGGGGCCATCGCCGGAGACGTCCACGGTGCCGGCGACGTCCCCGCTGCTGGAGACGTCTCCGCCAGGAAAAGGGATGGCCCTGGGGACAACCCCGCTGCCTATTGCCCCCGCGGACCACGCTGCAGGTTGGTTCACCTCCCCAAGGGAGACAACCTGCCAGCGGGGCTGCGTTTCACTCACTGCAGGCTCTTTTACCGTTTTGTCACTTTTTTCTCTTCCCTCCAAGCTCCTTTTTTACGCCGTTTCCCCCAGCGTCTTCCCCTTTCCTGGGCTTCCCCAGCTCTGCGGCTAAAATCTCCGTTTCTCTTTTGTTTTTTTGCAGTTTCCGCCCAGATATTGGCCTCTTCCATCGGTAAGCAGCGCTGGGTTGAACAAAAAACCTCATTTTGGCAAGCGTGGGCTCATTTAATTTATATTTTCACCCTAAAAGCCGTGCGAGGTTTGCGCCACGGCCTGGGGGCGATGCCTCCAAGGGGGGGCAGGACGCAGCACCCACATTTCTTCCCCCGCCAGGGTGGGCACCTTGAAAATACGCTGTGAAAAGTTGTGAATAATGTGTTTTGGGCTCAAAAATGGAGCTGTTTTGAGCGGGGCTGTTCCCTCGTTGGGGGTTTCTCATCGCCTGCCTTGTCTTTTCCTACAGGGCTCCCGCTGCTGGTCATCGCCGGCGTCATGGCTTGCTGCTGCTGGAGGATGAAAACGTAAGTGTGCTGAGCCCACGCGCCACCCTCGGTCCCCAAACTTCCCCAAAAAAGCTGGGGGAAAAACCCTTTGGGTGCCGACGATGCCCCTCTCCTGTTTTCAGGAGCAGCCGGCAGGAATACGAGGTGGCGGGGACGGCCATCGCCATGGTGGCTCGCGCCACCGCAGCCGAGGACGATGAGACGGTGCCACCCGGCGTCTTCCCCATGGGCTGAGCACCCACGGCCCGGCCAACTCGGTGTATCTGCCAGCCCGGCCAGCGAGGAGGATGCTCGGGGCTCGGTTGGAAAGTTGGATGCTTCCCCGAGCGGCAGCGGCGCGGGGCAGAGCGTGTCCCCCCCCCAGTCTCCCCGGCTGCCCTGCGCACGGAGCATCCTCGCCCCCCGGGGCCAGGCGGCTGCTTTACCCAGCCTGACCAAGTGACTGTCATGGAAGAGCCAGCTCCGTCGGCTGAAGGTGGGGGGAAAAAATCCCGGTGGGCGAGCCCCGGGGTGGAGGAGGTGGTGGGTGGCCTGAAATAGGGGCCAAAAAGCAGAGGGTGGGCTGGGGGAGTGGGGTGTGAGGGACCGAGGCATCAGGAGCAGGATGCGCCCGTCCTCGCTGCAGATTGGGTTGTTGGTTCCAGTGGAAAATGTTTTGGGGTACAGGGTTTGTGTGCTGGACTTGAAACCAGGCTGCCCTGCCCCAAATCACACACCCCTTCCCTGGCTAATAGGGCCAGCCAGACGCCATCCCTAGAGCTGCTTTAACCCCAAACCGCCCCCAAACCGCTGCAGACCGAGGCGAGCATCCCTCTGCCGTGCTCTGACTCCCTCCTTGCTCTCTTTTCAGCCACCCCCAAGCCATCGACCGCAGCGAGGAGCTCCAGCACCAGCACCAGCACCACCCCGCTGCGGCTCAGGGACCCTCGGACACAGCTCCGGGATCCTTCGGGGGCATTTTCGGCACCGACCCCAGGTGCCCCCCGGCTCCGGCTGCTCGCAGGGGAGCGCAAGCAGGAGCCGTTCACTACAGACACTGCCAAAACCCGAAAGCAACGACACGACGACCCAGGGAGAATTCCCCTTTCGCTTTTTATAAAAACGTGTAAATATTGTATAGAAAAAAAACGCATTACTCGGGTGTCTCGGCCTCCACAATGATGGGGAGAGGGAGCGGGTTTGGGGTGAAATCCCACACTGCAGCCAGGGCTTGCTGCTCAACCCTTCTACGGCCCTATGATCACCCCAAAAGGGCACTGCCGTCCTCTGGAGGCAAAGTTTGGCACAGGGGGCTTCAGCAGGCAGCTGGGCAGCAGGAGGTGTCTCCTAACTCCTGTCCTTTCCTCCTTTTTGTCCCTTTTCCTCGTATTTGTGCGCTCTGCTGTAGGGACTCGTGGCCGAGAGCAAGGCCTCCTGTCCCGGCGCTTCGCTCCCCGTCTCCTCCCCAGTGCCACGGGGAAAATAAACGAGGCTGGAAGGGAGCTCAGGAGGACCCCGGGCACGGCTCGTGGCTCCAGGCTGGTGTCCAGGAGGTCTCAGTTTGTGTGGGTTTTGGTTTTGATGTCTTCGTGGCTCTGGGAGCAGCCGGGGCATCGCCATCCGCCCGCCCTGCTGCGTGCTGGTGCGGCCTCACCTCAGGCACCGTGTGAAGTTTGGGGTGTCACAGTCAAAGAGGGACATAAAAGTATTGGAGAGAGTCCAAAGGAGGGCTACGGGGATGGGGAAGGGTCTGGAGGGGAAGATGGGTGAGGGATGGGTGAGGAACCGTGGGGAGCAGGCCGAGGGGAGGCACGGAGCTGGGACAGGGGAGGGTCAGGCTGTGGGGTTAGGGAAAGGTTCTGCACCCAGAGGTGCTCAGAAAAAGAGGGTGAAGAAACCCCAACTCGGGGTGACTTCGTAACCGAAGGGAAGAGAAAAAGCCTTAAGGCTTCTGTTGTCGGTGCAACAAATTTTATCTCAGCATCTAAAACGCTCTCCAGCTTCTCTCTGATCGTGCGTTAGACTGGAATCGACCCAAAGCAGTTCTTCAGATGCTGCCTCTCCTCCCCTTCGGCAAGAGACGTGAATTCTAGGGAAACCTCTTGGCTGCAAGTAAGGAGAATTCCTTTAATTCAGCTAGGAGCAGCTATGACTGATTTCCTTCTTCCCCACCGATCCAGAGCTGAGAGTGAAACTTCCCCATTAAAGCAGGCTGCAGGAAAAGGTTCCTTTTCTAGGAATAAAAGCTTTCGCTGGGTACTTTTTGGCATCACGTTCCTCTTCTGCTGGGTGAGAAGGATTTTCCCGAGGCGTGATGTGATGGAAGAGCCAGGAAAATCCCAGCAGCTTTGTCACATTTTCCTGGTGACAGAGGAATGGATGGTAATGCTCAAATTAAAAAACCAAAAGCAGTTCTGTCCAGCAGAGTTGACATTGTGAATATTCTTCTGTGCAATGATGCAGGCCATGCTGGCCAGCCCCTGGAGGACAAGGCGGGGCTTGAGAAAAAGTCTTGCACCTCCTTGCAGAGATCCTGGAAGGTTCCTCCTGGAGCTGGTGCAAAATCCTGCTCCCGATATCCACCTGAGAAGGAGCCTGGATGTGAAAACCGGCCGTGTCCTGCACCCAGAATGGCTTCGGGGTGAAGCAAGGGCTCTCGGAGCTGGAAGGCTTCATTACGTTGGGATTTGTTATTCCTGAGGTGCTGGGACGACCAGAGATGTCATCGTTCCAAAATGCTTCCACGCACACGAGTAGCAAAGGTACCCACCTGCATCCCTGCTGTCATCGCTCTGCAAGGGAAAGAGAGAGTTAAGGGGATGCTGAGGCTGGAGGAGCGCAGCCTCTGCTCCCAGCCTCGTCCAGGGATGAGGGAAGACATCAGGGATGTGCCCAAAATATCTCCTGCCACCTCCCTTGCAAAAGAAATCCATTCTGGGGCAGTTTGCTCAACAGCTGCAACCAGATGTCCCCATTCAGGTTTTCTCTGGTGAAGCAGGAGGCTGCCAGCTGGCATCTCCTCCGTAAATGTTCTGTGATTCTACAATCCCACGGTTCTGTGATCTCCTCTCAGAAATATTCCACGATTCTGTGGTTCTGTGATCTCACCCCGGACACGTGCAATGCTGGGGAGCGAATCCTGCCTGCGAGGCTGGGCCCATCTCAGTCAGCTTGCCTTTTTTAGGGTCACATCCCCTGCTGATGGCTTGGAGCCATTTTCTGTCTCTTTTCCCAGCCGTGGAGCTCCACCAGATTCACCTCGTGCCTGCAGATCCTGGCGCTAGGAGAGGCGCTGGGTGAGGACCAACCCCGGAGCCACAAAGTGGAACTGAAACCAAAACTGGGAGCAAAACTCAGGTTGCCACCCTCTCGCCAGTTCACCTACGGCCACTGGCAGGGACAAAGGGTGACCTGCTAATCTCTAGGTGGGTGTTTGACGGCCTCTGCAGGGTAAGAAATGGGCCGTGACACGACAAAAACCCCAAATAGCTCCACCTGAGAGCACAATTAGAAGAGGTGAAGACTTAAGAGACTCTGCAGGAACCTCACCAGCGCCCTGAATCATGCACTGAGGAAGTCGTCCCCAATTAAAAGCCCGAGCTGCGAGCAGAAATAAGGGGCTGAACCACAGGATGCAGCCACGGGGTGTTCCCTGCTGACTTCCACGCAAGCTTAGCTCCAAATTTGTCCCTTGTGACAGCTCGGAGCAGTGACCGAGCGCAGCCACCCCGTGACAGCTTGTGAAGGCTCCTCATTTAAACACACAACCTCAGAGGCCCTCGGAGGGTTTGGCCAAGACCAAGAAGCAGAGAGGAGATGGGAGGAGACGTACGTGAGTCAAAGAAAGCTTCTTCACAGCCAGCCCGGGCTGCAGGGGCTGCCTGCACTCCGGCACAGAACAGGTGACTGCGGCCCCGTCCTCAGCCCTGCTCAACAGCTCCACTCGAAGGAAACGCTCCTAAGGAACAAGAAAAGGGGAAAAACAACATTTTTTAGGGAGCGGAGAGATTGGAACAGATTGTTTATTTATTTTTTTTAACCCCCCTGGGAAGTGACTTGTAATATGGCTTATTAAAAAAAACAAAGAAACAAAAAAACGCCCCAAATCCCAGTGACAAAATAAAATAAAAATAAAAATTGACAACAAAACCAAGCAGAATTCATGGCAGCTTTCAAGGAAGGAAGTGAAAGCTGGAAAAGGAAGGAAGTTGGCAGACAGAAAAGGGAACCTACACGCTTGTGCTGAGATAAGAAGGCAGATTCCTTGGAAGACAACACCCCAAAAAGGACTGTGGAAAAATGCTGCACCACTGCAAGCTGGGGTCTTGCTACCAAAAACACAGTGGGAACTGAGGACAAAAAGCGTCCTCAGCTATTTGTCTGCAACAGCACAACCCAGGAAATCACAATCTACCATCAGCAAGAATCTTAGGACGAGGATGAAGCTCACTTAATGCTCCTCCAGCACACACGGACCCTGCAAATTTTAGGATGAGAGACGAGCAGATTTTATAGGGACTGGGTGCTGGCTCTCTCTTGTCACTTGTTGTCACTTGTAGAACGAATTCCAGACCCCAAACCCTACAGGGACAGTGGGAACTTGCTCTTCCCTGCTGCCTGAGGCTGAGGCACCGCTGCAGCTCCCAGAAAAAGCTTGCAGCGTGCTGCGAAGCGCAGGTCTCGGGGCCCCAAATTCCCTTTTCAAGGAATTGTTTACTTTGGAAAGATTTCGCTTACCCCAGCCAATGCCAAAATCATCTTCAGGGACCCTGACATTAACAAACATTTCTTTGCACGTGTCACCGCCACGTAGAGCAGGTTCCATTCATCCTCAGGATACATGCCTAGATGGGAGGAAAGATAACCGGTGGCTCTAGAAAACATCAATGAACAGCTCTGCCACGCTGGTGCTTCAGCGAGCACTCCTGGAAGGACGCCCCATGCTCTGGGAGAGCACGGGCTCGCAGAGCAGCACCCTCCTGGGTTTGCTGTGCAGTTCTGGGCACCACTAAAAGTGGTTTCACCTCCCCTCGAGGTAGGGACAGGACTCTGCACGCCCAGAGGAGCAGCTACGTTTCTACGAGCAGTTTCTCCACCTCCCCAGGCACAGACTCAGCACTGGGGGAGTTTCTGTGTCATCAGCTGAGCTGGATTTGCTCTGCTGGCTCCTTTCTAATTACTGGGAAGCGAGCTGCTCTCCCAAAGCTTTTCCTTTCTGATGCCGAAAGACAAGAGTGTCTTTCCCAAGCGCGGTCCCTCTGTGTTTCCAGGAGGAAACCACAAGAGCAGCGAGCACCAGCACAGCCCGTGTCACTGCAGCAGCTGAGAGGCACGGCCTCGTAGGACCAGCAGCAGCAGCACATTTTTATTTCCCACTTCCAGGTCAGGATGGGTGCCCCTAGAAGGCGTCCCCTTACCTATCAGGGCGTTTATCATTCTGCCATCGCGAACGGCCTGCGGCACGCTGACAAAGTCGTCTGCAACCAGCACCGTATCAAACTCCAGGCCTTTGGCTTTGTGGACGGTGCCTATCAGGTAATCTGCAAGGAATCAGAGCAAGGAAAAGAAGGGCAAAAATATCAGTCGCCGCAGCCAAAGCGGTGTCTTCATCTCACAAGCCAGAACTGCAGCCCCAGCTCCCGAACAGGAGCGCTCGTTATTTGATGAGTTTTCAGCACGATTGTTTTTTCCTCCCTCCCAGTCCCGTATTTGAGTCAGCGAGTTGCAGGGCAACTCCGACAGGAATCACAAAAAGAGAATAAAGCCCCGGGGCTTTCCATCTGCAGAAAACGCCACATCCTAAGCTTTATTTGCAAAATCGAGCGAAGCCGCCTTAAGCAATCCTTTGGTGGCAGATTTATTGCCCTGAACTCCAGCTGGAGCCCCAAACGCACCCCGAAAGCTGCTGTTCTACCCCTTTTCTCCCTAAAAGGCTGGCTTAACCCAAACGCAGCCTCTGTGCAGAATGAGGTGGATTCAGCACCGAAGCTGGAGTGAAAATGAAACCAACCGAGTTTGTTTCTCTAAGACACGGCTCGGCTTTACCTGCCGCAGCTTCTCGTGACACGTGGCAGCTCTCAATCTTCCGCACCAGCTCAGGGATCCGCTCTTTGTATTTCTCCACTATTGCAATCTTCACTTGCAGCTCCTTGTCATCCACGTGCGTTGCGTAGTCCCTCAGACCGATGAAGCCACCGGTTCCTTCCCATCTTCTGATGAAGGGGTCATTTATGACAAGGTTTGCTGAGGAGAACGTAGGAGAGGACACGTTTGCTTTACAGGCACACATAATAAAAGGCGTTTTTGATTTCTGATCATATTTTGGAGTAAAAAAATCACGCTTGAGGGGAAAAACTGAGCAGGCTGGAAAGGCCCTGATGGGAGTTTCACAGCATGGAGCAGGGACTCAGAGCAGAGGCAGCTCTAGGGCCCTTCCAACCCACGTTATTCCCTCTTTTTACCCAGATGGAGAAGAGTTTTCCAAGTGTCTCGTACTCCAGAACCAGTAATGATATGTATATAATCATTCTCGATGAGCTTGAGGTCTCTTCCAACCTAGAAATTCTGTGATTCTGTGTGTGATTCCCACACCCCTGATCATTTGTTGTTCTCTGCTCCGTCCATAACAAGAAAAACCACACAAATCGCTGCCAAGGCAGAGGGAGATTTTAAATGAATGACTCATTTCCTAAACGATACCCACGAGAGAAAGGGAACCACGTGACAGAAGATTCGACAAACTAGGCTATAGATATAAAAAAAAATAATAAAAAAAAAAACAATCAACAATCAACCAACCAAACAGGAAAAGCCTTTTGACAAATGAAAAATGAAATTAAATCAGAAAACAAAAGGCAAAAAAAAACCCAACCTCTCAGTTTATAGCAGTCTATCGGTCTCTTGCACTCAAGGCATGGCAGAGGGGAACTGCAGAGGGCTGCGTGACACAGACCCCCCAGGTTCTGCCTCTCTGGTATTAACACCAGCCAGGCCACATCGGCCTGAGGAAATATAAAATAAAACACCACGAAGCCTTCCATCGCCCTAGCGAGCACGGAGACATCAGGGCTGCTGGAGGGGAGGCTCCCAGAAAGAAGGCTGAGGAGGTACTCACCTTCCTCCCGCTTATTTGCGGGTTGACTGAGCTTCCAAATATCATAAATTCTGCCCAGGCCAAAATTGGCAAGCCCCTGTGAAAAGAAAACAAAAAAAAAAAAGTCAAAAAAACACAACAATTTGTTTTAAAATACGCAAGTAAAGGTGCTGCCTGGAGTTTCTAGATAAGCCAACAAGGCCCAGTGGTTATTGACGTTAAGAGGAATGAAGGAAACGTGTTGAAGATGCAGAGGGAAAACCATTCCTAGAATTTTCACTAACAAAAAGTTTAACTTTTTGTCCGTTTTACCTTCTAATAGCTGCGCATGGCTTTGTTAAAACAAACTTGAGAAATCTGTTGTGCTGTAAATGCTCCTGCCCTACGGACTTGATGTTGGGAGGAGACTTGATATTGAAAGCAATATTTGCTTTCGGACAGTAAATATTTCCCCCTCCTTGTTTCTCAATTTCTTTTGTCTTGTTCTCTCAAAGGCCTCAGTCTGAACTCACACTTCTCACTCCCCGACAGCTAAAACTGCAAGGAAGAATTTTGCTGCAGGGCAGCCGTCAGTGCAAGCATTTCCTCAATTCCAAAATGCAACTTCCCAATAGAAAGAAAAAAAAAAAAAAGAACTTAAAATATCAGCCTAAAATTCTAAAATTCAGATTTTCACATTTTTTTAGAAATGTGAAATTTTGAAATTTTCAAATTTCACATTTCTAGGTGCAGAGCAACATCTCAGATCAAATCACAGCTATCTGTGTTTCAGAGGCTGAGGATTCTTCTGACGCTTCTGAAATGGGGAGCACTGTTAAAACGTCCCTGCAACATAAGTGTGTGAATTTCTGCAGACTTGCACACATGGGCTCCTGCTTCAGCTACATGGGGGCTTTTTGCAGATGAAAATTCAGGGCAGACCTCAGAACTGCGAAGATTCAGATGAAAATTCAGTGCAGACCTCAGAACTGTGAAGCCACAATGCTCTGAGCTTTCCAGTAAATCTTTCAGAGGTGATATCTCAACCCACAGAGTTTACAAGATCAGAATTTTGCCTGTTTCTAACGAAGACCCTATGAGAATGACTCCAATTTATTCAGTGTTAGATTTATTATCAAATACGTTTACCTTCTAGATGCTGAACTCCTCCAGAAACATCTGGATTGAAGAACATTAAAACACTCAAACTGATGCAGAAATAAAAGTGAAATGGAAGGGACAGAAATCAGAGGAAGGTGAAGCCTCAGCTTAGCTTCCTTGAGGGTTTAATGTTCAGCATTGCTGGAAATCCCAACTCCTCTCACCAGCAAGGCTGGCGAAGCAGCTTACCCAGGCTTTCCTGGGTATATCGAGCCTGGGACCAGCCCACTGCAGGACTGGAAATTAGGAGTGATCACTGCATCTACCAGCCCCAGGGTCACCTCCACCTTCAACCGCTGTCTTTGTCTCACGAGAGAGCTTGAAAAATGTTTCTTCTCTCGGGGCACAGCTTGCCTTTCCTTGCTGGCAGAGCCGAGGAGGGTGTTTATGCTCAGTCTGCAATTAGAGCTGATTTTATTTCCCTAATAGGGGATCACAGTGATGCTGCCAGCAGCCAAAAGCAATTAGCAGCACTCCATCTCATGCAAATAGTCGCAGCGACGTGTTGCAGCCATGTATCTCTCTCCCCTCGCCCTGTCCAGCAGACTGGAGCTGCTGCTGCCTCATTTGAACCCGATGAAATAAGAGGCCACACCGCACAGACAGAGCCTAAAAAGGGAGCCACGCTTGCATGGGTTTGAGGAGCAGCTGCTCCAAATAACCAGGCTTTCTCCTTGAGTGTTAATTTTAAACCTGGGTGCTAAGGACAACAGCGGCCACGCTTATTTCAAGACCTACAGAAGTGTCACTGCTACAGGCCTGGGGACATAAAAGACGCAGTGGCAATTTCTCCTTACCCCAATCACGCGTATTTTAACCTGCCCCTGTCTCCCAGTAAGCTTCACAGCATCCTCGAACACATTAAAATTGCTCCGTGATAGGATTGTTATCTTCCCTTTCACGCTGCCTCTCACATCACCTGCGCAAAGAAATTCCCAGTTAGCCAGGGCAGTTGGAAAGTTGGATATTTAAAAAACAAAGGTTCTCGTAAATCAGGATTAATCCTAAAATGGGCTTTTTAGAGAAAGTCTAGAGGAGGCCACAAGGATGATCAAAGGGCTGGAGCCCTTTTGGAGCAGGGGGGTGAAACTAAATCAGCTTTAAGTCCCTTCTGACCCAAATCATTCTGGGATTCTATGATTCTAAGCTTTGGTAGCTCTGGGACTCGCAGGCATTGAACAGAGGTGACACCGACACAGCTTACCCTCTTGGTTTCCACCCACTAACGTCTTATTCCTGACGCTCTTGCAGACATCCAGAATGGTTGCTCCAACGTAAGCTATTTCAGGACCAAACCTGAAACTCTGCGTGGAAAAGGGAAGGAAACAGAAAGCAGGAAAAGAAGAAGTTGTTATAACCTACAAAAGTATTGCAATATATGAAGTATACAACTTCCACCGACCTTCTGGACAATATTTCTCTTAGAAAAGGCACCAAAATCCCCCCCCAGCCATTCCAGGCTGCCTTGTTTTAATCCAATTCATTCTGCAAAGAGTCCTAAAGGTTCCTCCCTGATGCTAGCTGTGAAAATTGTGTAGCTGCATTGCTAATCAGGCCAAAAAACAATATCCCAATACCCATTTTTCAAGCCACACGCCCTTCCTAGTGACAAGGTGGGATCGCCCCAGTGAGAGGCACGCTGGGTGCAGAGTTTGAAGAGTAAAGCCACTAATCCAGGAGCAGCAAATACTCCACGATGGTGAACTCAAGAAGCCTGGCAGCTAAATGCCTTCTGAAGAAGGGCATGAGACATTTTCCACTGCATTTGGTATCCTACCAGAGAAAAGAGAGCAGCAAATCCTCATCTTACCTGGGTCAGGTAGTAGATGTGGGTGTGAGGCACGGTGTAGAGGGTGTTGACGGCACCTCGGAAGCTGTAGATCTGCTGGTGAGGGTCTCCTACGAGGATTATCCCGCACGCCTGTGAGAGCACAATATCCACGATGGCTGCAGGAAAACATCAGAGCATGAAAGGGGAGCCTGCCCGCAAAGCAAGAGCGGGCTGTGAATTATCGTGTGCCTGTATCAAGGTGAGATCTCTTCCCTCACAACGCACAGCGTTTAAGATGAGATCAGCACAGCTGCAGGAGAAAGCGAGCTGGGGAGCAGCAAAGGGAATTGTGCAAGCTCGCTAGAAGCTCTGCAAGCATCCTCCCACTATTTTAGCCCTGCATCACGCACAGCTGCGAAAGCACAGCCAAATCCTCCCAGTCCCTGTGTCCACAGAGTACATGTGCAGATGGTCTGACGAAGCCTAACAGCTGCTGAAAACACCAAAACATCTTCTGTCCCCCTTCCTGTGTTCCTTGGCACACAATTCAGTCCACCTAGATCCCCTGGGAGAAACAATTCAACCTGTGTTTACAACGGGGAGCTTCCTCATATCTCTGGCAAAGAAAGCCAAGAGTTTTCTGCTACATGGCTCAGTGGTTTGGGCTGGGACAGAGTTAATTTTCCTCCTAGTAGCTGGTTCAGTGCTGCGTTTTGGGGTTAGGATGAGAATAATGCTGATAACACGCCCATGTTTTAGTTGTTGCAGAGCAGTGCTTGCACTGAATCGAGGACTTTCAGCTTCTCCGACTGCCCTGCAAGGAAGCTGAGGATGCACAAGAAGCTGGGAGGAGACAGATCCAGGACAGCTGACCCCAACTGGCCAAAGGGACATTCCGTACAGTAAGATGTCATGCTGAACAATAAAGCTGAGGGGGCTGCTGCTGCTCAGGGACCAAGTGGCCACTGGTTGGTGAGTGGTGAGCAATTAAGTCGTGCATTTCTTTGTCTGTGCAATTTTCATTTCTTTGTCTATGCAAATTTTTGTTGTTGTTGTGCATTTTCTTTTTCTTTTTTCTTTTTCTGTGCAAAGCACTAGGAAAATGGGCTGGATGGCATGTCTGGATGCCCAAAGCTATTAAAAGCTACCGCCCCTCTGCTGCTGCATATGTTCTCCTGAACCCTGCTGCTACTGCAAGCTGCTTTACTCAATTTGCAAGGACCTGGGACCGAGTGAAGGGGCAGTTATAATGTTTAAATGTAGAAATTCTTTAATCGTGCTACTTCTCACACCCACCCTCCTGAGCACACGAACATGCTGCGTGTGAAGGTGCTTGGGAAGGCTGCAGCTCTCCTGCCACCACTCACCTGGGGTGCAGTCCTGTGCTTCATCGACAAAAATGGCATCATAGTCTGAAAGCTGAGGCTTGCTGAGCTGCCAGAGTTTCAAATAACCTGAGAGAAAGAACAAAACACGTCAGTGAGAAGCTCATCTGCTTGTCATGATCTCTTAAAAAAAAAAAAAGCATCTTCTGGCCCTGCCCCTTGTTTGGACATGACATTTAGGAGGATTGCAAAATTCTGTTGCTCCCAGATGTTGCTTGTCCCTCGTTGGCTGCGTGAAGGATGAAATAAAGTAAAAGAGAGCAGCCTGACCACACCGGTGGAAGGCAGCTATGCTGATGACTTAATTGCACAAAGAAGATGACAAGGAAGAAGGTTTTCTCCAGTACAAGCCACCTCTGGCTCTATCTCACAGATGCCAAGAAGAGGAAAAGATGTCAGCAAGAAGCACTCCCTCTGTTAGCACTCATCTGCCCACTGCCTGACACCGAATTTCCATGATTTTGCTGCCTGACACGTCCAGAGTTCCACTAACTCTGAGGCCAAATAGGAAAAGCACAAACCTCCTGCCTTCAGGCCTGATTTGGGCTCCCTGGTGAGCTAGTGGCAGCTGAACAGGAATTTTGCACTTTTTTGCACGTATCTGTTCAGTTTTGTATCACTGCCCTTCACCCGAAGGCTTATTTGACATCTGTACTCTCTTACCATCACAAGTGATCTTGTATTTCTTCTCTACATCTCCGTTCAGGTCCTTCATGTTGCGCCATATCTCTTTTGCTTCTTCCACATTGATCTAGAAAAAGTAAACAGAAAGGTCAGGATAGTTTGCTTTAAGCAGAAAAATAGTCCAGGCAGAGCAGCCCTTGAGATGGCAGAGTAGCTGGTACAGGCAAGCTATCAGCTTGCAGCATTTAAATGCAATCTCCCTCCTGAATCCCTTCCCTCCTTCCAGACAACTTCCTCATTAAACTTCTCCTACTGGCTTAAAATGTAGTTTGTCCATGTCTAATTCTCTGAAGCCTTTCTCCTCCTATTTCTCCTTAGTTTCACTACCAGATAACTTCTCCCCATAGCAGTCTTTTCCAGCAGCAGCCTCCTGAAAAGAACATTTCTTTGGTCCAGCTATTAGGACAGAACGATACAAGACCCCCTGCCTTCTGTACACTTGCACAGACCTTGTGTTTATTTGGGTTTCCCTGCGTGGCTTGCAAGATGTTTAAAGGTATTTAATATTTTGAGGCTTATAATTCATTCCCTGCCAGCAGCAACAACTGCAGATTGGATTTGTGCCAGCTGGGCTGGATCTGATCAGCTGTTTCCAAGTCAGAGCAGAAAGGTTTCTTTTCTCCATGACTCCAGCCCACGTTGTCCACAACACCAGTTCCTTAAGGCTTGTTAGGATGTTTGTACTCCAGATTAGAATGTTTTGCTTTGGCTTTGCATATCGAAATTACAACAGAAATGTTTATCATCTTCACATGCAATGTCACAGTGCAGCCCGACTCTTCTTTCCTCATGGGTACTTACCTCCTTTTCTCGTTGGGTGACAAGTTTTTTCTCTCCGTGGGTGCTTGTGAACCAAATAGGAGTGTGCTCTTCACAGATCTCATCATCTGAAGAGGAAAAGAAGTTTTCGAGGGTCTGCAAGACTGTTTTTCCTCTGATGACCAGAGACTGTCCCTCACGGTTCTGGATGAGGAAGCTCATGTTATAAGCTGTCAGCTTAGACACGTTCAGCTTGCCTTTTTCTTTATAGCTGTGCCACGGACGACAAAAAATAAGAGATGTTGAAACATACACGAAAAGCCTACTGGAAAAGATAGGTCACGTTGCACACTAATACGTAGAGAAGCTGTTTTATATACCCCACTTCAACCTAGTCATGGAACATCTAAAAAATCTGCACCTATTTATCCTCACTGTATTCCTGAAGGAAGCACAAACTCTTTCATTTTATAGATTTTCATAGACAAAACGTCAAGCCAGAGCCATTCCCATCATTCACCCCAGCAATTATGGATTGTTTCCAGAGCCAGGCAGGAGGATTCCTCTCCTCTTTTGTGCCACGGCTCGTTTTCCCTTTTGTCTGCAGCAGAGATGCCCCAAGAGAAGTGCTGGCGGTGCTGGAAACTGAGTCCTTAGAACAACTCGGGTTATAAAATCCCCTTCTCTGCTGAAGAAAAGCTGAGTTTAGAAAATGGGTTTGCCACTGACTCACAAGGCAATTAAGAGTCTTAATTGAGTGAGACAGGTAAAAGTAATCAAGTGCTTCCTGCCATTATTTTTGCTTCCTTGAGTCGTGGATAATTACTTCACAACCAAACCTTCCTTTCCTGCCGTGTATTCCCTTCTCCCCTGGTCTTCAGCAAAGGAATCGAAAATCCCCACTCACTGTTTGCCAACGCTCCCAAATGCTAATGAATGGAAAGTCCTGCACGCCACGTTTCTGGGGAAGACCGATTTTCCCCTCTCCACTACAGCTTTGTTAAACGACACGTAGAGGAAGTTGAGGTCGGCAAACTTCTCCGCGTACTTGGCCAAAGTCGAGGTCTTTCCCGTACCTGGAGAACAGAGGGTAACCAAAAATCATCAACAGGGGTGAACGAACGAACCTGGCCACCTTTTAGCAGCTTTACCTTCCCCCTCCCCTGCTGTCCTAGTGGCACAGCAGGGCTGTTTGTGCAGCTGATGGGAATTTATTCGCCGCCTCAAATGAAATCAGCAGAAGCCGTGGAGCAGAGCGGTTTTGAAAAAAATTACATCCTGCAGCCAAAAAGCTTTTAAAAAAGAAGCATTTTGCTATCCAATATCCTAGAATTCTGAGCACAAGTGAAAATACTGATTCCTTTGAGAGAAAGCTTGGTAAGTGAAATGTTAGAACTGCTCTTTTAAAAGATTTATGGGTTCTTTTCTTTTGGGCGATACAGCCCAGACCACAAAATGAACAGTACTGAAAGTGTATTTCCACCACGTTTCTCGTTTGAATTTGACACAAAATCTTTGGTGGATCCCATAGAGAAGGATCTGGTGCTTCCAAGCTGCGTGTGTAACTTGGCAGAGAACAGGAATGAGCTCTGAGCCCTCAGCGTGGTGTCTTTAAAGGAAACTGCAGGTGAAAGGAGATGGTTTACTTCTCCTTTTCTCTTTAAATAAGCTTCCTTGATTTTTAGAGATTCCCCTTTTCAAACCAGAGTGCAAGTGCAGACGATTTCTTGGCTTGTGTTGCTCCTACAGAGGTGCTAAGTCTGACCAAGTAAGAAGGACTCCGTCCAGTGGCCTGCAGACATTAACACCGTGAACCAGACTCAGCAACACGTGGAAAAAAAGCTTCCTCTGATTTTTGCAGTGATTAAAGGTAAGGCTGATCCCCTGACATCCACCAGACAGAAGAAGCAGGGAGGGAAGGAGCAGAATCAGCGGCTACGCGCTTATTCTTACAGCCTAATTTCTGGCTCTTACCTGCAAATGCCATGATTTTCACCACTTGACCAGGCTCAATTTTGTGATTCAAAATCCTTTGCTGTTCGTGAGTCAGTTTCACTTCGGACAAACTGCTAAAAAATGAAAAGAAAAGAAAACACCAAGGAGCAAAAGGAATTAAGAAGAAAAATCCTACCCCAAAACCAAATTGGCTAACAGCAGAAGGAAACCCACGAGTGGTTTATCCCACCCCACAAGCAGGAATGTGGCACTGAAGACATTGTGCAAATGAGAAAAGCAGCACCTTCCACTGAGAAAGAAAAGCCTGGAGAGTGCAGAACCAAAAAATAAACCTCGTGGAAGGTTATTTAGGAAAAGATCTCCTCGAGGGCCCTGAGCCATGCTTTCAAAATGAATTGGGTACCTTGTCGGCGTAGGCTCATTGAAAACAAACAGCAACTTGTGTTTGGGGTATTTTGTTGCTTTTAGGAGCATGTATCTCAAATTGTTCTCGTATTCTTCAGCGTAGGACATCAATTACCCCTGCCTCACACGGGAGTTGAGAGCTTTGATTAATGTTTAGAAAGGCATTCAGCACTTCCAGCTGGAGTGCAATTGTTTTATTCATAAAGCTCTGAAACCTGTAATCAGCCAACAGCACGAACCAGCTCCTCTCAGGGCCTCCCCCATAGGATGCGTAAGGGCTGAAAGCCTCCTTTAAGTGTCCTTGACATTTCGCAGCCCCCAGGACTTATTTTTTTTTTTATGGAACGAGCAAATTTCTGCTCAGAAAAAAAAAAGACAAAGGAAAGAGTGAAAGGGCTGGGAAACCAAGAAGCAACGAAACCTAACATTTGTTGGGTTTCTTTTTCATTATATGGCCTCTATCAGTGTTGCACCTTCAATCATCAGTGATTTTATAGGGTTTATCTTTGCTGGGAGTCTGTGAGGGATGAAGATATTACTGGGGATGAGGACAAGGAGGCTCAGTGACTCAGATAACTGCAACAGAAGAGGAATCAAGCCTGGTTCTCTGCAGGCCCTGAAACTGTTTCGCTCCTACCTGCCCTTCCTTCCTAGGTAGCAGTGATAATTTATAGCACCTGTATAACAGTTAATAAATAACAGTTATCCAACAAAATCCAGAAAACAGGAGCTGATTCAATATCCTGCAGCTGGTGTCTTCCTTCCTCCAATTCACAAAAAAACAACATTCTTATGAAAAACCCCACATTATTTGCACGACAGTAACATCACCAGCAAGCCAGCCCCCGTTTTGCACGGCTGCAGCTTGCACTTCTAGAGGAACAGGCTGTTAAAATTAAAGCATGAATTCTCTCCTCTTTCCAAGGCCTCTCATCTCAGGGAGATCCATGATTTGGGAAGGCGTTTTGGGGTGATTAAGGCTGTGCAAAATTTCAGTAGCCCTCACTGTGTTCCACCAATACTTTGCCCCATCGGTTAATACAGACTTCTAAATTCAGTAATTTTTCCAGATTTAAGGTTTGCCTCTGTTTTTCCTCTAAGAATTCAGGCAGAAGATGGCAAGGAGTAGAATAAGGTTTTGTAGCAATCCTTAGGAATCTTGGAGTCTTGTCAACTAGGCCTTGCCAGGAGATGTTTGCTCCACATCCAGGGTTCATCATTCCACCAGTGACCTTCTGGGACCACCTACAGCATCATTACCTGGTCCAGAAGTCCTGTCTGCGCTGTGAAGACCATGTTTCCTCTTGTATCATCTGTGGCATAGTTACAGAAGCATTTTCCATCAGATACAAGCAGTAGAAAACATTGTAATGGATCCTGGTAGAAAGGAAAAAAGGGAATCCATCAGTGGGAAATCATCAGGAAGAAATTAAACTTCTGCAGCCACCTGAAAGACGCCAGCATCGTGAATACTTTTCCAGCAAAGTGCCCGCATCTGGTAGGACCCAAACTCTTTTCCAAAGGGAATAAGCCAGCAGCTTTTCTGTTTAAGCTCGCTAGAAAGTTTTCTGCTGCTTGCACTGTGCATCAGGCAGCAAGATCTGAGACAACGCTGGAACAAATTGCAGGAGCAAGGCTCCAGCGAGTGCTTTTGTGAGTTGCAAAAGCCAATATTACTACTTTAAAATGCAGTTAGTGCTAGCTTGAAAAGTGACTGCAAAGGCACTGTGGGGACAGCTCTGTTTGTGGCCTCTCCCTTGCTCCTGATTGGGGTTTGCAAAGTTTGTGTTCCAGGCTCTGTCACAGAAACATGAACTGGGAGCAGAGTCCACAGAACTGGGAGCAGAGTTCACAGAACCCTTGTGTTCCTTGTGTTCTGCCAAACCACCATCAGCAGGAGTCTGGGGCAGCCTGAGAGAGAATCTGGGGCCAGTTTAGACCTCTAAAGTCAAACAATTTCATGAACTGTCACATAATTATTTCATCCAATTGTGCTCCCCCTGAGAATGCTCCGTGGGGCTTTGTTACTGCAGAGAGCAACCCAGAGACTTGCTGGTTTTAAATTAATTTCACTGTCCTATGTCAGGCTTGGCACTACTGTGGTTTAACTCTTTTAGTGCAGCTTTGCTCCTGGGACCTACAAGTTGCCATCCCTGGGCCAGCCTCTAGGACAAATTCCCAGACTTTGGGTCAGACGTTAGGTGACCTGCATGCTCAGACTCACTGGTAGCTCTAGGAGCTGCAGATAGGTCCCGGACAGTCCCTCAAAGCCATTTTTCCTCCTTATAATCACAAATCCAGTGTGGTTTGAAGAGATAATGGCAGAAGAGAGATGGTCATTCATATTTCTCCTGGTGTAGGCTGTTCAAGGAGATGGAGACGGGATGTGGGTGACTTTGACTACTGGTGAGGGACGCCCTCTGTCTGCCACGTCTTCAGCAGCTGTTTGCTCAAGTTAAATGATTTTAGCCAGCAATTAGCAGTCACTGAGAGGCCAACCAAGCACCCTGATAGCCCTGGTTGGTCTCGCATGAGGATGAACTCTGCTGTGTCCAACTCAGGCTGGAGTAGAACTTGCAGAGGGCAACTTACAGAACTGTTGTCTTTTTGGCTATAGATTTGTTTTCCAGTGCAGTTCCTTTCCAGTCTTACACGAATTTATGTGTGTCCTTAATCCTTACCTCACCCTCACTGCAATTCTGAAGCAACCTGTGGGCTCTCACCTGCATTTAGAAGCACCTCTGTGGCCAGAAGGTGCAGAATGGAGACTGCTAAGCACAGGCACTGAGGGCCCAGGGGACCTGTAGTGTCAGGAGTTGGACTCGATGATCCTTCCAACTCGGGACATTCTATGATTCTATGATTCATTTAAGAAGGCAGAAGAGAGTAACTAGTCTCAAGAAAGTACTAAATGCATTGTTTTAACCAATACATATCTAATTCTAAGCAGAAATTCCTACAGTTGCTTTGAAATCTGCTTCTGTCTCTGAAAACAAAGGTATTTTTCTTGAATAAACAAATGGACTTGCAACGTGTTTTTCTTCTGAAAAACAAGTGGACTTTGAAACAGTCCAGGAATCAAAGCAGATCTAAAGGCAACGCTCCCAAACGCTTCCTGCAGAAAGCTGTGGTTGTAGACAATGTTCCTGAGAAACTGCATAAACTGGAGAGCCCCAGCCACCAGGAAGAGAATTGCCCACGAGCATATATTCACTGCGTCCATGACATATTGCCATGCCTTGAAAGGGGCAGTCCAGGCAGGAAGCATCTCTCCACTCCTCACCTGTTTGTGATGGCAATGCCCTTCTCTCTCATCGCATACAGCAGCGTGGCTATGCAGTAAAGTGTCTCGGTCACATCCACGACGGACAGGGCAGAGCAGGGTCTCTGCAGACACGCTATCAGCTTTTGGATATCGCGGACGCCGTCAGAGAAAAGCACCATCGCTGTGATGATGGCCCACACGTGTTCAGGCTGGTACAGAAAACACCAAAGAAGACTAAGCAATAAGTTTTGAGCCTTTAGAGCCGAGTAAACCCTGCTTCAAACTCCAAAACAAAAAATACTTATGCCATGATGAATAGTTAAATTCTCTTCGGTCACCCTGAACAGCACAGAGTAAAACTCCAGAAGGAAAATTTCTAGATGTGAGAGGGCAGATATAACCTCAAAGCACTTTTTGGGGATGAAGGAGAGGAATAACTGTTAAACCTACCCCCGTCCTGCTCTGTAAGTCTGGCAGCGTGTTGGCGATGCAGACTTCAGCCTTGGAGAAGAGGGGATGACTCCTCAGGAGTGGGAGAAACCACGCCGGGATCCACCTTCCTGTTGGTGGGGATGGCAGAGACGTACCTGCACAGAACGGGAGCAGCAGTGTGTGTAAATAAGCATTACCAAGCGAGCTTACAGGAAAATGCCCTCTCCAAAGCAAAACAACATGATTTTTTTTCGCTGGGGATTCGCCTGTCAGGTGCTGGCAGCCCAGCTCGTTACCTGAGCTCTCAGCAAAGAAGAGGAAGAAGGTGGCACTTTTTTTAACTAATTCTATACCACCCCTGGTGATTTCTGCTGTTAAAATAATCCCTCCTTCCTCATATTTCTGTAGATCTACCTGTTTAGAAGACAAACCCGTTTCTCTTCTGGTGATTCACAGGAGAAGACCCAAAGCAAAGAGGCCGGAGGATCTACAGCTACAATGTCAAGCGCTGAAGTGGACTTACCTGATCACCCCCAAAACAGCCCCTCCAGTGCTGCTTTGTTATGGCAAAATCCTGCAAGATCTGCTCCACTGTGCACAGGGCCACGTCCTCCTTCATCAGGTACCGGTGGTACAGCTTCTTCCAGGGAATGAACTGGAATGTGAAACATAAATCACCACCTTTTATCCCAGAGCACCAAAAAAGAGGCTTTTCTGGCAATAAGCTAACCAACGTGATGTCCAAAGAGGACCCCAATTTCAACAAGTCCCTGTAGCCTGATGAAACAGGCACCTAGAACTGAGATGGGGAAGGAAAGAGAGAAGAGCTTGCTCCTCGTAGACTGCTAACATGTCTATAAAAGGCTGTTTTTTCCAGAATTAAGGGAACAAGATGACATCAGTTTGGTTTTAAATCTCCAATTCTTATAGGAATGAAGGTATTTCCAGCACTGTTGTGCAGATCTGCTCTGAGAGGGGTTTCAGACCTTAAAATCCACGTGTCCATGAAGCCCTACACCCTGCTGCTTGGATTTCTTCCGAAAAAAAACGACAGGGTGATGCCTTTTAGGCTGTTACAAAACAAAGAGCAGCCTTGGGAGAGGACTTGAGCACAAGGAGAATTGAGTGCACGTGTTTTCTAAGCATCTTGCTGGCCGTTCAGGCTCAGAGCTTGCGTGCTGTGCTGGGAAAGCAACGAGTGCAGGAGGCATCTTACCTTGTGCACTCGGATTTATCAGAAGAACTTGGCACCCTACAAAAAACGTGGGCTGTGGCCAGTCCCCCACCACTCCGAATGAGGCTGAGACAGCCTTTTTGTACGAGCTGGAGGTTTATAAGTGAAACGCTGAGGTCTTTGCTGCCCCCAAAACAACAGCCAGAGGGTTTGTGATTGTTTGTACTGTGATGGCATTGACTGCAGATGAACCAAGCTCTGTAAAAACAGAGTTAAAGGCCATTCCTGTAAAATTATTTAACTACAACTGACACCACACACGCAGAGACGCACACAGGCTGGGGACTGTGATGGACTCTGGCTGTGAAGGGACATGGCCCGGTCTGTATGCAGAATTTCCTGCATGATCCCTGTCAGGAAACAAACAAACAAAAAAAAAACCTGCACAGAAAAGGGTGAAAGGGGATTTGGGGGAGTTCCACAGGATGTTCTTTCCATGTAAGGGGAGAAAGCATCAAGGAAAGTTACCCCAGTATTGAGATGTCATCTGGGGAGGTATTCGCTGCAGTGCTGAAGGCCAAAAAAAATCCGAAAATTGAATAAGAAAGGATGGAAAGGATGTGGGCATTAGGGAATTAAAGGGACTAGGAGAGACAGACACAGCAGGGAGGCACCTACAGCAACCTGTGAAGCCACAACACTGAGAAAAAAACAGAGCAGCAGAGAAGGACAGGCCCAAAGCAGGGCTTACCAGCGGATCGCTGACCACATCCCTCCAGCAGTGACACACCAGGCTCACGCTCTGAAACAGGTCAGTCACCGGCAGGAAAGCGAAGATGCTCCTCAGGACTTCAGCGGGGAGATCTTCGATGCTTCCCCGAGGCACCTCCCAGCTGCGAGTCCCCAGGAGCCCGTAGTGTGCATCAGGGATGGGCTCCACTTCGTCATCGTCGAGTTCGTGCTCGATTTGGGCACGTTTGGGACGAAGCCCTGGCTTCTGCTCAAGCTCACCCCATAAATTGTGCTCTCTCTTGGGTCTGCCTGCAGCTGCGGAGGACCGAGGCCGTTTTCTGGAGCTTTTCCTGGGAGCAGATACAAAGTCCTCGTCCTCCAGAAAGGAGGATGAATCTCCACCAGCCTCCAGCAAAGTGGAGACGTTGCTGAAAGACTCCTCAGCTTCGAGGAAAACAGGGTCCAGCATCTCTTCCTTCACTCTTTCATTCTTGTCCCCACGTACTTGCTGTGTCTGGGAGATCTTGAAGTAATCCGTGATGCTCTTCTGCTGCCACTGGGCTACAGAAAGAGGAGGAAAAGCATCAGTGAAGCATCAAAAACAGCACAATGCACATTGCTCCTGACCAAACTAAGGAGGAAACCAGAGGCTGTGGAAGGAAATTGTTATTTCCCAGCTCAGAGAGAGATGAATTTATTACAGGTGAAGTCTCCAGCTTCAAGTTGTTTCTCTGGCAGCCTGCGGAAGTCAACAGAACAAGATTCATCTGTCTCACAGGCCACATAACCTGGTGCTGGGAGGAATGGATGAGAAAATGGGTAAGAAAAATTGATTTAAAAAAAAAAAACGGACCTGGACAGGCTGAAGAAGTGGGCCCGGGGGAACCGAATGAGGTTCAACAAGGCCAAGTGCAAGGTGCTGCACTTGGGCCAGGGAAATCCCAGACGTGAGCACAGACTGGGAGAAGAGCTCATTGAGAGCAGCCCCGCAGAGAGGATTTGGGGGTTCTGGGGTTTGGCTGCTGCTCTGCACCAGGAGAAGATCCCAGCACCGAGCCCGTGTTGGGCTGCTTCTATCCCAGGATAAGATATTGAGGCTTTTAAGAGAGAAACATTTTTAAGAGATAAACTTTTCTTACCAGAGACTTCCTGGCGGCAAGGCCAGAAAGCGCTGGAGACCAAAAAGGAAAGCAAAACTCGGGAAGGGAATGCTCTCAGCAGCTTCTCCCTTTTTTCTCTGCCAGCCAGCCTTTGTAGCCCACTGACTAAATTTATCAGCACCAGGAGCATTCCTTCTGTCCTCCTCCTGGTCTGCCACATATCCTGATGCTTCGCTACGAGGAAATTTGGGAATAAAAAGAAATCCCAAGCAGCTCCTGCTGATTTGAACGCGTTTCATTTCGGAATGCTGACGAAGAAATGAATTAAAGAGGTCTCATTTACAAAGTGCTGCCTAAAAACAAGCTGTCCTAGTGATTTCCCAGTCCTGTTTGAACTCACCTCACCTGGCCTTACCCTCCATCAGCAAGAGTCCGACGACGGCTGACCCCAAAACCCTTCTGTGCTACTTTCTGTGCTTTTTCACCCCAAATCCTTTCGGTTTTGGAGGGCTTGCGAGCAACCTACCTTTCCGATGCCTCCTTCCCCGCTGGCTGGGCTGGAGACCCTTGCTGATGTCTCGAAATCTGCTGTGATTTTGGCTCAAGGGCTGCGTCAGTGAGGACAAACCTTCAGCACTCCGCGCGAGGGCTCTGCAGTCTCCAGCCGTGAAGTGTATTTTTTTGCCTCGCTTCACTGTTTTGCCAGCATGCATGGAGGAGAAAAAAAAGGGTTAGAAAAGAGGAAAACACAGTACGGTGGCTGAAGAAGGCTGTGGAAAGGCAAGGAGGCAGCGGGATGCAGAGGGACCCTACAAAGGCCTCGCATCTGTTGCAATCTCCTGGGGCTCCTCTCTTCTCCTTTACGGGGCCAGGCAGCGAGAGGAGGGCAAACACTGATGGAAAAGGCACGAAAGGAAACCGAAAGCACTCGCTGCCCTCGCCCCGGCTTAATTCCTGCTGTGCTGAAGGGGATAAGCTCCCGTGAAACGTTTCTGGCAATCGGCAGCAGGAGCCGAGGGGCAGCAGGTTTCCCCTTTTTTTGTGTTTTTTTTCCTCCTTTTCACCCAATTCGGCCCTGCGGGGCCGAGCTCCCCGCAGTGGGACGACAACGAAAGGTGATGAAGGCCATGAGTGAGGAGAGCAAATGCTTAAAACTGGTGTTTTTTGCTCAAAATCGGACATTTTTAATTGCACAGAGCACAGCAGGACCCCGATCCTCTTCCGAATATCAGCCAGGGAGCTCGGACTCCACACGGCCTCATGAAAGATGGGGGCAAAACCTCTTTTCCCCGAGCCTTGGGCATCAAAACCCCGATGTGACAGGATCACGACGTGAGGCTCGATCCCAGAAGCCCAGGGCTAAAAAACGAGGCCCCTCCGGGCTTCAAATTGACTGCGTTTTTCCCCTTTTCCCCATATTTTTCTGTCGGCACCTCAGCCAAAACAAAGAGCAAAGGGCTCCCTGCTTTTGCCCTTCCCCGAGGCCCCGGTGCTGCCTCACGGCTGTCCCCTCCTCATCCCATAGCTGAGGGACCCCCCTGAGACCCCCCCCCCAAAAAAAACAAAGGGACCTGCTGCAAGGGAGCCCCCCCATTGAGAAGCCCCCTCCTCCCTATTAACCCTATTGCCAAGGACCCTATTGCCACAGACCCTATTGCTAAAGGGTCCCCTATTGCTGAGCCCCCCCCTCATCCTTAAGGGCCGCCCTAATCCCTAAGGACCCCCCTCATCCCCCAAGGGTCCCCCTATCCCCAAGGACCCCCCCAATCCCCAAAGACCCCCCCAATCCCCCCCATCCTCGAGACCCCCAACCCCCAAGATTCCCCCAATTCCCCCCCAATCCCAAAAGCCCCCCCCATCCCCAAGCCCCCCCAAATCCCCCAAAGCCCCCCCCATCCCCAAGAAACCCCCAACATCCCCCAAACACCCCCAGAAATCCCCAAATCCCCCCAAATTCCCCCCAAATCCCCCAAATCCCCCAAATCCCCAACCACCCCCCATTCCCAACCCCCCCATCCCCAAATTCCCCCCCCCCATCCCCAAGGGGACCCCCCCAACCCCAAACTCCCCCCCCAAAACCAGGGACCCCCCCCGTTGCCATGGCAACCCCGGCTCTTCCCCCCCCCCCCCCCAAACCCCTTCCCCGGGCTAGGCCCCGCTCCCCCGTTGCTAGGTGCCCCCCGTTGCCATGGCAACAACTCCGTTGCTAGGGCCGGGTCCCCCCCTCCCCTCCCCAAACTCACTCGCTCCGCACCCCGCGCGCCATCCGCAGGCCAGGCCACGCCCCCCTCCCCCGCCGACCAATCAGAATTCTCGCCCCCGTGGGCGCGGCCCAATAGCGCGGCGCTTCCGGGTTTGGGCCGAGCGGACCGAGAGGAAACCTGTCCGTGACGTCACGGCACCTCAGGAGAGCGCGGGGGGGGGAGGGGCTCCAATAAGACCCCAAATTTGGGTGTTTTGGGGTTTTTTATCAGAAAAAAGGACATTTCTGGCATTTATGATGTCAAGGGAGCCCCCATCGCCCTCATCCTGAGGAAAAATGAACCGTTCCTGGTGTTTTTCTGAGGAAAAAGGGAATTTGGTGACTTTCCTTTTTTGAGGGAAAAGGAAACTTCAAGGTGTGTTTTTCTGAGGAAAAAGGGGTTTTCACTTTTATTTGTTCTTGAGGAAAAGTAAATTTTGAGGTATTTTTTTTTCTGAAGGAATGGTATTTTTTTCTTTCCTGAGGGAGAAGGAAATTTCCGGGTATATTTTCTGAGGAAAAAGGACTTTAAACATTTTTTTTTTTTTTTCTTCTCAAGGAAAGGGAAACTTCGAGGTATTTTTCCTGAGGGGGGAAAAAAAAAATAAAATATTTTTAACTTTTAGATTTTTAACTTTCCTTTTTTCCTGAGGGAAAAGGAAATTTTGAGGTATCTTTTTTTTTTTTTTTTTTTCTGAGGAAAAAGGATTTTAAACTTTTTTTTTTTTCTTGAGGAAAAGGAAAATTTGAGGTATTTTTTTCTGAGGAAAAAGGGCTTTTAACTTCTAGATTTTTAACCTTTATTTTTCCTTGAGGAAAAGGGAATTTCAAGGTCTTTTTTTCCTGAGGAAAAAAGCTTTTTAACTTAGATTTTTTTTAACTTTTATTTTTTCCTTGAAGAACAGAAAAGTTCAAGGTATTCTTCTGAGAGGAACAGGATTCCTTATTTTTATTTTTTCCTGAGGAAAAAAGTAAATTTGAAGGCATCTTTTTCCTGAGGAAAAGGGCTTATTATTATTCTTATTTTTCCTGAGGGAAAACGAACTTTTTGTTTCATTTTATTTATTTATTTATTTTTCCTGGGGGAAAAGGAAATCCTGCTTTCCTTATTTTTTTTTTCCTTTCCCTGATGGAAAAGGAAAGTTTTGGTGTCCCTGCCAAAAGGCCCAGTCTCTGTTTTGGGTTGTTTTTTTTCCTTTTTCTGTGAGGAAAAAGGAACCTTGTGGGTTGCGCTCCTGAAGGAAAACAAAACTTCTGCTTTCCCTGAGGGAAACAGCTGGGAAACCTTGAGTATCCCCAAAGAAAAACGAAATCCCTGCGTCCTATAAAAGCCCCAAATTCTGTTTTTTTTCCCTCTGGGGATAGGGAGGAAACCTCAGCTGCCCCCTGGCAGCCATTTCCCTGAGCAAAACACCTCAGCGAGGGGCTGGCTCGTGGACGAGGGGGCTCTACCCCAGCACCCCCCATCCCTAACCATCCCTTTCCCTGCTTCTTCCAGGTCCCCCAGAGATGACAGAAGAGCCTCGTCTCTTCAAGCTGGCCCAGCGAGGACAACTGGAGCTGCTGAAGGACGCCCTGCGAGGTGGGGACGCCGCCGGGCAGCGCTGCGGCCGCTCGGGGGACACGCTGCTGCACCTCGCCGCCCGCCACGGCCACCTCCACCTCCTGGCCTGGCTGCTGGAGGAGCTGGAGCTGGACATGGAGGTGGCCAACGGTGACTACAAGAGGCCCCTCCACGAAGCCGCCTCCGCCGGCCACGGGGAGTGCGTCTCCTACCTCCTGGCCAAGGGGGCTTGCGTGGATGCCTTGAAAAGGGGAGACTGGTAGGTGGGTGAGGCTGGAGCTGTGTCTGAACGGCTTTGGTTCGCCCAGGAAAGGTGGAGAAGCATCCAGAGGGCAAGGTGCACGAGGAGAAGCTCGGTTTGGAGGAGATTGAGGGCAGCTGGTTTGGGTTTTGGGCGGTCCTCTGTGGAGCCAGGAGTTGGACCTGATCATCCATGCGCATCTCATCCAAGTCGGGCTATTCCACGCTGCCAGGGGTGCAAATCGTGTGATTTAATTCCAGCCCTCTCACTGTTTTCCCCCATTTACCACTGAGGTTGTAAATTACTGCTTCCTTAGCAGATCTGATTCAAACAGATGCACACAAAAGCTTTTATTCTTCCCCCTCTCTCCCATTTGATGGGAATCAATGATACTAATTCACTTTTTTTATGTCCCTTTCCTCTGAAACTGTAATAACAACCACAAAGACTTTTTTTTTAATTGCTTTATTTCCATTTCTTCATCTTGGCTTAAATTTGCTACTGATAAAACAACAGCCCATGACCCAAGAACCAGCTCATTCCTTCAGGGTTTTTTTTTTCTGCCTGCCTTGTGAGTAACACAGCATCAAAATGATGAGTGAATAAGCACTGGGAATAATAATAATAATTAAAAAAAAAAAACAAGGTCTGTTCCACAGGCATGTGATGGGCCTGGCTAATAAAAATCACCACGTACCTGTCGGTTTCTCCTCCTGGGGAAGGAACTTTCTGCCTGCCACCTTGCAAAGAAAAGCAAACGCCTTTCTGAAGCTGAAGCAGCACGAACACAAAGGCGGGGTCCCAGAGCTCGCTAATTAGAGGCTGTGCCAGCATCGAGCTGACATCAGGGGGAGCAGAGGAAGGCAGGGATTTCACGAAATGCACGCGGACATTTCTGCAAGCCTGGCTTCCCGTGGTAGGCCTGCAGCTCTACCCCAGCATCAATGTGTCTGATCTCTTAAAAAATCTCCCTAACTAGAGATTTCACCTCTTTTCTCACCACCTTATCTGGCCTTAAAATTGGAGCATTTATCCCGAGTTGAAGCCAAACCTGTCACTGCTTTTTAGGCTCTTTGTTCAGAGGGAGGAGTTTTCAGGCTGTTTTTCTGAATGGGGATTTTTTTTGATCCTGCTTTATTTTGTCTCTCAGCTGTTGTGTGGGGGTTAGTGAAGACGGGGTGGAGCATCTCGGTGCTGGAGGGCTCTTCCTCGTTTGTGGGGCTTTCTGCCCAACCTGTGCACACCCAGGTGATTAGGCAAAGTTTGTAAATAATTAAAATAGAGACCGCAGCTCACACCTGTGGCCGTTAAACCTTTATCGTTCCTGCCACCCTGCTGGTTAGATAACGTGGCAGTTGAGGAAAACATCTTGGTGCTAGTGAGGCCGGTGGAATTAGTCACTGAAATAGGGTCAAACACAGGAGGTGTGGGCTCAGCACCTCGAGTAACTCACGCTTTGCCTTTGGAGTAAACCCTCAGCCACCACCCACCTCCTTGGTCCCCTGGAGGAGGTGCAGACCCCACAACCTCATTATTTTCCCTCGGGGGAGCTCCCCAGAGGACAGCTAGGAGTGACTACAGGTGCTTCAAACAGCTTCAAACCATCTTTTTATGTTGGAACAAAAGCCACCAGGCTCATACAGCGCTCTCTCTCCCTTTTTAATCCCCTCTCCTCTCGTTTAGGACTCCCTTAATGATGGCCTGCACCAGGCAGAACCTGGAGGTGATCAAAGACCTCGTGGAGCACGGAGCCAACCCGCTGCTGAAGAACAAGGACGGCTGGAACTGCTTCCACATCGCCAGCCGGGAGGGCCACGGGCAGGTCCTGAGCTACCTGCTGGCCGCCTCCCCGAGCAGCTGGGACACGGAGAGCACGACCAGGAGAACTCCTCTGCACACAGCAGGTGAGGGGAGGGAATGGGCTGGAGAACACAAAGCTGCTCTTATTTCCATCCCTGTTTAGCACTGGGAAGCAGAGAGAGCATGTCTTGGTGCAAAAGGATGGAGAAATGGTAAAATTACCGACGTTAAATGGAGGTGAGGTTAATGGTGGGCTCTGGGTGCTCACTGCTCTGAGCTTCTGTTGGCTAGCAGTGCCCTGCTACGTCCGTGCAGGGTTTCACCTCGGGACAGATGCTCATTTTAGCTGCTTTGAGATATATAAATAGCAGGAATAATTAAGCTGAAGGTTTCTTAACGATGTGGCAGAGCTCGTGAGGTTCCAGGCTCGTGAAATTTGTGACGTTCATGAGGCTCACAGGTCCTCGATTCCCATTCCACTGCATTTTGCTTGTCCCCAGAGCACGTTTTTATGGTAAATAACAGCTCTGGTACCTTGGGAGGGCTGCATCCAGGCCAGGAGCATTTTGTGGCCACCCTCCCTCCGTGACAGACCTTTTGGATTTGGTTTGTGGCTTCCTGCCTCGTTCGTTCCATCACAATCTGAGCTCGGGGCAGCGCTGCTCAAAGCCGGGGCTGCCTAAATTCATCTCCCAAGGACTGAAACAAGGATTGACTCTCCGCAAAGACCCCAGGTAGGGCGAGGAGCCCCCTGCTGTGCTGTAATTAATCCACTGGGGGTACGTTGCCCTTTGGTTGTCGTTCCCATTCCATCTCCAGCCCTCAGCAGCCACACGGCGGTGACAATCCCAGCCCTCGGGCACTGGCTGCACCTTTAGTCCTTGGGTTCAACCCAGGCATGAAAAACGGCTGGTTTGTCGTCTGATGTTTTGTGCAGGGTGATAAAGAGCAGCTTGGCTGAGGGAGAAATAAGAAATCCTCGCTTTATCTGCGTTTTCTCCTCTCCCTGCTCCATCCCAAGCCCTCTGTCTCCATGCCTGCAGCAGCAGGCCGGGCGCACGGCCCCCCTCCGCCCTATTTCTTGGGCTGGGGATTTGGGGCTGGGATCAGGAAGCAGGCTGAGGAGCCTCCTTGGGAACACCCGGAGCTTCAAGTCCTTCCTGCTCGCAGCATTTAGGCCGTGGGGGTGCAGGGGGCGGCGGTGTGATGCCACCTGGAGGTATCTCCACCCCTCCGCTTGACTTTCCCCAGGATTTGCAGGATTTGGGTCGCTTTCCAGTCACCTTTAGCCCCTGAACCATCCTCTAATGGAGCAGTGGGAAGGGCTGGAGCTCCTCAAACCTCTGCCCTCAGCTTAATTTTAACCCGGGATCATTCTGGAGGCTGCAGAGCCCAGGAGAGGGCACGGACAAGGGCCGGAGGCGATGCTGGAGCTGCCAGGGGAAATCACGTCAGCCCCTCTGTGAATTTCCATCCCCGGGTGTGGAGATGAGCGTGTTAACCCGTGACCAGTCCAGCTGGCTTCCTGGCACGCTTCTCCCTGCCTAGATGCCGGGTCATTTTCTCCCCAATTTTTCCCTCTGCTTGATTCCTCGGGCTTTGCTGCTTCATATATCCGTAGCCTGAGGCAAGAGAGCGGGGGAGATGTGACGAGAGGAAGCGGAGTGCTGCTGGATCCCAGCACTGCAGCTTTTTTCTCCTCTTTGTTGCTGCTAAAGGATATAATCGTATCGCTTGGGTGGCTTTTGTTTTGTTTTGTGTTTTTTTTTCCAGACAGCTTGGGTGTTTTAAAACCTCCATTTCAGAAATCCTTTTCACAGTGCAGCTCTGCCGAGATCAGGGAGGATGGGAACCCTCACCGGGCTCCCGAGGAGCATCTCTTGTGCTGCCACATCTGAAGGTTACTGCTGCGAGCACGCGTTTGCCAGGGGCTCTTCCTCTGTTGCATGGAGTAAATCACCTGATGTTGCAGCTCTGAGCTTGGCTGGATTATTTTTTCCCTGCAATTTATTTCATTTGTTTTGCAAAACGACCTGCAGGGGAAAAAGAAAAAAAAATTAAAGCTGTCCGTTCATTGCCATAATATGATTTTATTTTTTTAAAAAAGAGGAAGATTTCAGCGTGTGATGCTCAGATCCTCCCCCACCATTGTTGTTTCTCCTCCGAGCTGCGGTCTCGCCGAGGATGCTTCATTAGGATGACGAGATGGGAGCGATGGGGAGCCTGAGGGGCTGAGGAAGGGGGGGGTGGGCAAAGCCATGGGGCTTTTCGGCAGCTCCCGGCTTTGTGTTCTCTCTGCTTCTCCCAGATTTCGCTTCAGGGATTAACGAACCCTTAGCGAGAAACGATCCTTGTGTCAGCTTAATTACACGTGGGCTCTCACGCGGGCAGTCTGCAGGTGGAGGCAGACAGCGCTTTTATGCCTGCCTTTTCCCTGCTTCGTTTCCCTGTTCCCTATCGGAACAGGGGAAAGAGAGGCTGGAGCCCTGGAGGCGATGCTTTAATTACAAACAGAAATCAGCAGCTTTCCCCATGAAGCCTCCTGGACCTCCTCCCTGCACCACGAAGGGTCAGAAACGTGATGATATTCCCCCGTAGGCAGCCGGTGGCGTGAAAACACACATCACCAGCAGTTCCTCTCTCTCTTTTGCAGCGATGCACGGCTGTCGGGACGCAGTGGAGCTGCTCCTGGAGCGGTAAGCGGCCTTCCTCCAGCTCTGAAGGAAGCTCTGCCTCTCCTCTCTTCCCCTGCCTGCCTTCCAGTGCCAGCCACCCGGCCACAAAGAGCGTTTCTGCACTCGAAGCCCAGCTGCACAGCTGCTCCCCAGGCTGTCTCCGTTTCCTCCTGGGTTTTTCACGGCTGCTGCCGGGTCTTTCCGCCGAGCCTGCTCCCTGGCGGGGCTCAGACAGCCTCAGACCTCGTGGTGACATAAAGCCCTGCTTACATAACTCAGCTCTTCCTCCGTGCTGATTCATTCCCAGTTGCCTCCAACGTGTCCGAGGCCCTGCGTTAAGAGAAAAGCTTCCTGGCAGCTCGCTCCGGGCATGCAGCTCCTCCAGGCTTTATTTCCAGGCTGTGGCTCCTGGGAGACTGCCGTGGAGTGGCTTTAAACGAGCCCGTGCCTCACTCCTCCTGAGCCTGGTGCTTTCCTAACCCAATTTGCCTGCTGCCAGAGCTGGAGCAGCTTTCCCTGAGCATCGCAGCTCCCGTTAGCCTACTCATCCTAGCCTGGGTAATTCATGTTTGTGCTTGGCCCAGCATCAACGTAGCCCTGCGATTCGAGCCAGGCTTTCCATTTTAATTCACTCCTCTCTCATTTCAGCAGAGCTCTAACCTCGGTGAGACCTGCAGGCTTTGATTTTGTTTTTTTTTTGTGTGTGTGGCACTGCTTTGTGAGGTTTTCCCCTCTGCCAGCGCGAGGTCTGTGCACACCTTGCTCCTCCCAGAACCATCTGTTCGGGGAAATGGAAATGATCTGCAGAGCCCGAGCGAGCTGCAGCAGCTGAGTACCAGGTCTCTGAGCCCCCAAATCCCCTGCAGGCCCGTGCCCCGAGCTGTAAAACACCGAGGAAAGGTTTATGCGTGGCCTTTGGGGTGGCTTTTTGTCTTTTTCTGGTGCTCTGCTGCCCCGCCAACACGAAGCACCTGGGCCAGGACGGGTTTTAGAACCACTGCTGACTTCTGCCCTCGCTTTTGCCTTCTCTCCCAGGTGCGGGTACGAGCCGGACAGCAGGGACAATTGTGGAGTCACTCCCTTCATGGACGCTCTCCAGCACGGGCACGTCGACATTGCCCGGCTGCTCCTGGAAAAACACGGGGTAGGTGCCAAAAAACCTCGCCTCCCTCCTCCAGGAGGAGCTGAAGCTGCCAGGACAGGCAGGCAGCTCGTAACCAAATCCTAACAAACCGATTCAGGCAAATTCCCGTGGAGGTGAATGCCTCTCCTTTGCACCAGCTCCATTGGTTCTTGGACCACAACAGCAAAGAGCAGACCAGGAGCACAATTTCCAAGAGAAGGGAACGTGGAAACACGTTTTTCAAGGTCATGAAGTGGTGGACATGAGCCCCGTGCATCAACACAGAGCAGCAGAGACATCTTGATGCCCAGGTTGTGTTTGAGTGTGTAGCTAGGTGTTAATTTCAGGAGACGTTTTGGTCCTCATCTTCACTCCTGTGGTCCTTACAGGACAAAGCGTTTGCTTACATTTTTAGTCTCACACTTTAGACAACGAAGATGGAATAGATGATTTGATTTCCTCGTTCCGGAGCCCTGGCTCACAGCCACGGAGCCGGTGCTGGAAGCACTAATGGCAGCATAAAATGGCACTAAAACTTTCTAGGTTTTATAAAAACCTCGAGTCATGCCGAGAGGCTGGAAGATAGCCTCTAAGATGAGCTCGCCGGGTATCACTTCTGTTACCTGTCTTGGGTTTGTGTCTTTGTGGCTGCGTTCAGAGACTTGTGGAAGAGATTTCACGAGGTCCTCCACCCTTCTCCCTCCCTCTACCTGTGTCCAAATTCTCCTCCGCCACCACGGAGGCTGGAGATGGGTCGTTTCGTGCTGCTTTAATGAACTGAAACCCAACGGATGTGCTTTAACTGAAGAGAGTCACCAGATCTGAGACTGGTAACTCTCCCTGAAGGTTTACCCAGGCTGTTCATCACTTCCTCCTCCTCCCCTCCTCTCTTTCAGGCTTGTCCCACAGCCGTGGATGCTCTGGGAGCTCAGGCTCTGCACCGGGCGGCCGTCACAGCGCAGGACGGAGCCATTCGGTTCCTGGTGGCCGAGCTGGGCGTCGGGGTCAATGAGAGAGCGACAGCCCTGCAGCTCACGGCACTGCACTACGCAGCCAAGGTCGGTCTCCTCTCCTCCTTCTTCCCTCTGCACGGTCTTCACCACTCGGTGCACTACCTAAAACAGGCCAGTTTAGGTGTTTCCACTGATGGAGGATTCACGTTCCTGCCTCATCCTCTGTCACAGGCTGCTCCTGGCCACTCCCGTGCCCTGTTTGATGTTTTTTAGACCCTCAGTGAGCGTGGCCAGCTGTCCCTACAGATGTCTGAGCTGTTTTTTCACTACAAATCCTGCTGGTGACTGCTGCTGAGGGCTGGCAAACCATCCCTCCTGGCACGTGCAGTGGAGCAGAGGCGGGTGGCACCAGGGCACGGTTCCCTTTGCCACTTGACCCACATCTCGTGGTGAGAGTTACTCTTCCAATCTGCCCCCTTTGGACCAAAATGTGGTGCTTGGAAGGAGTCCACCCTGCTCATTAATGGGAGCTGGAGGTGTGAACAGCTCACGGGAGAGGAGAGCTCTTCACCAGCGTCTTCTCCCTCTGCAGGGATGGATGAAACACTGCTCAGATTTTTTCTCCTCTTCCTTCAGTCCCACTAATTTGGGTCCTGGGGGCTCGGAAGCTGGACTCTGTGCCAGCAGCTTGCTGTGCAGAGAGAAAAAAAAAGAGGCTGATGAGCTGAGAGCCAGCACCTGTTTGTCCCCGGAGGTCAAATTCACTCTGCCCATGGCCAGATGTGAGAAAAGAGATGTGGAGAGGAGGAGGGAAGCTCTCGGTGCTTATCAGTGTCCTTCACACTGGAGCTGTTTTTGAATTCCAGTCGGAGCTGTTTGAGTTTTCGCCTCCTCTTGTCTCGTGCCCGTGCAAGGAGCTTGGCTGTGGGTCCCGCAACGCTCCCAGGGGATCGGAGGGGATCCTAAAATCCTCCCTGCTGACCGAGAATCCCCCCGGGTGCTCTCTGCCTGAGCTGAGGGGAGGCACAAACCTCCCTGCTCAGCCTCAGGCACGTTAAAACCTCACCAGCCCTAACGTGCAGCACTCAGGGGTCTGTAGTGGGAACGAAGCAGCGTCCCCCTGCCTTGATCCTACAAAAGCATCAATGGCACTTACCGCCAGGGCTGGCAACAGCATTCTCCTCCAGCAGGCCCCAGCCGGGGCGTTTGCTGGCTCCCACAAAGGAAACCTTTCTCCCAGCTTCCCCTCCTCATGCTCCGAGCGACCACGCTGAAAGCCCTTCTGGTTGCCAAGGGTACGTTTAACAGCGAGGCTTTTTTTGGGGACTGTAACGTGCCTTGGAGAAGCTCCCAGCTCTGTTTTGGGGAGAAACCGATGGGTTTCTCTCCCTTCCTGAGGCTCGGTGTCACTTCGTATTTACGGCGTCGTTTGTTTGGCTGGCGGGGTTTCTTTTTTTTCCTCCCTTTTTCTTATTCCTTCGCATTTATAAATACACGAAAACGCTTTCTGCTCCGTTTGCTGCCAAGGCTGCGGCAGCTGAAGCAGCTCCCGGCTCCAGAGGGGGGTGCGCATGGGAGCCTCGAGCAGGGGGGCAAGGAGATCCTACAACAATGGGGGAAGGAGCGGGTAGGGAGCTAAAAATACGGGCTTTCCATTCTCACACCACGCGATAAAGGCTAATTCATTGCATCGAAGAAGGAATCACAAAATAAGGCACATTATTTAGAGGGAGAGGGTTTATTTCAGGAAGGGTGTGAGGGCTGCATCGTGTTTTCCCCCTGAAGCTTTTAAATTCAGCGACTGGCAGAAAAAAAGAGGGGACACGGTGGGTCCCGTCAACAAAGCACGCAGCTCGATGCTGACATTTCCTCCTCTTAACTCTCAATTAGTAAAGTTAAGTCAGGGCTCCGCAGCCAGCTGAAGTTAAAAGCAGTTTAATTACGTTACTGGAGGGGAGGAGAGGAAAAGGTGGGATCGGCTGACAAATTAGGGCACTAATTTGCTATTAAGGAACATCTTTAGGTCTTGTCATGGGGTAATTTGTGCATTAACTCCTCTGTAGCCACTCGCAGAGGGAAAACCTTTTGGGGACACAATCCTCCATCACCACATGGCACAGCCCCGCGCCGTAGCAGGATTTTAAGCACCGTTGGTCTTAATTCACCACTTTTAATTCCAAAATCACTGTTAGAAGTTTGCTCCTGGGATGCCTCTGGGTCAAAACTACTGGCAGGGGAGCGCGTGGATCCGCTGAGCAAGGGCTGGCGGTGCCGGACCGATAACCCCTTGTGCTCCCTCCTGCAGGAAGGACACACGGACACCATCCGGACGCTGCTGTCCCTCGGTGCCGACCTCGAGGCGAAGGACGGGAAGGGTCGCTCCGGTAAGCTGCTTGCTCATCCCCCCTGCATCACAGCACGAGGAACTCCAGAGCTCAGCTGCGTGTATGCAAATGGCTCTTGGTGCAGCCTGACATGTCAAAAACCCTTTTTTAATTTTTTTTTTCTTTTTTTTCAAAAAGGCTCTCGTTTGCCAGCCTTTCTGATGTCTAACCGTGTGTTTGAGCCTGCGCTGGGGCCTTCCCCTTGCGGGAAGAAATTACAACACTCATCTGGGCTTTTCTCTGCCCGGCTGCTTATTTTGCATGAAGCTCTGATCTCTCTGATACCTCTGATATCTCCAAATATCAGTCAAAAATCAAAATTCAGTCAAAACGAGGCAGTTCAGGGCTGATATTTTCAGCCAAATATCATCACCCGATTTCTTCAGCTTGATCAAAGTGCCTGGGAATGGTTCGTGAGCAAATAGTAGCGGAGCTCGAAGGTAAATACAGTTGCTATAGCGATGCAGCGAGCTGGCATTCCCGTGGTGAGACGATGAGGTATCTCTTGCATCAGCATCTCTCTCAAAAAAAAAGAAAAAAAAAAAAGTGTATACACACGGTTTCGGCCATTGCCAAAATTGGCAACTTCCCCAGCCTTCAGTTTGGTTAACAACACGCCTCGGTGGTGAGCGGGAGCAGCCTTGCATCTCTCCCTCCACCCCCTCAGAGTAAATTCGAGCTTTGCTGGCCTCCCTCCGCCCCCTCAGAGCGTAAATTGGAGCTCTGCAGCGGGACCTGACCCCCCTCAGCATCACAATTTTGCCCCTGAGCAGGATTAGGCCCTGGAGAACAAGGCTGGAACGCACGCACGAGGTCATTTCCCTCCCTGCTCGCCTCCAAACTGAATTTGGTGGCCTCTCGGTTCCTCCTTGACATCTTTTTTTTCCCCCCTAACAGCCCTACACGCGGCGTGTGGCGGGCAACACGCGGCCGCCAGCGCGGATCCTGCTCGGCGCCGGGCTGCGGGACGGCCCGGATGGTGCGGGCACCTTGGCACGGCAGCTGGCGAGGAAGCCCGAAATCATCCAGGTTTTCCAAGAAAAAGATGTCAGCGCGTGAGGAGAAAAAGAAAAAGGAAGAAAAGAGAAGGAAAACCCTTTAATTTCAGCGTGGTTCGTTAGCTGTCGCTTAATGACGGCTCTGATGGTGGGATTTTTGGCCAAGGGGTGAGCAGAGAAACCACTCCTGGACATCCTGAAGGACGAGATCACAGCTGGGTCATTTTTACATCCCTTAGGGATGTGTTCTCTGCAAACCTGTTGCGCTGCTGTAAGTGATCAGAGGGAAAAAGATGGGAAAAAGAGGTAAAAAGATGGAAAAAAGAGGTAAAAAGAGGGAAAAAAGAGGGAAAAAGAGGGAAAAAGAGGTAAAAAGAGGGGAAAAAGAGGGAAAAGGAGGGATTTGTTATTCCAATTCCTCCTGCAGCTTCCCACCAGCAAGGAAACAACTTTTCTCTTTGAAAGGCAGAAGGAAATGGCTTCAGATTTAATGTAACCACTGAGTTTTAGTTTGGAACACACAAAAATAGGAGCTACTGTAGCTGCTGGGCTTGTTTGTATCTACCTGGACTTCAAAATGGGGTTTTGTAGGGAAACAAAGCTTGCGCGGGATGTCAACATGTAACAAGGGGTTGTATCGGCAGCTCCGCTGCCAGCAGGTGATAAAATGGCTCTAAAAAATAAAAATAAAGCTGGCCTGGGTGAGAAAAATCGCTTTTACAGGAAAAAAATGTCACGGGGGGCTGGGAGGAGGGGGAGAAGCAGAGCTCGGGGCTGTCCCAAGGCTTTTTGGGGCACGTCTCGGGGCCAGCCTTTCCCTGGTGTTTTTCTCTGAAATGAAGGAGATTTTTCACCCCATAAAAAAACCCACTTTAAGGGTGTGCTGCGCAGGGGCGAAGAGGAGAAAACCCCACAAAATGCCTCAAACCCGCCCAAACTTCCCCAAAACTCCTGCTCCTCGTGCTGAGACCCTACAGCAGCTGTAGGGCAGGGCTGCGCCCTGGGGGAGCTCCAGGGGAGGAGAAAGGGGGGACCTATGGGGTCGCCAAGTGTGCAAGGCCCTTGCACGGGGGCTGCTGAGTGTGCACGCGCCTTGCACGAGGGTTCTTGGGTGTGCACGTGCCTTGCACGGGGGCTGCTGAGTGTGCACACACCTTGCACAGGGGCTGCTGAGTGTGCAAGGCCCTTGCACAAGGGCTGCTGTGTGTGCACATGCCTTGCACGAGGGTTCTTGGGTGTGCACGCGCCTTGCACGGGGGCTGCTGAGTGTGCAAGGCCTTTGCACAAGGGTTGCTGAGTGTGCAAGGCCCTTGCACAGGAACTGGTGAGTGTGCACGTGCCTTGCACGAGGGCCATTGGGTGTGCACACGCCTTGCACACGCACGTGCCCCTTGCACGCGCGCCTTGCACGCGCAGTCACGTGCCCCCTCCCCACGTGACCCCCCCCTTCCTCCTCCTCGGATGGGGGGGGGGGGGTTTGAAAACGCTCCGCGCATGCGCGCGCCCACCCGGCGGCTCCCCCGCCGCCCTTCCCGCCCATTTCCCCGCCGCGCCCGCCGCCAGCCAATAGCGGCGCGGCTCCGCCCTTGATTGACAGCCGCCGGGGGGCGGGGCTGAGGCGGGTTCGTGAGGCGACGGAGCCCGCCCCTCCTCCCCCCCCTCCCCCCCCCTCCCTTTCCCTCCCTCCCTCCCCGTCTCCATTTTCTCGCCCCGTTCCCTCAGCCCCGGCTCCTCCGCCTCCGGCCCGGCCCCAGCGAGCCCCAGCACGGCCCCGCCGCCCGCTCAGCCGCCGCCATGAACGAGGAGTACGACGTGATCGTGCTGGGCACCGGCCTGACGGTGAGAGCAGCGCCCGACGCCGCCCCGAGGCCTGAGGCGGCCGCCGCCCCGCCGGGCCCCGCCGCGCCTCACGGGGCCCCCCTCGGGCTTCACTCGCTTCCCGATGCTCCCCCCTCGGTTTTTTTTCCTCAAGAATCCCGCCGGATTACAGCCCCCCCCGGCTCCTTTCCGCAATAATCCCGCCGGATTACAGCCCCCCCTGGGTCATTTCATCAATAATCTCCTCATTTTATAGCTTCCCCTCCCTCAATAATCCCGCCGGATTATCTCTGCCCCCCCCTCCCCAATAATATCCCGTATTATCAGCCCTCTAATAATCTCATCGGGTTATCGCAGCCCCCTCCCCATGCCTTTCCTCAGCAATATCCATGGATTACAGCCCCCCAGCCCTCGTCCTTTCACCAATAATCCCCTCAGATTATCACCCCCCCCCAATCCCCACGGGTTATCACACCCCCTCTATTCCTTTCCCCCATAATCTCCCCCAGGTTATCACCATCCCCTAATAATCTCCCCATTTTATCCCTTTTACTTTCCCTAATCTCCCCGGGTTATCACAGCGCCCCCCACCCCAAATAATCCCCCTGGGTTATCCCAACCCATTCAAACCTTTCCCTAATCTCCCCAGGTTCTCCCAGCCCCACCCCCAATAATCCCCCTGGGTTATCCCAACCCATCCAAACCTTCCCCCAATCCCCCTAAATTATCCCCCCAATAATCCCCTGGGGTTATCACACACCCCCAATAATCCCATAGGGTTATCACACCCCCTAATAATCCCATGGGGTTATCACCCCTCCCCATCCTTTTCCCCAATAACCCCCCCCGGTTATCACATCCCCCCTCTCCCCCCCATAATCTCCCTAGGGTATCGCAGCTCCCCCACCCTCCCTTCCCCAATAATCCCCCCGGATTATCACAACCCCCCCTGGACCCTTTTGGGGTGCTGAGCCCCACTGGAGACCAATTTTGCTGCCCGTGGGAGGAGGAGGCCCCAGGAAATGCGGTTCTTTGGCGGAGGTGGGGGACAGACGGGGACTCATCACCTATTTTTTTAAGAAAAAATACAAATTTTTTAACCTAATCTTGATTATTTCTCCCTCGCCTCCCCCCCAAAAAAAGCCGTGGGGGGGGGGGTGCAGGTCTCTGGAGTCTCGCCCTCCCCGGAGCCGAACCCGGTTTTAGGGTGGAGGCAGAGCCGGTTACCGCTCCGCCTTTGCAGCCTTTGCAGCTCGCCAGCCAGCCCTGACTGCAGCAGGAGGGGGATGGGGCTGCGGGCGAGCCCTGGCGCAAATCCTTCTCGTTTTTCCCCCAAAAAAATCCCTCTGCTGTTGCTTCGGGGTGGGGGGGGTCGGTCATCCCTCTGCTCTCCCCGGGGGGAGTCATCGGGGCGCGGCGCTGGGGCTTTGTCCTATTGTCCTGGCAGGCTGCAAGAAGGGGGTAAAAAAAAAAAAAGGGAAAAAATGGGAAAAAAAGAAACAAAATGGCAGCCTGCAAGGTTTGCTGGGGGCATTTCTGCTGCCTCCTGCCTCCGGGGAGGTGCTGCGGGTGCAGGGAGGGTTTTGGGGGGCGGCTGGGAGGCATTGTGAGGAGGGAAATAAATCGGAGGGGGTGGGTTGGAGGCTGCCTGCCCCGCTCCATCCCCGTTCCTTTCCTGCCTTTGTTTCCTCCGAGAGGTGGCAAGACAAAGAGGGATCTGCGGGGCTGCCTGTGAGGGTTTTTTTTTTTCCCCCCATCCAGCTTCCCCTCTTAATAGGGACGCGTGCAGCAGGAACAGCTCTGACAGGGAACCTTTTCCTATGAAACCTGTCCTCAAACCCATGTCTGCCTTCAGCATAGCAAGGAAAGGAGATTTTTGGGGATAAAATATCAAAAACTGCTCAATAACCTCCTGGGGGGGGGGCCCCGATGGCCGGGAGCCCCGTTAAAATGGGAATTTCTGCTTGGGTAAAATTGACAAAGGCCTCTTGTGGGATCGCTTCGGGGACGAGCTCGTGGTTGAGTTAAAAGGAATAAATTAGGGCTGGCTTCGAAGGTGTGCTGACCCGGAGAGCTGGTGCTGCTCCGAAATACCCGCTGGAGCGTGATGGGTGTCCTCTAGACCTGAGAAATTGGGATGGAAAACCCCCAAAATGTCCTTCTTTGGGCTGGCGAGCCGCGTGCCAGTGGACCCTGCGTTGGATTTTCGGACAGGCAGCGAGTGGCGGCTCTCCTGGAGGGCTTTTTTTTTCTCCCCAGAGCAACACTTGGGTGATTTTTTAAAATAAAACCAACTCGTGAAGCCTTTATTTACAGAAGAGCCCCAGGTGGGCTGGTTGCGGTGTCAATTCTGGCTGCAGAATCGGACCAAGACGACCCGAGAACTGTTTTGATGGTTCTGGAAGCCCTGCAGCGATATCCCCGTCCTAAATTACGCTCCTCGAGCAGCCACGAAGATCCAAGACAGCCTCCGGGCTGGGATTCCCGTCTCCCAAAACAACATTTCCCTGTCAAAGCTGCCTCTTTGTGGGGTGGCTGCTGGTATTGGGGTCTCAGCAGGCCTCGATGGCTGTAGGGTCATTCCCTTGGGTGTTTTTAATCAGCCAGCAGGAGAGCACCCAGTGGTTTTGTTTCCTTTTGGGTTCACCCTAAATTTACGCCGCCGGGCTCTGAAAATCCCTCAAATCCCTCAGGGGCTGCTGGCTGCGCTCTGGACGGCGTGGGTTATCTGATGCAAACCCCAAATGCACCTGAACCTCCTCCCAGCAGAGGAACTCCGCCTTCCTGCAGGGTTCCCACCTGGAAAGGATTTGTGGGATCCTCCCCTCGGAGCTGTCAGATGGAACGATGCTGCCTCGAGTGTTATGGCTGGGAGAAAATCCTACAAACCCGCCTCCTCCCTGCCGTTCCTGAAGGTTTCCGCAAGCAAAAGGCCATCCCACCACCAGTTTCACGAGAGAGAAGCACTGATGGACTTGAGCGTGGAAACCCCAACGCCTCCAGCTTCCCCTTTACTCCCCATTTGGGGTTTTTCGTGGATTTCTACGGGATGTGCCACCTCTAAACCTCCAACCGGCACCCGCACGAGCTTTCCTTGGAGCTGCTCTGAGTGCCGCAGCTTTTCCTGCTGGTGCTGCCAGCAGCCACTTAATTTTACCCATTTATGCAGGATTTCTGCTCAGAAAGCTACGGGGTTTGAACCCTGAAGCTCCCCCCTTCTTTTTTTTTCCTGCCCGAGCAGCCTCCAGCCCTTCCCAGGCTCTTTTTCCTCCCTCCCCAGCGCTCTGGTGGATGGGAAGAGCCGCGGCTGAGCCGCCGTGGCTGCCAACGGGAACTGCTGAGCTGGGAGGACGATCCCAAACCCCATTGTGCCTCCCGCAGCGCGCTGTCAGCTCGGCGGCTGCGATGGGAAACGACCGCAGGAGGCCCCAGCGGGATCCGCAGGAACCCGGGGGATAAAAACGGAGCTGCCAAAGGGGCCTCGGATGGAACAGCGCCGTGGTGCCTCACCGAAATCCCCATTTCAGCGTTTAGAGGGCGTGAAATGAGGTTGGAAAGGCGTTTTTGGAGCTGTTCTGTCTTCTCCAGGAACCTAAATTTGCTGTGGGGTGGTGCTGGCTGTGGGAATGGGGGTTTGGGGGAGAAAACCCCGAATTACGGCGGAGACAACTGGCTCTGGTTTGGGTTCAGGCGAGGAAGCCACGCTGGCTGGCGGCGATGCCCCAGGTCACGGCAGTAAATCATTAACGTTTTCACTGGCACCATAAAGGCCACCTGTGCTTCCTCCGCGTTGTAGGGTTTGTGGCTCTCTGGCGGTGTTGGAATATGGGATTAATATGGGATTTGAGGCAGCTACGTATGCTTGGAGGCTCTCTGCCCACTGCTGAGTCCGGGAAAACGTGGAGGGGCTTTGGGACAGGAGGGAGCTGGCGTGGAGGATGCCCTAAAAGGAGCAGCTGGCGGATCTTGGAGAGGTTTTGTGGGGTGTGGGAACTGATTCTGCTCACAAGTTTTGGGGGCAAAGCGTTGGGAATCACTCAGCTGGTTCTACGGGGCCACCGCTTGCGTCCCTCTGCGATTAGGCTCAGCCTCTTGGTGTCGCCTTCAGCCGCAGCAGCTGATCCCCTGCTCGGGTGTAATCCCAGGGGGTACAGAGCAAGGGTAGCGGTGTGTCCGCTGGGGTCATAAAAATCCTAAATGGCTTCATCCCTTCTTTGAGCTACCTGCGCCCTCCTAGAGCAATTCTGACCGTCCTGTATGGCAAATCCCAAAGACTGGGGTTTTGCTGACGCTTCCTGGAGCCCTTTAGGGCAGGATCTCACACTCCTGGTGTCACCCGTAAAGGCTGGCACTGCCCCTCTTAAGAGGATGAACGTCATTAACCCGATAGCTGGTGCTTTAGGAGCACGGATTTCCCGATCCTAAATACGTCAGCTTGTTTAGGGGAGCCCTGTGCAGTTGAAACGCCTGATTTGGCTTACCCAGCGTTGACCAAACCTCCTAACGGGTTAATCCATCCCAAGCAGAGGTTTTTCGGGTTGTAGGTCTGCTTCTGAGAGGCCACCGGCGTGTTTCTTTGAAGGACTGCCCAAACCTTCAAACCTGGGCTGCGAGAGAGCATCGGTAGCGCAGACAGAAGGAGTCCCAAAGCCAAATAACCTCTCCTCGTGTCTTTTTTGTTCCCTCTGCGTGTAGGAATGCATCCTCTCCGGGATCATGTCGGTGAACGGGAAGAAAGTCCTGCACATGGATCGTAACTCGTACTACGGAGGGGAAAGCGCGTCCATTACACCCCTGGAGGATGTAAGTACGGGGGCTGACACCCGGCTATCGCGTCCCCCCCAGGCTTTTCTTTTGGGGCAGATCCAAAATTAATTCCTCGTTAAGGCTTTGCTTCGAGGAAAAACATTTTATGGCACCAATAACAATTTGTGGCATTTGTAAACACACCAGATAAATATTTAAAATATTAAAACTGGGGAATCTGCGTCGAGTTCGTGGCGGAGGCTGCCCCTCTCCTGAAGCAGGCGTTTTGCTCGGGTTCCCTGCAGCCGTGTTAAACGGTGTTTTAGTTCAGCAGGTCCTAAATTGCCAAGTTTTTAAAGCCTTGGGAGGAAGAAAGGATGGGGGAGCAAAATAATGCTGCCTGGTTCTCATCGTAAGAGCTCCCTGGATGCGCTTTGTGGGTTTGCATCTGAAGTTAAACCAGAATTAAAACCCTGGCCAAAAGCTTGCTTACGTTCTGCTGGGGGAGTGGAGGGGGTGGAAAGTGTGTGCATGTGTGGGAGGAAGCCCACCCGTGCGTATTTCCTCTGTGCCAACGAGTTTTGTGTTCTCTCCCAAGCTCTACAAAAGGTTTAATCTACCAGGAACTCCGCCGGAATCTATGGGGCGAGGACGGGACTGGAACGTGGACCTAATTCCCAAATTCCTCATGGCTAATGGTGAGCACTGCCAGCTCCAAAACTGCCTCCTGAGCCTAGCTTGGGACCCTCAGGTGGGGTCGGTGGTTGGTCCTGGAATCAAATAAAGATCCCTAAATGGCATTAATGAAGGAGCTGCTGGAAACTCACTTCACTTGGCCTGCACATGAACAGGTTTTAGGAATTTCTGCTCTTCCTGCCTTTGGCTGCGCACCTCTCAAACTTGAGAGATGGCTCCAGCTTGGAGCGCTCAGCCATAGCCTGTGTTTTGGGTTCTGACGGCCCTTTTCCATCATCCTCCCCTGAAATATCTGCATTTTTAATGCCATGAGCTCCTGCACTGCCCTTACCCCATGCCTTAGGGAGGAATCCCCTTTATTAGCCCCCTTTTTTCCTACATTACAGCTTGCAGACTCTCACCCCTTGTTGGTGCCGTGAGCCCTCGTCCTTTAATCTGAGGGTTGTGGTGCTGAGACAGCTCTTCTAGACCAAATCCATGATCAATTAAGTTTTTTTTATCGGTGGAAACCAGTTCAGGGGCAGCTCGCTGCCAAATATCGAGCACTGGCTACTGGAATCTCACATCCCTGAAGCAGAAGGGGGTGGGTGTGTTCTGTAGGGCCAGCCCTCTTCAGGATTAGTGCAGTGGAAGAAGGGTTGGTTCCAGGCAAGGTTTGGTCACTGCTTTCAGCTTATTTCTAACTCACCTAAAAATCCCTCGAGGTGTGCTCCTGAGGGACAGCATCCTTCTGGGGATGTAAGGGGGTAAACCAGGGAGGAATTTAGGGTAAATCGGTGGACAATCAACGTGCAGAACATGCTAGATTCTAACAGGGAGGGTGAGAAGCTGCTGTGGGCCAAAGACACGACCCTGTTGGTTGTGCTGAGTGTGAATAAACTGCAGGGAGCAGAGCAGCAGCGCGTTAACGTGCTGCAGGAGGGCTGGTGGAAACTGCAGTAGTGACAAGGAAGCTCTCAACTGCCTGTAAAAAAAAAAAAAAAAAAAACATAAAAGCCGTGCAGCAACACGCTGGTGAGTGTTTGCTGCTCCCTGCCTGTCACACGGAGGAGTGGGTTGGGTGTGGGGCTGCTCTGGGAGGGATTTTGTGGTGCTGGAATTGCTGCCTGCATCCCCCGCCTCCTCCCAGCTTCTGAACGACCCCTTGGCTTCTCCTTCACAGGTCAGTTGGTAAAGATGCTGCTCTACACAGAAGTCACTCGCTACTTAGACTTCAAGGTGATCGAGGGGAGCTTTGTCTACAAGGGAGGGAAGATCTACAAAGTTCCTTCCACTGAGGCAGAAGCCTTGGCATCCAGTGAGTAGTCGCGCTTGATTTTATTTCCTCCTGAGGCCATCGTCCCTAAACGGGTCCAAATACCAGAATATTTGGTCTGTGCTCATGTCAAAAAAGGTTTTAGCCTGATCCTGTGGTGCTGTGTGTCGGCTCCATCACTGTAACAAGTTATGCTTAGTGCAGGATTCTTCTGCACCTCCTCTGACTTCAGGCACCGCTTGCAGTGTGGGTCCTGGGCTTCCTGAGCCTTGAGCTCCTGTTTTCATGGAGTTTTTGAGGAAGGAGAACTCTGCAGGATTTTCCTTCCTCATAAGCCCCAAATGTAACCTTTTGCTTCCAGATCTCCCAGAAATATTTAGTGTCAGGTCCTGGTTGGATGGGATTATGTGAAAAATGTTACATTTATCAGCAGGCAGACCAGAATGACTAATTCCACGTGGCACCCAGCTCAGTCTTAATTCTTATTGGCTACCTAAATTCCACTCTGGAGATAAAACTACTGCAGAACAGCTTAGTGAGGTGCCTTAGGAGCTAGCAGAGGGCAGTCCAGGACATGTAGAGACCCATCGTGTGGTCAAGCAGCGCTTGGAAATAAGGCTCCCTGTGTGCTGCTCGTCTGGATGCCGGAGCCTTCCTCGTGACAGACACCCCTGGTGCTGCTGTGAAGCAATCGGTTGTTCTTCAGCTCGGCTGCGGCGCTGTCCTCCAGCGAGCCTCTTCGGAGGCTGAGGCTGGCAGGAGGAGGAGAGGAGGTGCCTTTGCTGCTGTCTTCTCCTTCACGTTTCAGCAGGCCCGGTCTTGCTTCTCCAATTTGTAGAGAATTAAAATGCTTAAAGGGTGCCTCGTGCGATCTCGCATGGGGAAATTTTTGACTCCAGCAAAACTTTTTTGACTTTAGTAGCTTTGTGGGTTTGACAATGTCTCGTTTTCAGGCTTGATGGGCTTGTTCGAGAAACGCCGCTTCAGGAAATTCCTCGTGTACGTGGCCAACTTCGACGAGAACGATCCCCGAACTTTTGAGGGAGTCGATCCCAAGAAGACCACCATGCGTGACGTGTACAAGAAGTTCGACCTGGGGCAGGATGTTATCGACTTCACGGGCCATGCCCTCGCGCTCTACAGGACTGACGAGTAAGTGTGGCTTCCCCTGGGGCTCACAGCTCATGCCCCGTGGGATCTGGGGGGGGATATCCTGCAGTGTCTGTCCCTGGGTGCCACGTGGACCTTCAAGCTCCTCTGCTGATGGGGTATTTATATCTTCTGTGCTCCTGGGGTTGATGCAACATCTCCTTCCCCAGTGAAACCCCTTGTGACGTGAAGCCCTTCTGAAAGGGCACCTCAGGGGAAGTTCTTGCTCGGAGCAGCCAGCGGGTGGGGAAGGGAACGTCACGGGAAGTGAAAGTTCCATTTTTCTGAGCGTATTCTGCCCTAAACTTTGGTTTTATGAATCGCTGCAAACCTTCTAACTGCCCTCTCCAGCTATCTAGATCAACCATGCCAAGAAACAATCAACAGGATCAAGCTCTACAGCGAGTCGCTGGCTAGGTACGGTAAAAGCCCCTACCTGTACCCCCTCTATGGCCTCGGAGAGCTGCCACAGGGATTTGCAAGGTGAGAACTTGGCTTTGGGGTTATCTCAGCCCTGCTGGGGGGGAGGATCAGGTGTGTGGGGTTGATGCTGCGTAAAAATCCTGCTGTTGTTAACGCTTCTCACGCTGTCTAAGTCGAGAAGCGATTCCGTGTGTGACATTTCTGGTCCCTGTGGCATTTGTGCTGCATTGTGCTGAGCAGATCCTTTTTATCTGGCTCCGATGGCACCTGTAACTCCCTCCAAATGCTGGCTGGTGCCTTGCAGGAGGACTGGCAGGCAGCAGCCACTGCCTGGATGGTTAAACAGCATATTTTGAAATGATTTAAGTCTAATAATGTGCGGTTTGTCCAAGTGGAACAGAAAGAAGGGGCTGGGAGGGCTGTTAAAAATAATAATTACAAAGAAAAAAACCTGGAATATGCTCAAATGGCTTTATTCTTGCAGGCTAAGTGCTATATACGGAGGCACCTACATGCTGAACAAGCCCATTGAAGAAATTGTGATAGAAAACGGCAAAGTGGTTGGCGTCAAATCTGAAGGGGAGGTACGGTGCCCGCCGCTTCTTCCCTTACCCCTGACCCCGCATCTCAGAACCGAGGCTGGCGGAGTTCTGCTCCCTGCCAGCTCGTTCTCGTAGGGATCTCGAGAAGCCTTGATGGTGAGGAGCACAGTGCAGTAATCCCAGAGTTGGGGCGAGTCTTGAGGGAGTGGCAAGGTTGCTTTTTAAATAAATCAGGCTGGTAAAACTGGAAAGGAGCGTGGTGTGTCTAACCTGGGCACAAAACCGTTCTGCCCTTGACAATAAGTTTTAGCTTTGAGCTTTTCCACAGCTTCTTCTCAAGCTGGCAGTATAAAACTAACCAGCAAGAGTGCTGCGAGCTGCTGGGAAGCTATAAATGCGCTTCCAAACGCAGCGTGAGCTTTGTAGGACAGCTTAGCCCTCCCTGGTGGGGTAACGTGTCCCGCCTGGGTATGGGTGACACGTCCTGGCTAGCAGCAGAGGTGATAATCCACGCTACAGACTGATGTGCCCAAGTGCAGGCTGCCTGGAGGCTTCAGATGGGCCAAACGTTAAACTCTTACCGTGATAACGAGTTCTGGTTTGAGGTAGTCAGTCCTTACCTGCTTGTTTTGGCCTCAAGCACAGCAATTTGTGGTCCTGGCCTGGAAGGAGCAGGCTGTGCGGTGGTCAAAACATGTTTTGTATCCTGAGTGATGCGGGGAAGGTGTGATCAGCCCCCCAACTTCATGGGGTGGGTGCTGCCACCGGGATTGTCCGAGCTGCGCTGCTGGCAGCGGAATAAAAGCCTCGTGCAGCCGGGACAGGGATGGCCACCTCGTAGAGCTCTCAATTTTTCCCCTAAGCCAGCAGGTTCCCGGGCTGCCCGCGCGTTGCTCACTCGCTGCCTGTCCTCTCCCGCAGGTGGCTCGCTGCAAACAGCTCATCTGCGACCCCAGCTACGTCTCGGACCGGGTGACGAAGGTTGGCCAGGTGATTCGGGTCATCTGCATCCTGAGCCACCCCATCAAGAACACGAACGACGCCAACTCGTGCCAGATCATCATTCCACAGAACCAGGTCAACCGGAAATCAGGTGCGCACGCAGGTCTCGGGGTTGAGGCAGCAGCACAGGTCTCAGGTGGCCTCGCAGTGCATGCTCTGATGAGAAGCAAACTGCATTTATTGCAGCTCCTGGGGTGGTTTCTGTGCCTTTTTCCTGGAAAGGGACCTTTTTAGTGTGCTTTTTCTCCAGGAGAAGCCTTCTGGCTTCATTCTGGGCTCCACAGCACTTGCACGGAGCTTTCTAACCCCCGCGTGGCTTTGCTCTTCTGCTCCCCGGGTGTGTTCTGCTCCCTGGGTGTACTCGGGGGTTTGTTTGGTGCTGCTGCTGCCTGACAGAGCTGCTGGCACCCGTCAGAACCGTGGGATGGGGCTGAGGGAGTGTGCAGGCTGGATGGGAGCTGCAGCAGCGTTGCTTTAGTCCTGCAGAACCGTCCCCTTGTCCTTGGTGAGCTACAAGAAGCTGAATTTGGGGATCTCGCGGGGCTGCTCGTGTCCAAGCCCCTCAGTCGAGGCAGGGCAAGGACCCCTCTGCTCTCAGAAATGGACTTAAACAAGGCTAGGAGGTAGAAAGAGTCAGGGGAACAGGAAAAGGTGTTATGGGTATGTGAGGAAGAGGAGGCTTTGGGGCTGAGGAGGGCCCGACAGGCTGTGGGATCGCCTGGTGACCCGTGACTGCTGCCCTTCCCCAGATATCTACGTCTGCATGATCTCCTCTGCACACAACGTGGCGGCGCAGGGGAAGTACATCGCCATCGCCAGCACCACCGTGGAAACCGCGGACCCAGAGAAAGAGATCAAGCCGGCCTTGGACCTCCTGGAGCCCATCGAGCAGAAGTAAGAGCCCAGCGAGCCCCCTTCCACCCCCCCCCCCCTCACCTCACCCCTCTGCGGCGCGTTGAAAACCCAAATTTCCTCTGCACCTTGTCTGATCGCACGCTGGGCAGACCAACAGCCTCTTATTTTGCTCTTTTCCCACTGCTGCAGCTACTCAGTGATGCTTTAAAACCCTGCTGAAGGATTTTTTTCTCCTTTTTCTTCCAGGTTCGTTAGCATCAGCGACCTGTTTGCACCGACTGACCTGGGAACCGAGAGCCAGGTTTGTAGCTGGGGGCGGCGGGGGCGCGAGGAGGGGGCCGGGCCCGGTGCTCAACCTCCTGCTTCTCTCTCCCCAGATTTTCATTTCTCGCACCTACGACGCGACCACTCACTTCGAGACGACGTGCGATGACATCAAGGATATTTATAAGAGGATGATGGGATCAGAGTTTGACTTTGAAGAGATGAAACGCAAGAAGAACGATATCTACGGGGAGGAGGAGCAGCAGTAATGAGAATCTCTAATTAGGAGAAATTAAATCGGCTAATATGAATATATAAGGAACTTAATGAACACTGTATGAAATTCAATATTGTAAGGCCTGCTTTTGTAATCCCATCTCTGAGAGATTGAAGAGTACTGCACTGGTAATGTTCCCCTTTTGGATATCATGTGTTAATTATTTCATTCTAGTAGGGCTGCTGTCCAGAATCTGGCAAATTACTGACTGATTTAATGACTAACCTCGTAAGTGAAAGGCAAGACTGAACCTTTTTTTTTTTTTTGCAGACGTAGACGTTGGTGCAGATTGAGATAACTCATTGACAGCTGTGTCTTACCTTGTATTTTTAATCATTTGTAAACATCCTTCACAATTATGTGCTTCTGGTGAGCTAGTAGACGTGACAGTTGTCACTCAAACCTGATATCAAGGAAAATAGAAACTGAGCACTCCATTTATTGTGGACAGCATCCCTAAAGTCTCTCCCATCAATCTAACTCTGTGGCAAGTTGTATTATGGACAAAGCCCACATCTATTGTAGCAGCAAATGTTGGCTTAGTTCTGGGCACAGAACTTAACCTCCACTTCAGCTTCTCAAACTGTTTACATCGGTTGGGACACAGCTGTGCCTAAGGCTCCTTTGTGTTTTAATCTTAATAAAATTGAGAGAACAAATTACAGAGCAGGCAAGATGTGGAAGTATTTTCTGTCCCCTGGTGGCTTCTCAGACGGACCAAACGGCGCTGCGGTATCGGTATGACAGAGCCTGTGCTTCTCGTGTCTCCTGAAGGCTCCAAATGATTTCTGTACTGCGAAGTAAAGCCAAATTCTGGAAAACCAGTCCTGTGCTCTGGTCTGATTCACTTCAGTTGGACGAGCAGCCTCTCTTCGCCGAGATCCCTTGGATCTCTGCTTTCTAGGGCGAAATTCCTCCTAGATAAAGGGCTCAGGCTTCTGGGGTTTGGCTTCCGAGGCCCTGCTGCTTTCAGGGCTGCTTCTGGCAGGGGAGATGATGCAGCAGCACGAGGCCGGTCGCTGTCTGCGTGCTCTCTGCAGCCACCCCCTAGTGCCTGCCTCTAGGAACAGCATTTCTGGCTGCAGCACCACCTAATCCTGCTCTCGTGGCTCTTTTGCGGGGCGCTGCTTGTGCTTCACCTCCTCGGTGGTGAAAAATGTGCGGTCCCTGGCTCAGAGCGAGGTGCAGGTGCAGGGGGCAGGCATTTTGAGGCGCAGGGCTTGCTTTCAGCCCTGTAAGAAGCAGGGAAAATGCCCTGCAACAGCTTTTCTCTGCACCTCTTGTGGCTGCTGAAGAGGGAAGCAAAGCAGGCTGTTGGCTCGCAGCTCCTGCACCCGGCGCTGCTCGATTTGGGCTCCTTCCTCCCTTGCTCGGGGCTTTCAGCGCTTCCTCCCCTGGCTGCTGGCGCCCGTTGCGGGAAGCTCGGTGCCCTTCTCGCCGCCGCACCAGGCCCGTGGTGGTGGCCGCAGGGGAAATTCCCCCTTCCCCTGGGCTGCTTCTCCTACCTGGGAGCAGGAGCACCCGACCCAAAGACCAGCCACGCGCAGAGGTTTTCAGGTTTTAATAGACAAACTCTATACAAAGTCATCCTGTACACAGCTTCTCACGTCATTACACTTTAAAAAAAAAAAAAGAAACACAACCAAAAAAAAACCAAAGCACCGAAGGACAGCCGCGGCCTCCGCCTGCGTACGGAGGGGCTCTCGCAAAGGTCCTCGGCGCTGTTTTTCTTCGTGGTGTGTGTTCGTTTGACCTACCATAAATAAAAGGGTTTTGTTCTGGCATTTACAAGACTTCCTCGTGCTGGAAAGCATCCCAAGTCCCAGCAGTGAAATGGTACCGAGAGGCTGACTCCAAATGTAGTGTAGAGGCCGCAGGCTGCCCCAACAGCTGGGCAATGGTCCCCGAACAGAGCTTTTAAGACATCCACCCCCCCGCCCCCCCCCCCCCAGCTTCGAACGCATGCATCTTGTGTACAGCGACGGCCACGTGGAAAATGCTTTTACTACAGCCGGCTCCGATGGCTCCTAACCTTCAGGGAAACTGCTGCTCCTTCCGTGTTCCTATTCCTTCCCCTCTCGGCTGCTCTAACTGCTTAAAACCACCGCAATAACTTAAAACCGTAACGCGAACGGAACCTCTGCCCTACACCCAACTCGATGACGGGGAAGAAAAAAATCCCCGCGAGGCTTTCTTGGCCATCTTTTAAATAATTTCTATGTACAGAACTGAAGCCAACCCGTCCCTGCTGCTACTCGGCGCGCACCCGGGGCGCCAGGATGCGGGGGCCGGACCTGCAGAGGATCACAACGCCCCCGGCAGCGCTTCGGGGACCCGGGGAGGAGCCCTTCGTCACCTGCAAGACAGAGAGGTGGCACTGTCACTGTCACTGTCACTGCCCCGCTCCCCTCGTGGCTCCGGGCAGCAGCACCAAGGTTTCACGGTCCTGCAGGCGGCCCCTTGGGATCCCAGCTCGCTGCAGACACCCAGGAGCTGTTCCCGGTGCGTTTTCATCCCGTTTCTCCACAATTTGCTGCTTTTTTGGGGGGAAAAAGGGGGTCGATCCCAAGCTCCCCCCCTCCTCTCCCTTACCAGTAGCTTCTCCGAAACGGGGCTGCCACTTTCTGCACTGTCCCAAGGAAGGTGTTGACGTCGGCCACGAGGATTCCTTTGCTTTCGAAGAGCTCCCTGCTGGCGCCGGGTTTTTCTGCAAGAGGAGGAGCAGCACAAAGTCAAACACTCACCCTGGAACTGTGCTGAGACCTACAGAAAATGCCCCCAAATCCCACCGCGGTTATTCTGTTTTGCAAATGTGAGCAGATTTCATGACAGCGCCTCGCAACCAAGCCAAGCCACGATTAGAGCGTGACACAAAGCCAGCCACAGGCCCGAAAACCTGCCAGGATTTACCAGACCTCCCCAAAAAATCTGTTCATTTTGCCTTTTACAGCACGGATTCACCGTGAGACCGTCCACACCGCACCCACACCTCAAATCAGTGATTCTGGCAGAAACAGGAGTGAAAATAAAGGCGTTTCTTGTCCCACCCGTCCCGCAGAGGTTTTGGGGGGCTGAGGGCAGCAGGAGCGGTGCCCAGAGCCTGTCCTTACCCGTGAGGTACACGGCGAACCTGGCGCTGACGTGCTGGACCTGCAGGTTCAACAAACACTTCACGTACTCGGAGCTGGGGGACGCGCGGGAGTCGCAGGCGTGGTAGTGCAGCACCTCGATCAGCTCGGCTCCCTGGCACGATTTTAGGATCAAGCTCTTCTTCTGGGCATTGGTGTCCCATCTGCGGGGAGAGGGGCAAGGTGAAGCAGCCGGGGGCGAGGGGCAGCGCCCTTCTCCTGCCCAGGGAGCAAGCAGGCAGGATGGGACAGGCTTTTCCCCCTTAAATGCTTCTTCCACCCTCGTGGGTACTTTTTAACTCGATATCCCGCACCACAACGGAGCTGAGGGATGCTACACGCGTGCCAGCGATGAGCACAAGGAAAACTCTTGCTCTGAGCTCAAGGAAACACCTGGAGGACTGAAAACCAAGTCTTGGAAACAATTTCTGCGTGCTATCACCAACTGCTTGGTGCGGAGAGGATCTGAGCTTCCTCCCCCGTTGCTGCAGCACTCTCAGCTCGGTGAGAACAGACTGGTTTCCTCTTTGTTCCGAGGTCATTACTCGAAAGCTGACCTTTCTGGCCAGCGGTTTAGCTCTAGAGAAGGCAGCCTGCCTCGTAAAAACGTCCCTCTGAGCTGAGCCTGGGATAAAAGCAGGACATTTTAACGAGCACATTATGCGCCAGCTTCTCTTTTTCTTACAGCTTCATTGAAACACGCTTGCTGTTGCAAATAGCCTTGAACGGGGGAGAAGTTCTGCTTTTCCCAGCAAGGTTTGATTTTAGACGCTCCCCGCAACATCCTGGGGCCTCTCTCAGAGCTCCCCCACTCCCACGAGGGATGGGGCAGAAAAGGAAACGGCAAAGAAGCAGAGGGAGGCCCCCGGAAAGTACCCTGAGCTCCCAGTGCCTGTGTGACTGGGCTAACTGGGGCAAGCTGGGTTTGCAGCTTCTCGAGCTTCATTTTGTGCCTTTCCTCAGCCCCTCGCAGGCTGTCACACACACGGGGAGCGTGCGTCTGCCAAAAGAGAGGGGGAAATTGCCTTCTGGAGGCACAGCGGGGTGCAGGAGGCAGCCGCCAGGGCTCTGCCTCATCCGGGACCGCGTGCAAGAGGCAGCATTTGGGGCCAGCTGATCCTCTCCAGGTCCCTCGTCCTGCTGCTCCCTCTTGTTTAGGTGATCAAAAATCCAGCACGAATTATTTGCTGGCGTGCAGACGCTGACAGTTCCACGCTCGTGGTCCCTCCCTGACGGGGAAAGCTCTCACGGAAACAAAAATCTTCATATTTTATCTCGTGAGAGGCCAAAACCCGAGCAGAGGCACCCGACTCCTCGCGTCCCCATGCCAAGGGGACGCCACACTCGAAAGGAGAAGGACGGAGCCATCACCTGACGTCTTTTTGGAGCTTTTTGCTCTCCTTGTAGTGCAGGAGCCACTTCCACCGTCCGCTCCCGTTCAGCTTCTCCAGCACCTTCACCACCTCCTTCAGCTGGCCTGGGGAGACAGCAAAAAGCCAGAGGGTGACTGAGGAGGAAACGAGCCCAGGAGCACGACCCCTGCTCAAAGCCAGGCACCACAGGGTGCTCAGGGCTTTGTCCAGGAGAGCTGCAAATATCTGCAGGGATTCAGCTTCACAACCTCTCTGGGATTCGGTCCCAGTGGCTGGAAACCCACCTGCTGCCAATTTTCCCCCCCAAATATCTCAGAGGGTGAGCGTGCAACCTGTCCCGTCACCGTGCATCTATCTCCAGGAGCGTGGCTGTTTTAACACCACGGAGGAGATGAAGGTAACAGCAGATGAAGATATCAGTCTTCTTTTTGCCCTCCCTTTATAGGCTGAGCATCCCATATGTCCCCAGCTCCAGCCCCTTTTGGTTTTGGTGCTTGCACCAGCACCTAAATATTTTGGACCCGCCATCCAGACAGGGTTTTGGACACTGATTAGAAGGGAACTATTAAAAAAATCCCATTAAAGCAGGAAGAGAGGATGTTTTTGGAAGCAGATGTCAGAAAACGAGCTGGGAACTGACCCTGAACATCTACACACAGGGGGTGGCAGCGAGACTCACCCGGTGTCACCGTTTCCAACACCTTGTCGTCGGACACCACGAAGCCACCGGTGTGGAAGAGCTCCTGGTAGGTGTGCACCGTGATGTCCTCGGGGCTGTCCACGCCGGCAAACGCCACGTTGGGGCAGTGCTTCAGGCTCAGCAAGCCGGGGACCTGCTCGAAGGCAGCCACACGTCAGCGCCAGCAGCTTCAGCCACGCGTGGAGCGCTCAATCCGCGTGGGGACAAGGTGAGGATCCAACCCTGTCCTCTGTCTGCGTCACCCCGATGCTCAGATCTCGACCCCAAAACTGTGGCTGTGATATGGGGAGCTGCAGGTGGCTCATTATTCCCTAGAGCTCACAAGCCAAAGCTCATCTGGGGTGCTCCGTTACCCTAAATAAGCTCAGCCCGGTTCATCTGAGCTGGGCTGCTCCAAGTGGTGTTGGGCAGTGATCAGAAAGGGAGCAGAAAAGCAGAATTGACTTGGTTTGTGATGTGAAAATAGCTGTTTTTAACAGATTTTTGAGAAGCACTACTCTTACCGTGTAAATAACAGCGTATTTCCAGGGAGTGACAACTGAATTTACAGGTATATTAAGTGCAAACTTTAAAAACCCGTAAAATGGATCCTGATATTCGTTGTTTCCAAGTTTTGGTTAGAAAAAAAATAATAAATAAAGCAGTCTCGGTCTTACCTTGTGGATGTGTGAGGAAATGTCCTCGTTCCTGATCACCACCAGCAGCCGGTCGCTGTCCGGGCGTTTGGCGCTGCAGAAGCTGAGGGGTTCCATCTCCACGTGGCCGTCTTTCTTCAGCAGGGTCTGAGAAATTGGGGGAAAAAAAAAGATGAATTTTGTAGGTTTGAAGGTTTTGTACGAGGGATAGCTTCAGAGGTGCGGAAGAGCCGGGAGCTGGTAAGGACAGCAGGGGCTGCGACTGCTTGCAGAGGATGAAAAAGCAGAGAAAAAGCTCTCTGCACCTCCAGGATGTGCAGGGAAGAGGGCAAGGGGGAAAATATGGGGAAAGCAGGTGGGATACAAGCCGGCTGTGATGTGGGGTGTGAAATCAGGGCTTGAAGCCCTTTTTCTGCTCCACCTCACCCAGAGCCACCTCCTCCCCGCCCAGTTTTACCTTCACCCTTGCGAAGAAAGGCTCCTCTCCCGTCTCCACCAGGTAAAACATCCCCGGGCTCCCGCAGGCCCCCTTGGCCACGCTGCGCAGGCGGCCCCGCAGCGAGCCGCACAGCTCCGCCACCAAATCCCCGAATGCCTCCACGGGTGCCGAGCCCTTCCCTTTGTCCTCTCCTCCCGTCTCGACCCCGCTCAGCATCACCCCGTCGAGCTGGGGGGACTCGCTGAGGATGGCCGAGACGACCCCCGGCGGCTCCTGCGGGGTTTTTTCGTATTTCAGCTTGCCGAGGTGGAAGGGAGCGGCGAGGTCTCGGTTTCGGGACCTCTCGTGCCACGGGGGGCAATGGGATGACGGGTCCCTGTGCGGTTGGGGACAGCCAAAACCATCCGGCCACGGGGTCGAGGGCAGGATGGTCACTTGCAGAGGGCTCCTGCTTCGTGGGGACGGAGGGAGGGGAGTTTCTTGCCCGGGGAACGTCTCGGAGGCCGCCTGGAGCGAGCGGTGCCGTGGGAAGATGCTCTCGGAGGTAGAAAGAGGAGGTTGCCCGCTCCTCAGGATCTGGTTTAGCTTATAGTAGAAGCGGAGGTGCTCCATGTCCAACGTGTGCTGGGTGATTTCCTCCCAGCCCCTCCACGGCCCCAGCAGGGCCCTCAGCAAATGCGACTGCCCCGCGCAAGGGCGGCGTCTCCTGGAGGGCCGCGCGTTCCCCCTCCTGCCCCGCTGGGTTTTTTTGGTGACCGTGAAGTTGAGGAAATCCTTGGAGACCCCCCGGCTGTCCGTGATATTGACGTAAGGTGGCACCTGCCTGCTGCTGGCCTCCTCCAGCCCGCTGCATCCACTGGGCTCGGCCCACCGGAGGTTTTCCTCCGAGCTCGGGGAGCCCCAGGCCTCGCTCAGCGAGGAGGAGGAGGAGTCGTGCTTAGTCCTTGCCCCCCTGGATGGGGTCAGAGGAGGGGAAATCGGTGCAAAGCACCCCCAGTGGGGAACGGGGATTGCTCCCTCTTCCCCCTCCAGCTCCGCATGATGAGGATCTGCGACCACGCTGGGCTCCTCGGCCTCGTACTCGCCCCGTGGTGGCACCAATCCTGCTGGCAAAGCCGCCGGGCTGGCACGAGGGATGCTGCTTCCTCCTTCAGAGTCCTCCTCGTGGCTTCCCAGCACGCCTGCTACCTGGATTTGGGGGGTGGCACACGTGTGGCAGGCTCCTGGGGGCTGCTGTCCCCCAAAGCAGGGTCTGGTGGCACCACAGGGAGCTGGATTCGCATCGGGGTGCACGCCGAGGACTGAGTCTGGCTCGGCGCCGTGCCAAATTGCTTCGGGGCTGTGTGGAGGAGAACAAGGAGCAGGTTCCACCTCACCAGGCATGAGGACACCCCGTGGAGAGCTCTCTGTTGGCTCCGTGCGGCACAGACCTGGGTCTTTTTTCACCTCTCCTACAAATCCAGGCTTTAAGGAGCTGGCTGCTGCTGGGATCTCGGCGGCCACGCTCAGCTCTGCGGCAGCTCCTGGCTCGCGGGGCTTCCCAGGGGGGCACAGGATTGCTCCCCGCTCATTTTGCCCGAAAAAGCAGCGAGGGGCACCCGCATCTGCACCCCAGGGAGGGTCCTGGACAAGGGGAGCAGCAGCTGAGGCCGTGCAGGCAGCCAGGGACGAGCTGTCTGGTTTGGAGTCCCCTGCCCAGGCCGTACAGTCGAAGGCGAAGCCGTGGCCGTCACCAGCTCCTGAGGGCTCCCCCAAAACATCGGGGTGGCTGGCAGGGGTGCTGCCACATTGCCCTTCCACCAAAGCCTTGTTCTGCTCTTGGTTTGATTCCTCAGAGCTCCCCGAAGCGAGCTCAGCACAAATTTCACCTCCACGCCCTCGGGGAAGGCAGCTTCTCCCTCCGGGGCTGCTCCTCCACGGAGCCTGGACGAGCGCCGCGGCCTCCCGGACCCCTGGAGCTGCCCCCGCAGCTGCTGCTCCGTCCAAAAACGCCCGGCAGGCAGAGCTGGAGCCAGGAGGGGATGAGCTTCGTGCCTGTCCCTGTGCCTCCATGCCAGCCGTGGCAGCAGCTTGGCTCCCAACGAGCAGCAGGCTTTCTGCAGAGGGCGCACGATCCTCGTTTTCCTGCTCCAAACCACCCCGCAGCGCCTCTCCGGCTCCAGAACCGGCTGTGGGGACACCAAGATGCGTGCTCGGAGCAGGTGGCACCGAGCTGCTGTCACCCACAGCGGCCGGGCTGGCTTCGTGTGCCAAAATGGTGCTGTTTTTTTCGGCACCTGGGGTGGCCAAAGCCCCCCAGGGCTCTTGAAGCACGCCGACGCTTGGGGCTGCATCGCCAGAGAGCCCCCGAGAGGCAGCCCCAGTCCCAAATAGGGCTGGCATCGATTTGCCCTCACGGGGAAGGGCTGAGGCAGCAGGGATGGGATCAGGACCCTCTCTGGGAACACCAAAATCCCTTGGGGATGCCAAATTCACCAGCTGCTGCTCCGTGTCGGCATCACCTCTTCCAGAAAATGCTAACCCAGAGGTCCCCACGCCCGTGCTGCCATGCCCAGAGCCCTCTTCCTCTGCTTCTCCCTCCTCCACTTCTTCCTCCTCAATTTCTGGATGTCCTGAGGGGTCTTGTGATGCCCTCTCTTCTCTGCCAAGCCCCTCGGGCTTTGCTCTGTTGGGATTTGCTTCTGAGGATGTGGAATGAGAGGCCTCACTCTCTGGCTGCTCTCCACGCCCGTGCGGCGTCCTCTGGGGAGCTGGGCTGAAATTCAGGGCTGGGTTGCGTGGTTTTTCCCTGCCCAGCACAGCTGGGGACGTGGAGGCATCGTTGGAGGGGTTGGGGGTGATGGAAGCATCCTTCTGTCCCTCCCGGGGCAGCTCCACCTGAAATAACACAAACCAGAGGTTAATCCTCAAGGGAGGCAACGGAGATGGATTATTTGAAACGCTCAGATGTCAGTGCAAGCACCCCAGCAGCATCTGCAGGGACAAGTTTGTCTCTAAAATAAGTCCAGGTGCTCTTTTGCTGCTCTAATTCTTTGGGATTTCTCCTCCTCGAGTCCCTCCCTTGGTCAGGGATAGATAACTCCTGTCAGAGCCCAGCTCAGTCCAGGAGGACATCCAAACTGGAAGCCTTTTTATGATAAAACTGTGTGTGTGTGCGTGGCTGTCACCTGGGGCAGCCAACTGTTGGGTGACTTCCCCGTGCCCTGCTTTGGGGACCCCCCTGCATGGTTCCAAAAGAGCCCACAAGCCCTCCTGCTCCGTTCCTCTCGCTCCCACGAGCACAAAAAGGGATCGTGGGCACCCCCCAGGCTCTTACCACAGCAACAATCGAGCCATCACACCCGTGCTCCTCCTCGGGAAGCTCCAGCTGCCTGCATTTCTCCACCAGGTTGCTCCGAGCAGCGCGGTCAGCGAGGGAAAGGCTCTCGGAGCTCGTGGAGGAAGGTTCCTCCTCCCCGGGGGGCAGCTCCCCTGAAGAAGACGACACCGTGCTGTCTGCAAGGCTCTCCTCTGGGCGAAAAACCCCCTGGCAGCGCGTGCTGGGATCCAGAGAGCTGCTAGGAGCCTGCTCAGGCTCTGACTGGGAGTCCACGGGGCACGGCTCCGACCCGAAACAATCCTCGCCGTCGTCGCTCAGCTCCAGGAAATCCCCGGTGCTGTTCAAGGAGACGAATTTCTTGGGGTTGCTGTGCTCCACCACCTTCCTGCGGCTGCTCAGCACCTTGCTGGGCTTGCTGTAGAACAGAGCCACCCACATGTGAAGTATCAGCTTCATCTCCTCCACGTCGTCGGGCAGCTCAGGGTCCCAGGGCCTGGAAGAGAAAAAGCAAACACAGCCTGAAAGGGGGAGCTGCAACCCTCATCCTCCCTCCTGCTGATGCAGGTCACTCATTTTCTGCGTCCCCAAGGTGCTGAGCCCCACTGAAGGAGGGTTTTGAGTGCCCAGCTGCGTCATGGATTGCTTGATGTGGTTTGCAACGGGTTGAAAAGAAGAGAAACAAGCACTCGATGTGGTTTGCAATGGGTTGAGAGGAGAAACAAGCACTTGGGTGCGTGTTGCTGGAAGTACCAAAGCCACAGGAAGCTTCAGCACAACACAATGCGGGTTTAGCACGGAGAAAAGGGCAATTATCTCGCAAAAACAACACAAAAAGAGCAAAGAAAACCCATTCTACAAGTGCTCCAGGTGTCTAGCAAGAGATATCCCCTGCAGGAGGTCTTCCAGGCTCACTCACCCGTGCAGGGCGCGGATCACCGTCTTCTCCAGCTCGTCGTTGGTGTACTTGCTGTCCGAGCTGAAGAGGTAGCCGGCCTCCCAGCGCCGCGTCACCTGCAGGGATTTCCCGCAGCTTTTCACGCTGTGGCTCTCGGCGAAATCCTCCTTCAGCCTGGGGGAGAGGAGGCAGCCCCGGCACCGCGCCGCCGTGGCCTCGGCGGGAGGCTGAGGGTGGGCGCTGCTCTGCTGGTGGCGGAAAGGCAGCACCTTGCCCACCAAGGGGCCCGCCCGCGCGCCCCTCGTCCCGTTTCTGGCAAGGGCAGGCCCAGAATACGAAGTGTTTTTGGGATACGGAGGTTTCTTCAGGTTTTCGGGCAGCAGCGAGGCGTAGGAGTGCTCGGAGGAGATGAAGGAGTGCTTGTTGGCCTCGGTGGCCTCCTGGGTCTCCCTGGGAAGCAAGGCGCGGGTTTTTGCGGGGTTGGGGTTGGGGTTGATCTTTTTAGCGGCAATCCCGGGGTTTTTCTCCCCGGGAAGGGGGTCTTTCAGGTCTGTTTTGGCAGCAGGAGGAAGCTTCAGGTTGGGTGACGCTTTGCCAGGCGAGGCAGCTCCCTTTGCCAGCTTGTCCACCCTGTGGTATTCGTGGTCGGAGGCAGCGCGGGAGGATTTCTGCTTGCGGAGGCCCTGCTGCTCCTTCGCGGGGTCACGGGGTGGGCTGCGGGGTGAGGAGATCGCCCCGCTGTCCCTGGGGATGAAGGAAGGAATACAAGAGCCCAGAGCCAGGTCAGCCAGCAAGTTGAGGGCGTGGGATTCGTAGTCGTTCCCCTTCGGATCAAAAAAATGGCTCGCAGAAGCACCTGGGTAGATCTCGCCCACCTGGCTCTCCGCCGCGGGGCTCTGCGAAGAAACCTCGCTGGGAACGGTGGCGAACGGCTCCTTCCCCTCTGTATTGAAATAAAAAAAAAGGGAATAAATGAAGGGCAAGCAGTTCTGCCTCGAGAAGGGCTTCGGAGCAGGCTTTCACAGCTAACAAATGGTGTTCAGACAGGGACCGTGGTGTCCGGCACATCGCAATTAATTAAAGGCCTTGTTTTGGCAGGAAAAAGCTGCCTCTCCAACACTGACTTTGCACACACAAAAATAACCCCAAAATAACCCCAAAACCTCTGTGGTCACGCCAGGCATGGCTGCTACGGCAGGATCCAGAGTTGGGATCCAGCTGATTTCAGGAATGGGGTTAATCCTCCTAAATAAATGGCCCGGGATCCAGGGGGAAGAAAATTTCCCTTTGTTTCTGTGCAGTTTGGGCAGTTACGAACAACCTGAGATGTTTTTAAGTGCTTCATTAATCTGTTTTTTTATTCCTTCATGCTTTCTTCTAGTCTGAATACTTGCACCCCTCACCACGGAAGAAACCCCGTGCTGTGTCTGCAATAACCCACACGGTTAAAACAAACCCCTCGGCCCTCTAAAAGACAGAAAAAAAAACCCCTCAACAGCATCACCTGCCCCTGAGCTGCCCCTCAGGGCACACGCAGAAACCTGGGGGCTCCCAGAGCACAGCAAGTAAACATTTCATTTAATTTTTGGTACTAAAAACACCCCTCACCCTGGCTCAAGGCTTGTGTTGGTAAAGCATGAAGTCATTAACCGAGGTTAACACCTTCTAAAAACCCATAAATTGAGTGTTTTTCACTGCTAACCGCTCTTATTTTGCATTTCTGGCAGCACCTGGCGTTCAGCCTTTTAGATTTAGGTACAGAAGTGTGGACAGAGCCCTCCGGGTGAATCAAACCCAGCTCAGGACCCATCCTGAAGCCCCTGGAGCACAGTGAGGAGCAGCACCCGACAGGCCCGCCGATGAAAACCGCCACGTATCAGGAAGTCTGACAGCAACGTGGCAATAAAAGAGCAAGAAAAGCAGACAAACAGAGCCAGGGTGGCGAAACCAGTCCTGAAAGCCTCCTGCTTCGCTGGGAAGAGGGAAAAAACCCAGACGCAGATCCGAGGAAGGACATCAAAGCTTGAGGTGTGAGAAAACGCGGCAAATTAACAAAAAACGACTGCTGCTCCACCATTTATCTTGGCACCGTAATACTGGCTCTCAGTTTAAAAGCAGACTCCCAGCCAGCACCTGCAGACGCTGCACTCTGGGACTATCCAACTCGGCCTCCTAAACCCACTGCAGTCTGTCTGCGAAAGGTGTGACAGTTTCATTTATTTTTTTTAAAGCAACTGGATTGAAAAATGGACTAAAAACCTGGGCAGGTGCTGGCCGTGAGCGGAGGTTTCGATGCCCTGACCTCACCCGTTTCAGAGCTCAGCAGCTAAAACCCAGCACTTTCCCTGAGCGGTTTGCCAAGGGTGCCAACTGAGATTAGAAAAGGGCTCCAAAAAAAATTTAGAAAAAGGAATTAAAATTAGAAAAATGGAGAAAAATCTGAAAACTTAGGAAAGGACTCAAACAAATTTGGTTCATGTGTGCTGGGAGGGTGTAACGGGAGCCTGCAGGGCTGCAGGGCAGCAGCAGACCCCAACCCAGACCCTAATCCCTAAAGCCCTAAACTTTGTGAGGCCTTTTGGCTGCCGCTGCCCGTGCTGTTCCCTCCACCTGGGCACGACCTGCCCCGGGTGTTTGCTGGCTCTGCTTTTAAAGTAAACATTTCCGCAGGGAACAGCATTCTTACCGCTTTCTGCTGTTTTTTTGGCTGCCGGTTTCAGCGGGCTGCTCGCCACGCTTTTCATCACCTTACTCTTCAGCGGCTTTGCGCTGGTCCTCAGCAGCAGGAACCTTTTTCACGTCCGAGTTCTTCAGCGTTTTCGGCCTCTTGGTTTCCAAGCCAGGGCTGTCGGGGGCCGAGGTTTCCTTCTGGGCAGGTTCAGGCTGCGTATTGTGCACAAATTCTGCAGACAGGACCTCTGCACCTGGGGCGAGGAAAAGGGAGGGCAGTTCTTTTCGTTTGGGACATGGCTCAGATTAAAAAACCAACAATCACAAGATATTCAGTTGAAGAATGTGGAAAGACTGCTCTAGAAGTGACCAGCAGCAGCAGAATGGTCTTCATCAACTTGATTTATGCTCCTGATCCAACGGGTTACTGATGCAAATGATCAGAAAGCCCCGCTGCTGTGCACCCCCTGGGCATCCCCACCCATCTCCAGAGATCCAGAGATCGCTGGGTGTGATCCACCACCTGAATTTTCACTGAAATCCCCCTCTTTTTCTTTCCAGGCTGAACCAGGGAGCACGGAGACACCGCTACAGATCTATGACACAGCACTTACCTCTTTTCCTTCTGTGTGGAAACTCTAAATTGGCTAATTTCAGCATGGGCTCGCTCGAGCTGGCCGTAAGCCCCGTTTTTTTTGGAAAGGAGAAGGTGATTTTCTTCTTGGTCGCTTTCCTGTCCCTGCTGCTGTCCCCCCCAGAATGTATTTGCATCTTGAGGGGTGACCATTTCTTCCCGGTGCTGGTCCCAGCGGTTTGGCTGGATTTCCTCTTGTTCTGCTGCATCCAAAGCTCGCTGGCTGAGCTAACGTCTTTCGGGGCCACTTCGCCACTCCAGCCCAGCCCCACAATAGTGGGCTTTGGGTTTTCGCCTTCGAGTTTGACTTCTGCTGGTACAGGAGGAGCCGGGTCCGGTGGCAGAGCCAAAGGGCAGTCCCCTTTACGAGCAGCCTCCGAGCTGCAGCAAAGAGAAGGAGCAGCACCAGCCAAACACCCTAAGGCAGCCGACAATTCCAGCGTGTAGCTGCTGGGATCGGAGAGATAATGCTGCAGCTGGCAGAAAGACTGCTCCGAGCTCTTTGTCGAGGATTTAGTGCATTCATCCTTGGCTGATGGCAGGTGAGAAGGACAGGGAACGTCGTCGTTTTGGCCCGAGGTGTGCTGTGCGTTTTGCTCCAGCTTTGCATACTCCTGGAAGTGCTGTTTGATCCGCACGTCGGTGCTGAGCGCGTCCCCCCGGGGAGAAGTGGTGGCTTTCTGCAAGGCATAGCGAAGCCCGGGCAAAACCGAGGCTATTTTTAAGGAGACGTCGCTCCCTCGCCTTTCATCTTTCGGATCGTGCTCTTCAGCTGGGAAAGGAAAAGAAAAAGAATTTTCACTCGTCTTACAAAAGGATTAAACCCCCCCCGAGTCACCTCACCATTAGATGCTAAGAGAACGCTGGCCCCAGGGACAACGTCCTGCTTTGAGAGGTGATTGTCGCTGCTGAAGGTAAAAAAAAATGGCATGTGGGAGTCAAAAAGGAATTAAATGAAGAGGAAAGACTCCTCTTGTATCCACTAGCCCTATTTGCAGAAATCACAGCGAGATCATACGCAGCAGACTCATCCCCTCGCTCTAGCAATTTTAGGACAGTCAGAGCTCTGAAAACGCTTTCTTTCTTTAAACTTGCATAAATTCAGGCTTGCCCACGCTGAGTGTTTAGACTACCACCGTTTTCAGACCACTCATGGGGTTTTTCCTGCTCAAATGCAACCCCCAGCAGCTCCATCCCTACCTGCTGCCAGCGTGGGCGGATGCAGAGCACACGAAGTTGCAGAGTTCGTGCTCTGGAGCGGGATGGGGAAAGGCAAGAAGCAGACTGAGGGATAGTATGAACACCCAGGGGATTTTATACAGCTGGAGGAGGCCTGGTCCTACTGAAAGGAGCTGCCTGTCACTGATCTCAGCAGGAGCAACGTCCTACCACATACGGTGTGTGGTATCATCCACGCTTTGGGTTTAGATCTCACCAGGATGGACAGGAACGAGACCCACGGCTTGAAGGAGCCCAGGCTGGTGGATGGCTCAGTGGGAATGGGTCCTGCTTGGCACAATGATGGCACAGAACCACCAAATATTACGGATTGGAAGGGACCTTGAAAGATCACCTAGCCCAATCCCCCTGCTGGAGCAGGAACTCCTCGATCAGGTCACCCAGGAATGCATCGAGGCAGGTTTTGGATGTCTCCAGAGAAGGAGACTCCACAAGCCCCCTGGGCAGCCTGTCCCAGTGCTCTCAGCCTCACCGTGAAGAAATTTCACCCTATGAACACCTCCCATGTTCCAGCTTGTCCCTTGTCTCTTGTCCTATCATTAGGAGAGCCTGGCTCCGTCCTCCTGACACTTGCCCTTTCCATATTTATAAATATTCACAAGATCACTCCTTAGTTTCTTTTCCTCCAAACTAAAGAGACCCAGTTCCCTCGGCCTTTCCTCGGAAGGGAGATGCTCCACTCCCTTAACCAGCCTCATGGCTCTGTGCTGGGCTCTTTTCCTGCGTCCCCTTAGCACCCAAAAACGCCCAGAGAGCCTTTTGGTGGCCTGCCTTCCCTGCACAAGCAAGATTTGTCCAGCTTCACCCTCTGCGAGGCTGCAGACGGTCTGATTCTTGTCTGATTCTTTGCATTGCAGGCTCGGCCCGTGTGTGTCACCACTCAGAGCTTCCTTTTGGCTTCAGGGCCAGGCTGCCAGCCCCAGCATCTTTCCTTGTCACATCCCTTCCCAACTAGCCATGCCTGGAGGAACCTGGCTTTTTTTTCCCTTCCTCAGACGTGTGGTTTTCTGCTGCTGCCTGGTGCTGGCACTGCTGCTCCTCCTTACCGGCAAGCCCGGGTGTCCCTGTGAGCCTGCCTCCTCCTCTGGCTCGGGGACGCTGCGGCACGCCGGGCTCGTTACGCCCGCCCTACATTCCTGCCGAGCTGTCTGGACAGGAAGAAAAACGCCTTCCGAGGCTGCTCCTTCCAAAATGGGAAACATTATTCAAGCCAAGTGGCTTCAAACGCGTCTGTACTTCACCTCCTTTTCTCTTCGCGTCCTCCTGCTGTCTTCGGTCACCGTCTCCTTCTGTCCCCCAGACCCTGACGTATTTATCTTCAGAGAAAGGAGAAGCCACGAAGCAGAACTGTTTATAATCCCGGCGAGGAGAGCTCTTGGTCCCGGAGGAGAGCCACGGCTGGCTGGGGTTACGCCACTCGCGTAGGAAGAAACGGGACAGCACGTGCGGGAGCGCTGCTGGCACCGGAGGGAAAACATCTGGAAGCCATCAGAGCTCAGACTGTGTCACGTAAAAACACGGAGCATTTTGCTCGACGTTATCCTCTCCCCCTGCCTCTTCACTTGGCTGCCAGCTGCTCCCTGGCTGCCCACACTTTGCCTCCTCTTCGGCATCAACGTGAACCCCGGGCAATGTCTGCTACAGCCCCTGAGCTTCCCACCAAGCAGCCACTTGTGCCCTCTCTGCTTCAGGATGCTCCTGTTTAACCAAACCCCTCTGCTCTGGTATTTTCTCCTCTCCCTGCTGCAGGGATCGATATCTGAGTGGTCAGTTCCCATTTTCAGTCTTATCTCCACGTGTTTTCCCCCTTGGCCTCACCAAACTTTATGCCCTCGCTTCAGGCATCACAGCAAAAACCTTCCTGATCCCAGGCCTGTCCCGGTAGTTTGGATTTTCAGGCTGCCTCTGGATATCCCTGTCTCTCTCCTCTACCTAAAAAAAGAAATGAGAAAGGCTGCCAGGCTAACACAGCCACCAGCAGCCTGCCCTTAAAGCCTCACAGACTGAATTCAGGCCTCAAAGACATTTGCAGCTCACACTGCCAAGTTACCATCGCGTCTTCACAAGACTTACAAGCCCACTTCGTGTGCGGATCCTGAAGGAGAAAGTTTATAGCTGCAGGTTAAACCCCAAAAAGGACAAAGCAATCCGTGTTCTGAAGTGCTGGCAGCCTCTCTTGACGTTTCTGCTGATTTTTATCTTCCGGGGAGGGGAGTTGGGAATGTCCTGTCCAGCTCCACTGGCAACGCCAGTCATCGCACACCCGGGCAGACTGAAATACCAGGGTGTGCTGGCATGTGCGGTCTCTTGGCTTGTCCCTGGGATGACTCAACAAAAAGCAAGCCAGAAGTTACACAGAGCAAAAGGCCCCTGTTTATATCCTGCTCGGGGATCTGCAAGGCCAGGAGGATTCCTGTTGAAGCGCATGAAGTGAGAGGTGTGCAGATGAAGCCGTCCGGGCCAGCTGGGCAGTCACTTTATGTCCACGAGAGGAAACTGGAGAGCGAATATTTCCACAAAACCAAAAGATCCAGAGAAAATGCAAATGCCACGGATGCTGAAACTCATTCTAATTTGGAGATTTGTGTTCAAACTGGGTCATCTTGAGCTGTGCCTCATCTTGATGGCAGCAAAGCACCGTGGCTCTGCCCGACAGCATCTCCCTGCTTCCCTCAAATGCCCTGAAGGGAGCAAATCCCCTTCCCTGCCCCTCTTCCCCCTGCCAGCAGTGACACAGAGCCTGTTGCATTTGTTATCTCAGCAGAGAACGATTCACTTATATTTTAGGCTTTTTTCCCACTGGTTTAGCAAAACACATCACCTCCACGCAGGGTCCAGCAAATGCCGTGATGTTTTACCCCCTTATATGACACAGTGCAGGGAGCAGATGCTGCTGAAAACCAACTCAGAGGAAGAAAAGCAATTGTTTTTCACTCAAGAATCGCAGAAAAGCAATTATTTTTCACTATTTTTGCCCCTCCTGTGAAGGGGCAAGGATGTGCAGAAGGGTCAAAGCACGGAGACCTGGTTTACATCGGCTTAAAAATGAAGTATGGCTGAACAGATGGGACTCATCTCCTCTTTTAACACCCTTTGCACTGAAGCTGTAGGTGGTGTTGAGCTGAGAAATCAGCTTTTCCAGAGGAACACGTCTGCTAGAACCCTCAACTGAAGATCCTGCACCCAAAATGTAGCATCTGAAGCCAGCCAAGAGAACCTCCCTACCTCTCAGGCACACTGCTCGGGACGAGGTGAACAGAAACAGGGCCAGGAGGCTGACAGGCTCCTTGGGGTCGAATCCTGTGAAGTAAAGCGACAGGTTTTGTTTAAAAAACACACAAAAGTGCCCATCCTCTACACTAGGGCAGGTTATTTAAGCCCAAGTGTTGGCTCCTAGGTGGCCGTGCATTACCATCATCCCGTGCCAACGCGGAGGAGGTCAGGAGGATAAGAACTCCTTGATCTTGTAAATATTTGATGATCGCCTGGAACAAACAAAACAGAGTTAGAGCAGCCTCTCCCTGCCCTCCTAAGCACACTTCATGTCACTCAGCGCCGCTGTCAACAAGCCCCGAGTGCTGGTGAACGTGTGCCAACAGCACCAGCTCAACCCTTGCCGAGGACACCGCCGTGCCACTTGAGTCACCGGGACTTGGAGCCCAAAATATTCCATTTAAGGCTGTTATTCATCCCAAAGTCCTCCCATCTGTTACTTAAAACAACAGAAATGCTTAGCCAAACCGACTGCTAGGAACAATTAACGAGCAAGGTTAATAATTTTAGCCCCTTTCGGTTCAAAAGTCCCTGGGCATCTCAGCCACGAAGACTTCTCAGCAGCGCGAGGGGAGGGCTTTCCCAGAAGGGGAAGCAAAGCTGGACACGAGCGTCTGAGTCCGCAGCCAACAGCTCCAGGCACGAGCCCGAGTGAGTTCAGTCCCTGCAGCCTGCTTATTAGCAGCAGCAGCATCAATAAATGTTAAAAAAATCAAAAAGCTGAGCCTAAGAGACCGCCGTGCCTCTGTCTCAGGAGTGGATGACCACATGTCTAAAAAGATCCGTGGGCTTCTCGAGGCTTTTCTGGGATTTGGGTGTTGCCTAATACCTCGGAGCTGGGCTCGGGCTGCCTTTTCTTCCATGAGGACACCCATTTGGATCTCTTTCTGCCGTTCAGACATGTCTTTTAAGGGGAACTTCCAGGACATGAGTAACTCCGGGGCTCCTAATGCTTGGAGAAAGCTCGCTGATCCCATTCAGCACACGCAGACATAACGGAGGATTGGACTGGAGCCCAGCCCACATGACAACGGAGCAGCTTTGGAAATGCTGAACAATTTCAGCGTGATATTTGCTCCTCAGAACGGTAGCTCCTTGCTTCAAACCGTCTCAAGCCAGCCGAGCAGGGCGGATAAAAGCCAAGATGTCACCTGGCTCAATGAAACTGCCATCGTTTCTCACCAGCGGGGCGATTTTCAGGCACATGAGGAGGAAAGGCAAGGCACGAGTCAGCAGCTGCCTGACACAGAGCTGAGAGAAGTCACCCTCCACCCAGAGGAGTGCAGCTGGCCTCGAGCAACCCTGCTCGTTCCCAGCTACTCTTTCATTTTCACTTGCAAGCCAGATGCCAGTGCTCTTGCTGCTTTCAGCACCCAAGCTCCTCACGGCTGCATCTCAACCACCTCATCTTCCCCAGCTCCTCCAGAGTCCAGCTCTGCGAGGCTTGGCAGAAATGAGGAGAAAAGGAGCACAGACAAGGTTACGACCTTGCAGATGCTGGGAACCCCGAGCAGTGCAGCATCAGGTGAACTTCAGCGTGGGTGCCACAACCAGGTGCCCATCTGATGCCACCAGCACGAGAAGGGACATTTACCTCGTCTACGCTATCTCCTTCTTTCATTTCTCCTGTTGTTACCAATAAAAGGCAGTCTCATCAAGGATTTATGGAGGCTGAGAGCATTTCCTGCAAACACTTGCTCTGGTATGGCAGAAGCACGTTGGTGGGCAGCTCTTCAGCAGTGCCTCACAGCACCAGCCCTTCCAGGCAGCTCGTGGAGTGCTGCCAGCTTACGCTGAGGGGAGGATGTGCCCAGCCAGTTGTGTGTTTTCAGCTGGGAATTTACAACCCTGAACCTACAGACAGGGTCAGATGGGACAGCGCAAACAGCAGCAGCAAAGCCAAACCCCAAGCACGAATCCCAGAAGTGCTGAGCTCCTCGGGGGTGATGCTCAGCCCCTGGAGTCAAAAGGAGACACGAAGATTGTGCTGGGAGCAGGAAAACCCCAGTGTGCTGGAATAACTCTTATCAGGTCTTATTGTGCAAGCAGCCTTCAGCAACAACAGATGGGAAATTCTCTGTTAAAGCAGAGATAAATCTCAATATCTTCAGAAGCCCCCAAGGCTTCAGCAGCGTAGCTGTGAGGAGCTGAGTGGGGACTATTTTTCAGGCAGGAAAAAAAAGGAAGAAAGGCAGGCACGTGGCAGTTTATGTCTTTTGCTTAGTAATTCTCATTCTAGCACGGAAAGCTCCCACTTTCTTAATATCTAAGATCCCCTTGCAGTCCTTGTCCACTATGGAAATGCAAAGACAAGCCAATAAACCAGTCTCATCTGGCACAAAGACAGCCAAAGAGGTCTGCCTGCTACATTTCTGCTCGCCCCAGAAATCAGGTCCCAGCTCATAGGGAGCAATCTTCAGTTAGCAGAAAGACTAAACTATGTTGGAGAACAACTAAGCATGAAAATAATACTTAAAGCAGAGAAATTCATTCCATTTTGCATTATTTCAGAATCTTTCAGTAATGCTACCAAAGATTCAGAAGAATATTTAAAAGAATATTTTCCTGCCAGAACGAAAACGTTTTAAAATACTTACCAAGTCCCTTTTCTTTAGATTTTCTAATAATTGGTTCATTTTATGTTGATCCTTATTCGCTATTTCCACTTCATATAGACTGAAGTAAACGCCCTGGAAGCAGACTGCGGACAAAAGAGAGAGAACTTCACGTTGAATGTCTCTTACATCAACTCCAAACAACCAAGCACTCCCCTACCAGGAAGGTGGGGGTGCAATTGATGGAAGCACTGGTTTTGTTTTGTTTTTTTAAAGAAAAGCAAAAACCAAACCTGTTATGAAGATTTCTTAATATAAGACATATGCATTGATATTATAGGGAGTTTCCTCTTCAACCCTTGGTTCATAGGAGATGTTTCCTATCCTAGCTCTGCAGCTACGAAAAGCAATTTGAGTGATGCTGCAGGAGGTGCTGGGTCAGACCCCGAGAGGTGGAATGTCCCTCACCTCACTGGGAAATCACGTTAGAAATTCTGTTTTCCTGCAAATCCTAACTGCAAACATCCCCTGCAAATGCTAGCGGGTTTTACACTCACCTTCATTCTCAATGTAATTTCTTTTCCCAAACGCAGCTTCTGGCAGCTTTTTCTTCAAGTCAGACAGCCCCATGACGTGGTTAATGTCCAGGTTGGGAGGCCTGTGGGGAGAAAGCAGCGGGGCTCACGTGCAGAAAAGGCTCTCAGGATTAAGCCCAGGTGTAGCCCTGTCACTGTGAACCACTCCAAACACTGATATTTGTGCCCTGCTACTGGCTGTTCCAAGTTGTTACCTGCTGGATGGCCCCTGACTAATGAAGGTTTTAAATACCTCCCTTTTTTGAATGCCACATACCTCAATAATTTATTTGCCACCATGCCAATCTGTAAACACAATTGGCTAACTTTATTTGCACTGTCAGGAAGCCCACTTCTCACAAGGAGAAATAATCCCCAGCAGGGGTAATTGTTTCAGAATAAACATGCCCAAACTGTTAACATAACAAAGTGGTGACAAAACGCAGCTGTTTCCAGCTGCTGTAAGAAGCCTGATCTCGTGTCCTCCTCCAGCTGCTACTGTGTGTGACACCACACTGCTGGCTGCCCCAAATCCCTTCCTGACACTGATAATTCCCCCGACTGTGTGTAAGGTAATTTGGCACAGCTGCAAGAAGCTGTTGATCAATGAAAGGATGGGGCAACAGACACAAAATTGGCTTTTCTGGTACATGGATACCCAGGTGCTGGAAGCCAACCTGCCTGCTAAAGACCCAAATATAATCCCAAAAGGGTTGGTAAGAGTGGTTGGAACGCTACATACCCCAAATATTGCACAGAAAGAAGAGGAAAGAGCAACTTACAGCTGTGCTGGGATCGTGGAGCTGTACGGGGTCCTCAGGGCAATGTTGCACAAGAGCTGGCCCCGGATGGAGAGCTGCCCCCTCCACGGGCAGTAAAACGCTACTGGCAAAAGAGAGAACGGCTCAGAAAAAGCAGGAAAAAAGAGGATGGCAAACGGATAAAGGCACATTTATCAAACAAATCCAACTGCCAGATGTCCTTACCTTTGTGGTTAGGCTCAGGTCTAGAGAAAAGGGAGAAAAAGAAGAATATTTAGCAATGGGAAGGGGAAAAACAGCCCACACAAATAGTGTTTTGGAAGGACAGCAAGCTGCTTACAGACTCTCTCTAGCTAAGACGGGCATCTCCTTTGGCTCTCTGTACTGGCAGGTGATGACTATGTAGGGGCAGATCTGCCTGGGGCGCTCCGCAGCGCTGCCGTCGGACACTTCATACACGTAATACTAGGGGGAGAAGGGAAACAGATGAAAATACGTGGTGGAGAAGGAGCAAAGGCAGCTCAGCCAACGCTGTGCTCCCCTGCTGCCTGCAGGCGAGCTGTCTGCACAGTCCTTCCACTCCAAAATCCCATACCTGGCTCTGCTCGAAGGCCTGGCAGGGGCTGGCCTTTGACGGGACGATGTTCTTGCTCACGGCGACGTGGCAGTCGTAGCCGGGAGAGGGGCAGGTGTAGCTGGTTGTGTAATTCTCAGACACCACCTTCACCTTCCCCTGGGTAAGCAAATGTAATAGTAATTTAAAAAAGAATACACAAAAGCGTTTGCAGAGACGTATTTTGAAGGACCCCCAAATCATCCTCTTCCCTAAAGAGCAGTGCTCGCGTCTTGAGGGGGCTGTGGGTGTTTGAATCCTTCCAAACAGGAGGGGATGACTTGTCTGAGCTTGGTTTGGCACACAAACCAGCTCCAATGAGAGCCAAGAGGAGCAAGGTGCTTTCACAGCCTGCTACGGAGAGCAGGAGCCAGTGGGGAAGTGAGAAAGGGGCCCTGCGCCAGCCCCATGGAGGAAGGGAGTCCCTCCTTAAGGAGGAACTTGAGCTTCAAACTGTCTCAAACTGTAAAAATGCATGAAAGTCTGGGGGAAAAAGTGACCCTACTGGAAATTTCTGATCGCAGGGGTAGCATTTGGAAGGTTTTCTGCATCCCTGAGCCACCAGCCAAGCCCAGCCTGATGTCTTGCTTTCTAGTCTGGCACATCCCATGGTCAAAAATCCCAAAGAGCTTTCAGCAGAGCTGACTTTTACACCCTACCCCACCACACTGCTGGGCACCAACGTGTCCTTAAAAACCACCTGCATCGTACACCGATTTAGGAAAACCACTCCACGTAAAAGAAAAAGTTGTGTTTTACCTTAATTAGCTTGCAGATGACAATATAGCCTGATTTCCCATGGTACCAGGGTCTTGGAAGAAGACAGTCAGCGTACTTGGATATATACACCCCTGTGAAACCAAAGCAATGCAAGATAGCATGAACGGTCTGTCGAGAAATGTTGAGTGCTGAAAAACCTGTCAAGAGGAAGCTCCTGTGAAAGGGATTCTCTGAAGAGCCAGCACTGCAAACCTCATTGGACTCTGCTGCCATAAAAAGGGTGAAACTCTTCTTGACTCTCTTCCTATTTTGCCTGCTGGTGTGGAACAGCATTTTATGTTTCAGGGTCAGCTCTGGGAAAGGAGTGAGCAGTTCACTCGGGTTTCTTTTGGGACAAGAGCCCAGTTAGTTTCAGTTTTGTCTGCAACACATGAGAGTGCATGAAAACGTACCAAGCAAAGGGTTGTGTCTCCTAGGAAGATGTGACAAAGGGCTTCTATATTTGCAGACAAGATGGGTGTTGAAGTACTTTGGGGGAATATGGGGACAAGCCAGGGCTGAGAAGGGCTTTGGCACATCCTGATCTGCTCTGGTTATTAACAGGACTGCTGGCAAAAGCTCAGCACAGCGGTTCTGAAGAGCAAACCGGTGTGCAGAGCTGCCAAAAAGTCACTTTGGTGACAAAAAGGTGGTTATTAACACAGGAAAAAAAAGCCTGAAATGGAGAGCAGAAGAGACAATACACTTGCTGGGGAAGATCCTCATCTGGTTGAGGGGACAGAAGGAAAACACTGCTCCTTCCTTGATCCAAACAAATGCAATTTGGATCAAATGCAAATTTCTTTCTGGTAAGAAACACGTGTGGCTCTGTGGGTCTTTGCAGCAAATAGCAAGGCAGTACCAGGAGTTTTATCTGGGCTTTTGGTTTTGTTTTTAAAGGAGATTATGTCTCCAGAAAAGTGAACTGAATGGAAAATCTTACCTTTCGCTGGATCACCAAGCATGGAAATAGAGCTGCTGTTAACTCGGAGGCCCGTCTGACACACTTCTTTGGCCTTCAAAAGAAGAAACAGCCTCTTTTACTGCCTGTTTGCAAAGGTAAGGGGCACAGCTACCTAAATCTGCAGTACAACAGTCAGCAGAATACTTGCAGCAGGCAAGTCAATTACAAATCACTGCAGAGCCAAAACACATGCAGCATAAACACTCCTAAACGCAACAACCACCGAAACCAACAGGAAGAAAATGTGTCATTTTGGGTGTGAAATGCTGAGTGTGCTTCTAAAGGACTGCTCCAACAACCTCCGTGGAAACAGAAGCATTTTCTGCATCCGTGGGGCGAGGGAAAAGCTTCAGAAAACCTGGAGAAAATCCAGCATCTCCAGAAAAGGGTGCAAGCATACGGCTGGACTTTGCACTTTCTTTATGTGCACAGGACATTTGTTGAAAGATAACCACAATGGGGTTGGCATGAACAGCAAGGATACTTTCTGCTCCGTGCTTACACACGCATGGGGCACAATTGCTGCCTTGGGAGTGCCTCGCCCACTGTGGTTTAATCCAAACGGATTTCTTAAAGCACACAAAGACCAAATTTACATTGACCAAAGAGTGACAACAGGAGCAGCCAGTTTGAACTCATGGTGGGTGAGAAATTAAGGCAAATTGGTCAAACTGCCCTCGGCCTCTTTATAAGCAACATGGAGAACTTATCTCATCTAATATCTGCCTCCTAAAAGCCAAGTGCTGCCTTCTGTCACAGAAATGTTTTTCTCTTCTAATTGTGTGTGGAAGGTTTTCACCTGCCCGTACTTGACTGTAAACTCACTGGAACAAAGGAAGACTTCTTATAGCTCCCTGCAGAGGGCAAAGGAGACCTCAAACAGTGATCAACTGGAGAGTCTGAAAACAGGATCCATCACTAAACCTCCTGAGTGCTGCTTTCAGAACCTGCTTTGGAATATTTATGCAGCAGCAACTGCGCAGGTAACCAGGGTGTGAAAAGCCAGGACACTTTGTCGACAGAGCTGCTGGGCTTTTGTGGGAAGGAGCCCATGTACAGGCACTTGGCATCGACCTTCTGAGCTGAGTAAACATTTTAGGTTACCTCTTCTTCATTGTCAAACAGGAGAAATGCAAAGGTCTCCTCCAGCTCCTCCTGGCTGTAGCCGGCGGCTTCCTTTGCTTGGACAAAAGCTTTGAGCTGCAGAAAACACAACAACAACATCTGGTTCTAGTCCATTCGTGCCAGAGCCAAGTGACTGAGCAGTGAGAGAAGGTGTGCTGCCCACAGACCTCCAGCTGCACAGGCATCCCCTTCCCCAGGCACACACACACCCAATATCCCACAAGAACCCCAATCTGTACAGCTCTCTGACTCTATTTTGTCCCCAGAAGAATATTTAATATCCTCCAAGAGAGAGCAGGCACATCCAGCCTCGCAGCATCCCGCTGTGGCACAAAGGTGGCCGTGGCTGTGTGCATCCCAAGAAAATCCATCTTTATTCCTCCTCGCCCCTCTCACCAAGCTGCTCGGGAGCTTTTCAAGCATCACATTTAGTGGCCAGCTGCAGCCATCAGAGGACAAATCAACCATGGATACCTACACGAGGGGGAATGCTTGGAGATGTTTTTCTAGCCTGGGAAGCCTGAATTATTTGATCAGAGAGCAGATGCTGTCGTGCAGCTACAGCTCAGAGGGTTTGGCTCCAGCCAGATCACAAATTACTCTGGTTTTTGTCTGATGATTAAAGCAGCACACGTTCCCAGTGCTGGCAACAAATAGAAAGCTGTGTCCGTGATGGTTTTGGGCTTTGCTAAAAGAAGTTGTGGAAGATGTTGTTTTTTTTAATGGGATTATAAGATAAGAAAACAATAGTCTTATCACTGCTTTTGCTTATTTTGACTTCAGAACTCACAACAACTGACTTGCTTCCTGATTCCCCAGCTTTTCAGCCAGTGAATTCCCTGGATCTAAGCAGCCAAGATCTCTAAGCTCTATTTAATTCACGACAACAAGCAGACGGGTCAGCTCCTGCCTTCAGAGAATACAGCTCATCTTCCACGCCAATGGCAACGAGACTGGAGGGATGAAGGCATTTAAAAGCGGTTCCACAAATGACCCCAGACAGCTGGAAGAGGGATATTTGGGGTTAAACCTGGTGCCTGCAGAGGTACGAGGGCAGAAATACCATGTGGGCATCTGCCTTGCTGTGAAATCAGGGCTAAACGTGACGTGCAGTGCTGTTAAAGCCCTGCTACCAGGCATCACAGCTGCATTTCAACCAGCTCCACGAGCTCCTGAAGTTGGCTGAATTCACCTCTGTTCCTGATCAGACTGGGAAGGAAGGAGGAGAAGAAAGCAAAGCAAAGGCTCTCCCCAGTCAGGAACTACAAACGGGGCTCTGCAAGGCAGGCAGGTGAGCCACACGCTACAGAGGAAAGACAGATGTGCCAATAAACCAAAATTTACAGCCCCTACAGCCCCCCAGTTGGGGCCCCAAAGAAACGCCACCGTTTCCTGAGCTTCCAGCTCTCCCAGGGGTCTCACCTCGTTCAGAAAAACAGCGTTTTCCACCAGAATTGCTTGGCTGTACTGAAACCCATCCTGAGACGTCGAATCCAAGTAGCAGCTTTGCAGCACTGAAACCGCTGTCTGCAGCAGGGAGCTCGACTCTTGCGACTCTGGATGAAAACCTTGGGGAAGGAAAAGCCAAATATTAATCCTGGTCGTTCCCAGATGGGTGCGGGGCCTCAGCAGAGCCGGGTGGCAGCTGGCTGTGACTCCCAGCACGCTGATTTAACAAGCCCAGATCTCCACGGAGCTGATCTATCAGCTCTGAGGCTCCCACTGGGACGTCTCCAGCAGCTCCCCTCCAACCACGCAGCCCCCAGGTCTTGCTCTGAAAGCAAAATTCACCCTCAGCCAGGAGGAAAAGGGGCTGCCTGTTGGCTCACGAGCTCTTAAACGTTCTTTCTTTGCAACAGAAAAAAAAAGGGAAATTGTTAACAACTGCCAAAGAAGCAAAACCTGCTGGCAAATTAACTTTACAACCTATGAGCAAGGTCAGAGTTGTTTTTTCTTTCTTGTGCTAAAAAGTTGCTTAGATTTGTGGCGAGCTCCTGCAGGCTGCGAGAGCTGACGTCTGCACACAGCTGCTCCGTGGCCAGGTTGGTTTCTTGGGGTTATGGGTTTTGCTCTAAAGGTCTTAATGAACGTGGTTTGCAGTGCCACGAGGGCAAAACCTCCTGCACAGCCCCATCACGCAGAGCCCAACCCCTCCCCAGGTATCTCCTAAGGAAAACATCCCAATAAAACACCTCCCAGCAGCATCACACCAAGAAGAGATCCCAAAGCAGCCACCAAATGAAACACGCAGGCAGAGACAAAGGAAAGCCCTGCAATATTTACGCTCCTGCTGCTGCTAACATCCAAATATCAATTACAGCAGCCGTGGAGAAACACAGGAAATCCTGGGCTCGGTCCCTGTTGCAGATTTACAAAGCTTTACTGCTGGTGATGATTCACGACCTACGGGATTTGAAATCTCGAGCCGAGCTTGCAACACAGACACGCTGGAAAAGCTGATTGCTTACGACCCCGGGAACTTAAAAAAAAATATATAAAAGCAATCATTTGTGAGAAGCGTGGAACCTCCAGACCTCGCGCCAAGGTTTGGCGTGCTGGCTGCTTTTTAAGAAAAACCTCCCAGCATTTTTGAAGACAAACAGGTAAGGTCCCACTTCAACCTCCAGAGCAGAAAGGCCCACGAGGAGGGATAGCATCAGGTGCTGCCTTGTGACCTCTTCGGGGTTTTAATCCTATATTTAAAGGGTTGGTTGTCATCTTTCCCTCCCCTCAACTTAAATAAGTAAATAAGAGAGAAGTATTTAGAGAAATAACAAGATTTGTGACACAGGTGAATTACTCAGGGTCAATAAAGGATTTTTTTAAAAGGGGCAGAGGAAAATATCAGCTAGAACTGTGTGCATCCAGATAGAGACAGCGTCTGCCCCATGCCAAGCAAACGAGAAATGTGGACATGGCAAAAGGTGGGGGGAAACGTGTCCAGAAATACAACACAACTGGGCTCTCAGGGCAAAAAAATAAAAGATGAAGAGGTCTTGCAGACCTCTGCCTGTATTATTTTCTCTCTTTGAGCCTAACGAGGATGGGAAGGGGTACGTTTGCTCATCTTTTTCCTTGCTTGCCTCTTGTTTTGCTTTGTCTCTGACTCCCTCTTGCATCCCCTCAATCTCAAGGCAGCAATCAGCGAGTTCAGCCTCCCCCAGGTAAATCAGAGTGGGGAATTACATCCCAGCTCTGCACAAACACAAAACCCCTTTCTGCCTCTGCCCCCAAGAAACATTTGTGTCCAGAGCCATGTCCCGAGCTGCAGAAGGGCGACCAACCTGTCCTCAGCATCTTCTCCAGCCTAACCAAGCCTGGCTCCCTCGACTGCTCCTCTTGGCCCCAAAACACCAGGTTGCAACCGGTGCCATTTAATCCCGTGGCTCCTGCTCTGAGCACCTCGCTCCTCGGGCCGTGGTGCTCCGCTCCTCCCGCTGACAGCTCCGGGCAACGCCGCGTCCTCGGCAGCTCTGGGGAAAGACTGAGATGGGAAGAGGATGAGAAAAGTCGTGGCTGAACCCCGCTGTGAGTTTCCATACAGACACCGAGCTGACCAGGCAGCTCCCGGGGTTAAAAACCGCTTCAGGAGTGGAACATCGAGGGTTCGTGGTGCTAAATCAGCAAAAGCATCGGGTATTCTCGCGGGGGTGAAAGCGAAAGGATTTCTAAAAAGCCTGAGAAGCTCTGGGAAATGCAACATAAGCAGCAGTTTTGAAGGTTGTAAGTCAAACATTTTGCTCCTCCTGTTCCCTGCGAGTTTAAGTTCGGCTGCTGCGTCAAACTGAAAGTCCAGGAATCCCCCCCCCAAAAAAAAGTTGATGCAGAAATAACATAAATAAACGAGATGAAACAATCACAGAGCATGGCACCGAGTCCAGCAGCTCGCTGTTGACCCCCACCTTCCCTTTCAGACTCAAGAAGCTCCTTCAGATCTGTTCCCACCCCAAAAAAGACTCTTTTTGCCCCCCAAGAAAGCCCTACAGAACCCTGACATGGCCAGGCTGAGTGCGCGGCACTGAGTGGGTGAAAATGAAAGTGCCTGAAGGAGAAGCAAAAGTGAAAGCGGCCGCCTTCCCTCCCAGCAGCTTGCACGTGCCACCACCCGGCATCCTCCGGGGGCCGGGGACGGCACAGACACGTGGGGAAACGGATGGATGGAGAAACCCAGCACGGCCAGGTCCTGCTGAACCCACGCTGGGTGTTATCCGGGCCCTGAAATCCTCAGGAAGGGCTTCGCAGCCTGTCCTGGTGGTCAGGATCTCTTCCTTCTTCATTTCCCGTCCTGCTTTTGCTGCTCCCACTCCAAAGCCGCTGGATTTTACTTTCTCATCAACCCCAGCACGTGATAATTAATTGCCGCGGCGATTACACGAACTGTCCCTTTCCATCCAGCCTCATAAAATACCTGCCCGAGCAGCTCTTTACCTGCAAACTCCTTTCAGCGACAGCCTGCACAGCCCAACATTTATAATGAACCTTGCTTCGTTAGTGCTGAAGATGCTTGACTCAGCGCAAGGCCAAAATTGGGCCAAATTACGCCAGAATTGGTGCATTTGCAAACCAATCACCCGAGGCAGACCCCAGAGGCATATCTGAGAGGCTTATTTGAGCCTCTCGGGGTTTTCTTGCATTTGAATGCGGGTTCTGCAAAGCCTTCCAGCCTCAAAATATGCCAGCCAAGCGCCTCGTTCCTGCTCCTCCTGCTGTTATCGGTCACTTTTCCAGCTTTACTGCTTCCCAGCGCCTTTTTCTGTTGCTTTCTTGCTTTTTTCCTTCCCGTTCTTTCTGTCTTAAGATGCAGGCAACTCTTCTAACCTCGTATTTTTAGGGATTTTACTGAGCAGAGCTGCCTGAACCTGCCTCCTGGGAACGGAGGGGCTCCAATAACCAGCTGCCCTTTCTGAAGGTCTCAGCACAGACGGGTTAAAAAATCCCATCAGATCTGTGGGAGAAAAAAATAATCTATGAAATACTGATTCCAGCTCTTCCTCGGGAAGTCCCCGAGGCACAAACCTTTGGCAGGGAGCATGAGTGCTCAAAAGGAGTGCTGGATGGCCGTCTCCTTGATATATTTTTACTAAATTCGTGGCTCCTGGAGTCAGGGCATTGGCTGAGACAGATGCAAGGGCTCAGAGATATCCCAGAGAATCAGCATGAGGTTTTACCTCCGGCACGTAAATCCCAAATCCCTGTAACAGACAATCCCAAAGCACCTCTCTGCAGCGGATGTCTCCTCGTACTCTCACAAAAGGAGCCACGGGAGTTCAAGAGCCTCATAACTGTGACGTTTTCCCCCAGAAACGCTGGCTTTGAGCATTCAAATTGCTGCGGCAAGGGGAAGTTTTTGGGTGGCACGGCTCTTTGTGTATTTAAAAGCACCTCTAGGATCAGGTAATGCAGACACCTATGCTGAAAGAGCATTTAAAGGCTTTTCATCTCAGTATCAGTGAGTGTCAATATTTATTTAGGTCACATTTTAGGACCAGGGCTATGCAGGGTGCTGAGGCAGCCCCTCAGGAGAGACACCACTCTGCCCAGAGGACCAGCAGCCAGAGTCCTGCTCCAGAGAAACCTTTCTTTGATTTTAACATTTCTTTGATATTAAAACCTCCCTCCCAGTACCTTCAGCTGCTCGTGTAATTGAGGATGTGGTTATTACGTTTTTTTCTCTCGTTAATACACCACGCCGGCAGTTGTTGCTGCCTTTCATCTCAGCAGATGCTCCTCCAAGGCCTCTCCTGCTGCAGCTCCCCTCTTCTGTCACCTTCTGATGCGTTGCCAACCGTCGTGCATCCCTTCAGCTGCAGGTGTCCGCATCGACTCTTCCTAAATCTTGCACTGTGATGGGTATTTTAGCACTTGGATAGCTAAAAAACACCCCTTTAAAAACCAGCCAGCCCAACAGCTCTCCATGCTAGCACACTCTGGCCTAAAACAGTCAGTCTTGATGCCGTGGGAGAGCTGGAGACGCGTGCACAGCAAGCCCTGAACCCGCTGCTGACAGGTTTACCTTTGCTCTGTGATATTTCACGGGTCCCTCGCTTGCAGCCCGCAGGCTCCACGTTGAAACCCACTGCGTTGAAACCCAGGCAACCACAGCGTACCCGCAGAGCAAATGCAGCCCTCCTGAGAAACGTCGCCCCGTGAGCTGGAGTTCCTCCGCTGCGCTGCTCAGGACATCCCAAAAAATCGATGCCAGTGATGCCCTGGACCCAAAGTTCAAGCTCTGCAGCGATGCCTAGGGTTTCCCAACACACAGGAGGCTTTGTGAGAGCAACGCTTCACGCGTTAAAAACAACCTTTGCAATAAACAGCTCCTTCATGGGCTTTCCATTTGAGGAAAGAATAAAAAAAATAGTGTTTGTGGCTGGAAAAGTGGGCTTATAGTTACCCTGCCTGAAAAAAATGCAGCTACGCCCCTCCAAACTGCCAGTCACTTGCTTATTTTTGCCTTTGAGCAAGCTTGAGAACCTCCAAAACAGGGCCAGAGCCTTCCTTTGGCTGGCTTCTTCTGCTCTCACCGTGGATGCTCTTCTTCTAGCGTTGACTTTCTTTCTTGTTTTGCTTGATTTGGCAACAAACCTCTACCCACACGTTCTCTACGGACCCTTTGGTTACGGAAATTACCACGACACACTTCCAGTTTCAAGCACAAAATAGAACCGAAGCCAAAGGCTAAATAAAATCTACCCCACGTGCATGCCAGCTTCAGCCATCCACCAGAACTTTCGGGTAGTAATTCCACCGCCAGGAAGAACAAAAAGCCAAAGAGTGCCCAAACTGCCCTTAACCAAAAGGATAAGCATTTCACTTTCTCGGCTCAAAGTGATTTTAACCAGTAAATATCCATGCTTTAGCCAACGCCAAAGTGACCAACCTGCTTATTTCATGTAAATAAAACTGGCCCAATTCCACCAAAACTGTAATTTCACGTGCAATTTTCTTGCTGGCTACACTGATCTTCACAAGCACTTGCCCCTGCGCTCCTTCTCGTCCCCTGCTGGTACAATCAAGGCTGAGTAATGAAGAAAATCATCAAACTGCAGTAGAAAATGAAGTCAAAGAGGCCACTTTTAATCCAGGCGGGTTCAGCATCTGGATTGCCAACACAGATCAGAGTCTGGCAGGACACAGACAGGGAGTGTCAGGGGGTCAGTATTTGGGACCAGGGAACACTGAAGCAAGCCCTGCTGCTGCAGAAAACACCAGGTTTAACAGGAACACTAAAAATAGACCAAACTAGTATGTAAAACCAGTTTCAGTGCCACGTAATGCGATCTCTAGTCCTGGGCAAGCACTTAACTGTTGTTCTTATCAGAGAAGATAGGGAATTCTCTGACCAAACGCTGTTTTACATTGGAAAAGAGCAGTTTCTGTGAAACCAGTCATTTTCTTGACAACGTGCTGTATCTAACCCATTCAGGTGCAATCTCCAGGCACAGCCATAGGATGGTTTGCACAGCAGAAGACCTGTGCTCGTCTCCCCCTTCGTTAATGCACGCACCGTAACGAGATCCTCCGAGCAACGCTGAGAAATGTCCACTCTGCAACAAGCAGCCACCGAATGCTTGGGGTAAAACCAGTGGGTTAATGTCTGACCTGAATCCCGCAGAGCTGAGCTTTACCCACCACCTCCTGCATCCACCACGAGTGCCAAGCCCCTGGGCTGCTGACTATTCCGCACCACGCAGGCTTTCTTGCATTTAAAAAAAAAAAATGTTGTTTCCATGCAGAAAATAACATGTTTTACAACTATTTTGGTGTCATTCATGCTCCTGCCTGCTCTGTCTACCCGGATTAACCCCAGATAAGGAGTGCACGCGTGGGACAACTCGCAGGGGGATGATCTGGAGGCAGAAACCAGCGTGGAAACACCATTTCCACCCCAAAAAGGCTGCTTCACAGCCCGGCAGGGCAGCACGGCCGCTCTGAAGGGGAAACAAAGAGGCCTGCCAGCCTTCTGTACGTATATATGTCGCAGGGAAGGGGCCGTATGCCTCGATACCCGTTTGTATTTCCACCTCCTGCTCCTGAAGGGCACCTGCGGGGACAAAACCCAGCTCCCAAGGACAGCCGCAGCTTTTCCCAACCATTTCCACCACCCAGCTGCAAGCGGGAGGCAGGACAGCCCCTCGCTTCCCCGAGAAGCCAAGGTGACATTAAAAAACGAAAAAAAAAGGCTTTTTTTTAATGGGTTTTAAGGCCTGCTGGAGGCTTGGGGCTGGCGTCCTTATGGCCGAGCAGGTGCCTCCATCCCTCCTCCCCCAGGGGCTGCTGCGGAGGGATGGGGGGACCCCAAGAAAGTCCCTGGAGGGGGGTGTTAAGGGGTCGCAGTCCCTGAAAAGGGGGTTTTAGGGGGGATTAGGGGGTAAACACGGATGGGTTTACCCGTCCCGGTGGAAAGGCTGGGGGCCGGTGGAAGGGATGGGGCCGGTCCCCGCTCACCCGTAGCCGGCCCTCCGGCCGCCTCCTGCCGCCTGTCGCCCATAGCAGCCGGGGCTCGCCCCTTTCCTCGCCGCTCTGCTCCGGCCCTGGCTTCTCCGTTCCTCGCCACCATGGCCACCAACACCACAACCACCACCGCCGCCGCCCGCCCGGCCCGAGGACGGGCTCAAGCGGTGCGGGGCGGGCGGGCAGCGGGCAGCCGCCATCCGCCGGCCCCAGGAAGGGAAAGGGAAGGGGAGGAAAAAGCCGGCCGAGGGCGGGCCGAGGGCGGGCGAGCGGAGAAGTTTTGTGGCGGTGGGAGGGTAAGGAAAGAAAAAAAAAAAAAAAAAAAGAAAAAAAAACAGAAAGTGAAAATTGAACCGGAAAGACAGCGCGGCCGCGCCCGCCGCTTTCCTCTTCCTCGCAGGTCACCCAGCCGGGCATGGCTCGGCTGAGGGGGTGCGGGTGCTGAGAGGGGTTTGGCTCAGCCATCCGTCAGTCCCTGCCCCGAGCTGCTTGGTGGTTTCACTCATGCCTTCCCTCAGCCCCCCGCAGCTTTCTCTCAGCCCCTTGGTGCCTTCGCTTAGTCCCCCTCAGCCCCCTTGGTGCCTTCCTTTAGCAGCCTTCCCTCAGCTCCTTCCCTCAGCCCCCTACTGCCTTCTGTCAGCCCCTTGGTGCCTTCGCTTAGTCCCGGTCAGCGCCCTTGGTGCCTTCCCTCAGCCCCCTTGGTGCCCTCCTTTAGCCCTTCCCTCAGCTCTTGAGTCCTTGGTGCCTTTGCTTAGTCCCTCTCAGTCCCCTCAGCCTTTCCTTCAGCTCCTTCTCTCAGCCCCCCCACAGCCTTCCTGAATCCCTTCCCTGAGCTCCTTGGTGCTTTTCCTTAGCCCCCCTCAGTTCCCTGGTGCCTTCCCTTAGCCCCTTCCCTGGTCCCTTCAGCCCCTCCCTCAGTCCCGTCCCTGATGCCTTCATCACCTTTCTTCAGCCCCCTCCCTCAGCCCCCTCAATGCCTTCCTCAGCTCCTTCCCTCAGCCCTGTGGTGCCTTGCCTCAGCCCCTTCCCTCAGCACCCTGGTGCCATCCCTCAGCACCCTTCAGCCCTTCCTTCAGCCCCATCCCTGATGCCTTCAGACCTTTTCTTCAGCCCTTCTCTCAGCCCCTTGCCCCTCGGTCCTCACCTCACATCCCGGGGCCTCTCCCTCACCTCAGTCCTTCCCTCATGCCCTCAGCACCATTCTTTGGCCCTCGGTGCCTTCTCTGGTCACTTTCTTCAGGCCCACCCCTCAGGGCTTTCCCCCATCCTTTCAGCGCTTATCTTCAGCCCTTTCCTCAGCCCCTCCTTTCACCCCTCAGCACCCTCCTTCGTCCTCTCGTCCCTTCACAAAGTCAGAATGGCCGAGGTTGGAAGGGACCTCTGAAGATCATCCAGTACAAACCCCTGCCGAACAGGAGCACCTAGAGCACGTTGTGCAGGATGGCGCCCGAGGCGGGTTTTGAGTATTTCCAGAGAAGGAGATATCTCTGGGCAACCCGTCCCAGTGCTCTGTCACCCCCCCAGTAAAGAAGTGCCCCCTCACATTGAGCCAGAACCTCCTGTGCTTCAATTTGTGCCCATTGCCTCTCATCCTGTCACTGGGCACAACTGAAAAGAGACTGGCTCCATCCTATCGACACCGTCCCCTAAGATATTTATATACATTAATGAGGTCTCCCCTCAGTCTTCTCTTTTCCAGGCTAAACAGGCCCAGCTCTCTCAGCCTGTCCTTGTATGACGGGTGCTCCAGTCCTTTAATCATCCCCATAGCCCTCCTCTGGACTCATTCCAGTAGCTCCATATCCCTCTTGTACTGGGGAGCCCCAAACTGGACCCAGCGCCCCAGGCATGGGGCCTTCTCTCATCTCTCCCTTCATCCCCTCAGCCCTGTCCCCGCTGCCCCCTGTCCCCATGCCCCCAGGTCCCCAGGTGGCCCTGGTCCCCACTCCGCAATGTCCCCAGGGCAGGGTCCCCATGCAGTGGGGTTGCTCGTTTGCCCCGTTTCCATAGGATTTTCCCCAGCGTGTTTCAAAGGGCCTGCTCACCAGGCACTCGTGGATTTAGTTCCTCTTGAAAATAAGGAAAGTTCCCCTTGAAAATAAGGAAGCGTGTGGCCTGGGGCTGGATTTGCTCCAAGAATGAACATTTTTAAGGAGAAAAAAAAAAAAAAAAAAAAGCAGATAAATAATCCAGTTTCCCTCCACTACCTGGGATCCCAGAAACAGGGTGTGGGGCTTTGATCTCACTCCTCTCTTCCCTTGCCCAGTCGTCCATGCTCTGCTCAGCCCATGCTGTGAACAAGCTGTTGCAATAGGTGGTGCAAGGAACGAGGTGATCTGGACCGCCTACACAAAGCATTGAGCAACCAGGGTGCCTTTGGGGTGTCCCAGCTCTGGATTAGCTCCGTTTTGGGTGTATTTTTACATGTTGGGGTAGTCACAGCCTTAGCAAACTGAGGAGAAAAAAAAAAAAGAAAGAATCATGAGGTGATGACGTGACAGCCCACATGGCATTCGCTTCGTAGTCAAGGCGATGCTGCAGGTCGTTAGCGTGCTGTTGAGGTAATTACGCCACCTTAACACCTCACAGCCACAATAACAGTGTGCAAAGTGCTATTAAGCAGTGAGAAAACAAAGGTGTGGGGAAGAGTAAGGGATTTTTTCAGTGTCCTGCAGACCATGGAGCCTCAATGATTTGCCAGAGTCCTTCTAGATCCTACTGACATGTCAGAGACTGGAATTCTTGTTGGTGTTGCTGGTCCTGAATGTAGCTGCCCAAGGAGTAAGAAAAAAGGCTTTCCACGTCCCCATGCTGTAATATTTGGGTCATATGTATGCAAGTTTAGGGTCCCCATTTGTCCCACAAGGGTGGAAGATGGACAGCCCCATGTAACTGTGGGCCTTGCTCTAGGAGAGGGACCCTGAGGTACTGCAGCAGTTGTAAGGAAATGTGGACCCGTAGTATTGGGAATTACTTCTGGTGAGGAAAAGCATGATTTGTGGGGAGATCTCCCTTCAATGACTAGTTCCCATTTTGTGTTATGAACACATGAGGAATTTGAGGGAATTTATTATCAGTTTTTGGTGGGGGAGAGTAACAATTGGAGCCTCTGGAGCTCAGGCACCATTTCTACCTGGGGTTTCTATGTCAGAGGTTCTCCTCGCCTTCTGGGGCAGAGAGACACGTGTGGTCGCTGTAAGAGGAAAGCCCACGGCCTGCCTTTGGTGTGGGCCTATTTCCTGGCAATTCACTATTTCGGCTTCTTTGAAAGAATGACTCATAAAGTTTTCTCTAAAATACAGAAGTAGTCATCCGAAGATCTGCTTCCTCTTTTATTCAGAAAAAAATATGAATGGTACATGCAGATGCTGTCAGTCATTTCTTTCTCAGAAGAGACAGAAAATGGTTGCAATGAAATGAATCAGCTGGGAGGTGGAAGCAGCAGTTCCTGAAAATGGTAGTCGCCTCCTGTGTAAAGACAACAAGATGAAGATAAAGCAAATAATTGTCTTTGAGATCATTATTGACTGCGTGGGGCAGCCTTAGCATTGCCAGCTGCTGTGTGAGGCGTACAGACCCAGCCTGCAAACACAGAATGGCGCAGGACCTGTGGGCTCCCTCCCTGTTTCCTGTCGCGTGTAAATCATGGGACAGCAGATGACACAGAAATACAGGGAAAATGTGAGTTCTTATTTTATAGGTGTCAGGAAAGAAGATAAGCTTGGCATTCGCTTGGCTTCCGGAGAAAACGAGGCTCATGGTTGTGCTATTTCTTCCTATCTCTTCTGTTAACTTTTGAAGCCATTGGCTGGTTTCAGCCCAATTTGGCAGTGACATGGTGGTTTCAGAGGCTCTTTTCTTTGATTTTCTAGAAAATCTGTGGCCTGCTGGATCCCCCTCTTTGTCTCCTGCCTGTGAGAGCATCAGAAGTGTGAACTGCCCACTTGGCTGCTGGAAGGAATCCAGATGGGAGGAGGTTGCTTGTTGCTGAAGGTAATTCTGAATAAATGTTTGTGTGGACCTCAAAGCCAAACATTTTGGATATACTGCACCCTGGCTGGCACTGCTGATGCCCAGCACAACTGCTCTTTCACTGGCACAGCTGTCAGGACAGATTAAAGCGGGCAATCTGCTGTAGCAGACCGAAGAGGTGAAATGAAGTTCTGTGTTTTAGCATAATTTTATTTCAAGATGAAGTTTCCCCACCCCGGGGGTGCTTCCAGGAATGAAACAGCAGGATTCTGCCTGACATTTTGAAATTGCCTGTTTTTGAACAGAAATGAGCCTCAACCAGCAGTCTCCCTAAATGCAGCATCACCAAAACAATTTGAAGAATTGCATAGGCCCCCATGTCCGTTGTTTGGGAACTTCTGATATGTAGTGGTAAAACAGCAAATTTAGGGACATTGGGCTTGGGAAATGTTGGCTCAGGACCTTCACTGAAAGAGAAAGCTGGGGAAGAGAGCATGTGGACTTGGTTGACCTCTTTGTTAGCCCATTATGTTTGGTCATTCCTGCTGTTATGCCCAGAAAACAAAATAATTTCTCTATTTAAAGGCATCATGGAAAGTTTGTGTGAAGACTTCAGGGCATCTTAGGTGGGAGCAATAAATGCACAGCAACACAAAAGTTGAGCCCTCCTGGTTTAATCCAGCTGGACAGAATGAGCTTTATTCCCACCCATTTCTGCTCTTTGCCCTTTCTGTAAATGAGCATTGAACCAAACAGCAAGGAAAAAGGTGAAACGCAAAGTCAGGCATTTCTTGACCCCAAAGTCCACTTTATTCAACAGTGCTGTGAAGCGTGTCATCCATCCCCTGTAATGCTGTCTTGCCACATCCTCCACTCAGCTCAAGCAAAACTCCTGCAATCAGTTTGGGATCTTGCAGCAAGAGAACCAAATTTTGCCTAAAATCATTCTTTTTTTTTTCATCCTTTCATTAAAATTTTAGGGGAAGTCCTCTAAAACACCAAGGAAATGCCACCCTCAGCTCTACACAGATGCAGGAGTCCTCCAGCTCTACGGTATGTGTGTGTGGCTTCTCTGGGCACAAGTAAAACATTTATCACCTGCTTTCCACGTCTGTGGTGATGGATTGAGATCAAATGCAAAGGCTTATTCCGCCCCAAGAAATAGCTGATTGAGTCTTTTCCATTGAAATCTTCCTTCTTGAGCCCAGCATAAGTTTACCTAGGTAGGCCAGCACATTTTCCAAGCCTACTGATGCTTTCAAGAGTCTCTCATCTCTGAGGAAAGCCCAAATAACTCTTCACCTCCTGACACACCCAACACATGTTGCTTCTTGCTTTCGTTGGAAAATGCATCGTATTTTCGTGGTGATTAAATTCCAATATTTGCTCGGGGTGTATTTATTTAGTGTACGCCTGCCGCAGTAAAACACGGGCAAGATTTTCAGTTTCTAGATTGATTTTTTTTTTTTTTTTTTTTTTTTTTTTTGCTATTTTGGTATCTTGCAGCTTCCTAAGAAACCAACTTTTTGTTCAAGTTGTGGTGACAAACATTTGAGTAATTCTAGCAGCACTGGGGGAAGCCAAACCAAAGTTGTGAAAACAACCAACCAACCCCCTATAAAAGCCTCTGTCAAAACCCAGCTTGCTTTATGGTGTTTTCATAACTATAAAACCACACACTGCACACGCAGCTACAAGGCCCAGTCAGGAAATGAGTCAAAAATGATGAGTGCAGATTAGCATTTTCAGTGATGAACAAGTGATTTTTTTTTTTTCATCTAATCCCTTCACCATTTTTCCCTTTTTTTCCAGTGATTATTGAGGTAATTTCTTAAAAATGAATAGCTGTGCTGCTTACCCTATTATTTGCAATGTAAACCTGGCAATCTCTGAAGACAGAGTGTTTTATGTAGTACTTTATAAACATTACTTATTCTTCTTTACCAGGCACACGACTGGAGCCAAGGGGACACAAGCTCATTCCGTGACCAAAATGTTCCTGCTCGATCATGGCAAAACGTGAGACTACGTGTATGAGACTCCAGATCTTCTAAACAAAACATCTCTTTCCTCTCTTGCAGTAATTAGTCCTGTAGCAATTAAGCAGAGGGAGCATTTGCAATCATTGTTATTATCTTCAGAGTTGTTCACTGTGCTTCAGAGCTTGGAGTAGGTTGTACCGCTGTTATTGCAGGCTATCTGCAGATGCAGGGCAGTGACATTTATAAGGGATTATATTCTCCTAGATGGAAATATAGATTGTGTCCATGATTACTCCTGGCCTTTTGTTCTAAGCAGCTGCTTTCAGGTACTGTATATATATGGATATGTTTTAAAATAGGAATACTTACTCATATTAATACTCACATAATACATAATACATACTCATATTACTCATTACTCACTGATCATATTAAACTGAGGTAGACACTGTTTTTCTCTTCACATTATTGTCTGTATCACAATTTCTTCATCTACAGCTGATCGACCCCCAGCCTGGTTGGAACTGCAGCTGGGATTACACACAGGTATTAGCAGAGTATGGCCACTCCTGCAGGCACTACCTGCTATTTTCTGGTGCTAAGCAAGGTGATTTATCCATTTAGTGTCATCCCTGGACAAACCCCGGGGCAAGAGGTGAGTGGAATCTGCTTGGTTTTCCACCAGCTCTTCCAGCCCTGCTCGTGTTTCGGTGACAATGAGTGGAATGTCAGCTCTTTGCAACTTTAAATAACGACTGGAGGCCCTGATAAATCGAAAAACAGGTTGGCAGCTATCACATCCTGCCCTTGGGGCGGAATGGATGGCTGCAAGGTATGGCCAGAAAGGATAACATCTCGTGCTTTGTGAGGTCCCATCCTGGGCCTAATCTTTGCACTGCTGCAGTTGAAAGGAAAGCACTTTTAGTTTTTATGCCCTTCGTGCAAAACACTTGGTTTTCTTATTATGTGAAAGTGCTGAATGGAAGTTTCTCACTGGACTTAGCTCTTCCTCCTACGATGTCAAAATTAACATGAAAACATCCACTGGTGGAAAACAGAGATTTTTTTTGTGGTGTTTGTTCCCTACTTAACCATCAGGCACTCAGCTGCTTTCCTGTCCAAGTGGGGGGCAAGGACAGACTTACATTTTGTACAAGCAGTCACTGCAGAATAGTAAGCAACAGATTATTTTCTAAAAATGTCTTTTCTTATTTTTATTTTTATTTATTATTATTATTTTTTTATGGTTTCGGACTATGCTGCTGTGGTTGGGAGGGGGACACAGGTGTTCCTCGGTTCGCAGCGTACCCAGAGCACAGCTCCCAGAGCACAACCACTCTCTCACTCCTCTTCCTCAAAGGAAAAACAAGAGAAAATAGGATGGAACAGGCTGAAGAGTTGAGATAAGTACAAGGAGATCACTCAACAGTTGTCGTCACAGGCAAAACAGACTCGGTGTAGGGAGATTAAAAAAATTTCTTACCTATTACTAGCAAGCTGGTTGAGAAACAAACAAACAAACAAAAAAAGATGAACTAAAAACACCTTCCTCACATCCTTCTGCGTGCCTGGAGCACCTCCTGCCCTCCTCACCGTGGGGCCGCAGGGCTGATGCTCACCCCTCCCTCCCAGCTGCTGTTGTGCGGCGTTTTTTGCTTAAATTTCTCAAACCCTTTCCTAAATCTGCTCTCACAGAGGCTCAAACAGCCCCCGCTACCCAAACCTCGCCCCACAAACCCAATACAAAACACAAAACCTGTGGACACTGGGCACCCACTGAGGCTTCTTCCTCACACCTAAATAATCCCACCTAAAAAAAAATCCCACCTAAAGCCCTCACACCTAAATAATCTGTCGGGAATTAGGGCAGGAAATGCTTTGTTGAGGGGAAACTCGCTCTCAGAGGGAGAAAAGCCAGGGGTGAATGGCAGATAACCACACAACCCAGCTTCTTTCTCTCACATTTAATAGTTTATAAATTATTGATAATTTAGAGACGGAGCAGGAGAAGGCCGCGCGTTAAGCACCGCGCCCCAGTTGCCCCAGTTCATCCCAGTCCAGTCCCCTCCAGCAGCCCCAAACCTCTCTTTGCTGCAAGAACCCAATTCCCGCCCCCCAGTGTTCCCCAGCATCCCCTCTTCCACACCCCAGTTCCCCCAGTCTCCTCCCCACACATCCCAGTCCCCCCAGTCCCCCCTCTCCCCCAACCCCAGTGTCCCCCCTCCCCACACCCCAGTACCCCACCCCAGTTCCTCCAGTCCCTCCCCCCCCACTCTCCCCAGTGCCCCTTTACCCCCATCCCAGTCCCACCTCTCCTCATCCCAGTTCCCCCAGTCCCTCCCAGTCTCCCCAGTCCCCCTTTTCCCCACACCCCAGTACCCTCCACCAGTTCCCCCAGTCTCCCTTTTCCCCTCATCCCAGTACCCTCCACACACCCCCAGTTCCCCCAGTCCCCCTTTTCCCTACACCCCAGTCCCCCCTCTCCCCATCCCAGTTCCCCCAGTCCCTCCCAGTCTCCCCAGTCTCCCTTTTCCCCACACCCCAGTACCCTCCACCAGTTCCCCCAGTCTCCCTTTCCCCCACCCCAATCCCCCCCCACACCCCAGTCCCCCCTCTCCCCATCCCAGTTCCCCCAGTCCCTCCAGTCCCCCTTTTCCACACACCCCAGTACCCTCCACCAGTTCTCCCAGTTCCCCCAGTCCCCCTCCAGTTCTCCCAGTTCCCCAGTCCCCCTCCAGTTCTCCCAGTCCCCTTCCAGTTCTCCCAGTTCCCCCAGTCCCCCTCCAGTTCTCCCAGTCCCCCCCATTCCCTCTTTCCCTCCCCATCCCCCTCTCCCCACCCCAGTCCCCCCCCAGTTCCCCCAATATGGCCGCCCTCCCTGCGAACTACAACTCCCAGCATCCCCCGGGGCGGCCCCGGCCATTTCGTTCCGTCCCCCCCCCGGCTCCGTCCCGTCCCAGCCCCTCTCGGGCCGTTCCGGGCCAGGCAGGGCCGGGCCATGGAGAGCCCCGTGGGCAGCGGCTCCCTGAGGGGCGACATCAGTGCGTGGGGCTGCTTTGGGGGATTTGGGGATGATTTGGGTCTGATTTGGGGGGTTTGGGTCTGATTTGGGGGATTTGGGTCTGGTTTGGGGGATTTGGGTCTGATTTGGGGCATATGGGGCTGGTTTGGGGGATATTGGACTGGTTCAGGGGATATTGGACTGTTTTGGGGCTGATTTGGGGGATTTAGGATTGGTTAGGGGCATTTGGGGATGATTTGGGGGATTTGGGGCTAGTTTGGGGCATTTGGAGCTGCTTTGGGGCTGGTTTGGGGGATTTAAGATTGTTTTTTTGGGATTTGGGTCTGGTTAGGGGCATTGGGGTCTGGTTAGAGGCATTGGGGTCTGGTTAGGGGCATTTGGGGCTGGTTTGGGGGATATCGGACTGGTTTGGGGCTGATTTGGGGGATTTAGGATTGGTTTTTGGCATTTGGGGCTGATTTGGGGGATATGGGGCTGGTTTGGGGCATTTGGAGCTGGTTTGGGGCTGATTTGGGGGATTTAAGATTGGTTTTTGGGATTGGGGTCTGGTTAGGGGCATTGGGGTCTGGTTAGGGGCATTGGGGTCTGGTTAGGGGCATTTGGGGCTGCTTTGGGGCATTTGGGGCTGCTTTGGGGCATTTGGGGCTGCTTTGGGGCATTTGGGGCTGCTTTGGGGCTGATTTGGGGGATTTAGGATTGGTTAGGGGCATTTGGGGCTGATTTGGGGGATATGAGGCTGGTTTGGGGCATTTGGAGGTGGTTTGGGGTTTCTTTGGGGGATTTAGGATTGGTCTTTGGGATTTGGGTCTGGTTAGGGGCATTGGGGGCTGGTTTGGGGCATTGGGGGCTGGTTAGGGTCTGATTTGGGGCATATGGGTCTGGTTTGGGGGATTTGGGTCTGGTTTGAGGCTGATTTGGGGGATTTAGGATTGGCTAGGGGCATTTGGGGCTGGTTAGGGGCATTTGGGGCTGGTTTAGGGGATATGGGGCTGGTTTGGGGCTGATTTGGGGGATTTAGGAATGGTTTTTGGAATTGGGGTCTGGTTAGGGGCATTGGGGTCTGGTTTGGGTCTAGTTTGGGGCATGCGGGGGTGATTTAGGTCTGTTTTGGGGCATTTGGGTCTGGTTTGGGGGATTATGGGGGATTTGGGGTCAAGGGCTTTTTTAAAGGAAAGGGCTTGGAGGATGCTTGTGGGGAGCCATCACCGCTCCCCCACCAACACACATGTTGGAGGGCGATGTAGGGCAAACCTTTAATTCATGCTGCAGGGCAAAACGCCCTGCTCAGGATTATAGGCAAAGGCCACTTGTGTCCTTAAAATTCCTTTTTTCCCCCCTTCCTCTGTAGGTTTTTGGGCCGATCGGACGCCGGTTCACGAGGCAGCCAGGCAGGGAGAGATCCTCCAGCTGCAGCAGCTGATCGAGAGCGGCGCCTGCGTCAACGCCGTCACCTACGACTCCATCACCCCCCTGCACGAGGCGAGCCTGCGGGGCCAAACGCAGTGTGTCAAGCTCCTGCTGGCCGCGGGAGCCCAGGTTTGTGTTTGCTCCTGGTTTCCACCACGAAAACGAGCCCCAAAGATTGATTTTTTGCTGTAGGATTTGGGTTGAAGCCGCAGCTCTTGCCGCTCTCTCATCCTGCGTTGAGGTCGAGGGGATCCTGGGGTGCTTATCCCTTGTAGGAGGGTCTTGGGGTAACCTAAGGGAAAAAAAAAAAAGGCTTGAGGCCGCTTCGTTGTGATGTCTGATTTGTTTCTGGGGTCTGGATTCGCTCCATCCATATCCAGGCTCTTAATTTGTGAATTAAGAGGCAGCTTTAGGCAGTCTGGGCTTTCTTGACAGTCAGCAGAGGGAGGGAAGCGTCTTCAGGAGGTGTTTGGGCTTGAGGAGATCTTAAAAAACTCCCTGTAAGTATTTCCCTGTCCCCCTCTCTCCACTCTGACTATTGACAGAGTTCGGGATGAATACAAATCTAATTAATCTAATTTAGGTGACTCAAATATCTAAAGCTATCCAGGATGAACCAGAAGGGGAGCAGGGCACACGTAGATGCGTGAGGAAATTTTATATTTATTCTTAAATTTCTCCTCCGATTTTATTATGTAAACACAAATCTGCCAAAGAGTTTTTTGGACGTATTTGGAGCCCGCTGCCTTCAAAATTTGGTTCCGTGTCTGGCTGTGCCCTGGGAGTGTTCAACAGCACCAGGCAGGCTCCTGGTGGTATAAACCAACTCCTTCCTGAGCTCAGCACAGTTCTGGGGTTAATAGAAATAAAAAACGAGGGTGCTGCCACGCAGCAGTCTGTAAATATTCGGCTGTTTTTCTGCCCTGAAGGTGGACGCCAGGAATATCGACGGCAGCACCCCGCTCTGCGACGCCTGCGCCTCGGGGAGCATCGAGTGCGTGAAGGTGCTGCTGTCCCACGGGGCCAAAGTGAACCCTCCCCTCTTCACGGCCTCCCCTCTCCACGAAGCCTGCATGAACGGTAAGCTGGCCTGCTCCTCCTGCGGGAGGATTATTTATTTGATTATTTATCAAAATAAAACCACAAAAAAAAAAAAAACAGCTACCAAAAATCTTAATTAAGGCCGTTGTTGCTCAGCAGATCGTTAGGGCTCGAAAATGTCCACCTTACACGGGCGTAGCTCCCTTTGAGGAAACAATGCGTGGCACCAGATCCTAGGCAGATAAAACACCGCCTTCCTGACTCTCTGTGAGCAAACCTTGAGCTGAACCGGCTGCGTTGCTCTTGCAAGCAGAGGAGAATCAGTGCCATCAGTGCTATTCAGCGCCAGCCCTCGGATTCAGGTTTATTTGACATGATTCCCTGCAGAGGCTGCGAGCTGTAGCTCGCTGCCACGCAGCTGTGACTTCCTCGTGCTCCGTTCTCAGCCTCCATCCTGCGATAAAACCTTTTGGCTCGCAAGCGTTTTTATTTTCCATCCGCCACCCCAAATATTGATCAGCCTGGGCTCAGGCCCATCCCAGTGTGCTCCATTTGAACTGGATTCTTTTTTTTTTGACTCGTCTCTTCTCTCCCCAAAGGTAGCTCAGAGTGCGTGCAGCTCCTCATCGACGTCGGTGCCAACTTGGAGGCCCACGACTGCCATTTCGGGACTCCCCTACACGTGGCCTGCGCCAGGGAGCATCTGGACTGCGTGAAGTTGCTGCTCAAGGCAGGTATGGCAGCCGCGGGGTTTGTTTTGGGGCAGGCAGCTTACGGAGGTGCCTACGTGCAGCATTTCCCTCCTGGTGCTCTGCAGTGACATTCTTCTGCAAGAACTTACCCATTTCCAGCATGATGTAGGCAAAACCTTCCACTTTGGTCACCTTTAACTGAGCAAAGCCTAATGCTTAAGCAATTTTTTTAGCAGATGCCTGTCAAAATCCAGCTCAGGATGACTCCAGCGATGGTTTCACTGTCCTATTTTAATAAAAAAATCCTAAATCTTCACCCCTCTGGATCAACATCCCAGCAATACCAGCTGGTGTGCGTGCCTTCAGCTGTGCTGACGTGTTCCTGTGGCTTTGCATAGATGTTAAGAGTTTGATGATGTCCAAAAAAAGCAGAGGTGAAGTCACCTCATGCCTCTGGGAGATCTGCTTAGCGTTATGCCTAGAGGAGCTTGCTGGAATTTCAAGTCGGTGCCGCGTGCTCCAGCTTTCACCTCCCAGCTTTCTTGCTGCTCATTTGCAGGGAGCTTGGAGCTGAGCTTCTTGCTTTTGCCCCTGCTTACCAAGAGGTGATTTGGCCCCGGGGACGATTTGTTTTGTGGAATGTGACTTGTCTGGAAATCGGGCAGCTAAGCCAGCTTGTTTCCTATCCCTCCAGTTCTTGTGCACCCATCTTCAGATTATACTAATTAATTCCTGAGACATTTAACTCCATTAACTCGGAGGAGTGTGGCTAGCTCAGATGTAGATACAAAAGAATCAGCTCTATGAACTCGACGAGGTTCAGCTCACCTGCACTGAACAAATCAGTTAGCAGGGAAAATATCACAAGTTTTGGAGGCATTAGAAAGACCTTTCGTTGTCAGGTAATTAAAGCCCAATTTTCTTAGGCAAAACATCTAAGCAAAGCCTCAGTAATGTCTGCTGGAGAGCTTCCACAGCTTGTGAGCTTGTATTTCTGTTCAGATAGTTAACAGGGAGGGTCCTGTTTGCCTCGAGAGTGAGTGCTCCGCTGAGATGACCGAAATGGCTCTGCTGGTTTCAGAACTTCACACTCAGCAGCTCATTTACCTAGTAAATTGACCAAAATCCTTTCTCTGCAAGGAAAACATAAAGCTGGAGAAGAAAACCCAGGCATTGCCAGCACGGAGAACTTGTTCAGCACTTTGGTTTCCTGTTTGTGCTGTTTTGTTTGGATCTCATTCTCGCCGCTCGTACGTGTGTTAATAGCATTTATTTTTTTTTCCCTCCACTTCAACCACTCCTTACATTTGGGTCAAGTGAGGCTCTCGTAAACGGGTTTGTTTTCCTTTCTGGTCTCAGGGGCAAACGTGAACGCTGCTAAACTCCACGAGACGGCCCTTCACCACGCAGCAAAAGTGAAAAACGTGGACCTGGTGGAAATGCTGATTGAGTTCGGAGGAAACATCTACGCGAGGGACAACCGAGGCAAGAAGCCATCGGATTACACCTGGAGCAGCAGCCCCACAGCAAAGTGCTTCGAGTACTACGAAAGTGAGTGAGATACGATCCCTTCCCTGGGAATTCGGTGACTGATGGCTCTGTTGCACCATATCAAGATTCCCAGTCCACTTTGATGCGTAGATACCTGATCATCTCCCTAGGAAGGTGTAGAGTTCTGGGTGATAAACGTAAGCCAGCTGGCTAGAGGCTAGCTCTGCTTGGTTGGGGGTGAATGACAGAGGTAAGATGGCCCAAATCTTGCCCTCGCCGAATTCAGGTCCCTCTCGTGTGTCAGCGTCAGCATTTTCACTTCGGGGCCTTAAGTCAGATCAAGGAAATCAATGAAAATTTGTTCTGTGCGAGGCAGGGAACGTGTTAAACTTCAGCTGCATTGGCTGGCTGCTTTTGGAGGAGACATTTGAGGTTTGAGGATGACTTCAGGTCTTTGAGGACCTCAGAAGTGGGATTCACAAACCCTTCTGTACATTTGCACGCTTCAAACCCACAGCACTGCACGATCCTAAAAATCTTTCCTGGCTTTACAGCTCCCTGCACAGCGAGCACCTTACAGCCCCTTCTCTCCCTGACTCCTGTTCTCCGTGTAGGAGTCTCTCTGAATTATTCACTGCTTTCAGAGCGCAGCAAAGCATCCTGTTCTGGCCCTGGCAGAGCTGGGTGAAGAGGCTGAGCCTTAAAATGCTCAATAAATACTTCTTACACCTTGCCAGGGCTTACTGCCCCCTCAGCTCAGCTGCAGAGCTGCGTGTGTGGCTGCTTTTTAATGCAGATCGTTGTAACAACACCGTGCTAACTAAATAGATTTTTTTTTTTTGAAATTGTGTGGTTAAATTCAGGACAGATCCGAATCTTGGAGGCTGGTGACTCTTGAGGCTTTTGGGGGCAGGGATAGGAGCTCGTTAGGTCTGACAACATCAGGAGGGAAGTGCCTGATCCTGATTCTGCCTGTGTGTGCGTGCGTGCATCGACATCTGGGCTCGAGGCTGCTGAGCTGCAGCACTAACCGTGCACCCTTTTTTTTCTCGTTTCAGAAACTCCCCTGAGCCTCTCACAGCTCTGCAGAGTTACGGTGAGGAAAGCTGCCGGGCAGCGGGCGCTGGAGAAGATTGCCAAGCTAAACATCCCTCAGCGATTAATCCAGTACCTGTCCTACAACTGACAGGGCTGAAGGTGACCGGCAAAGGACAGGACAGTGGCTTTAGCTCGCACAGCATGAAGCATCCGTCTCTTTCTCTTCTACCTCCCCACGAGAAATGAATTTGAACCGAAGCAAAACCCCGATGTAAATAAGTATTCACGAGGCAGCACCTCGCTCCCCTCCCTCTTCTCTGTTTCGGGCAGAGACGGACTCGAGGCAAGGTGCAGCCCCGACCTGCAGCCCCAGCCTCTCCCTGGGGGATCTCTGAGGCTGCCGCCGCGTTCCAGGCTGCAGTGCTCACTCTTGGCACGGGATTAGCCTCGCCTAATTTTAGCCGTCCCTCTCCTTAACGCGTCTCTGGGTGATCTAGCCAGGCTCCCTTTGCAGGCAGCGGAGAGAAATGGATACTCGGCGAGCGTGATTCATGTCTCCTGTTTTAGATGGCTGCGTTGGGATGCTCCACGGTGCTTTTGGAGCGCCTGTCTGCTGCCTGCAAAGGGATTTAGAGGTGATAACACTCGGACACGGGTGGCTGTGCTTTTGAAAGGGAGCCTCGGTGTTAAAAACTCGAGCAAGAACCACCTCAAGCCACGGGACGAGGCTCGTGTGAGCTGTGTGCTGCAGCTGGAGGCGAATTGCCTCTTGCTTCTGGTGCCTCTGACAGCAGGAACCAGCCCTGGGTCGGGTGCTGTGAGCTGGGAGAGGTGGTGGGGAAGGGATGAAGCTCCCTGATGCCCCCGTGGCAAGTCCTGGTGCCGCGATGAGAGCAAATTCCTGCCCCGAATGACAGCACGTGTTCAGAAATCCTCTAACTCAGGGCTCTCACCCTCCTTCACGCTGGGAATAACCGGCAGCTTGCCTCCTGCCCGCCGCTCCTGCACCCTTAACAGTGCTCAGCCTCACAACGGAGGGGAAAATGTTGTAAGCACAGGGTTAAAGAGCTGCCGTGGAGCCGAATGCACTTTAATGTTGACCACTAAATCGCTTCGTTTTTTTAATTTTTGGTTAGGCTCGTTCCCCCCTCACCCCTTTTGTGGATTTTTTTTTTTTTCGTGTAGAACTGGCACTGAAAGCTTTGGAGGTTCTGCTCTTTGTAGGACTGTCTGTTACTGTACTACTCTACCTGTTTTTTTTTTTTTGTCTGAAATACCAGAAATGTGAAATTTTCGAGGCGCTCAGGGAAGCTCTGGAGGTGTTTGTTGTGGGATTCACCCCCGCGTAAAGGTTTTTAGTGTATCCTTCACCAAAAGCTTCCTCGTTAGGCTGCTTTCTCAACATTGCCTGAGCTGTTGAAATACCGAAAATGGCCAAGTCCACGTTTCCACTGTAAACCCAACCCAAAACCTCTCCCGACCACCCAAAATAAAGCGACCAGTTCCCTTTCTGTTCCCTTTCTTCCCTCCGAGTCACCTCGCTGACGGGTTCCTCGAGTCGTGTCGGTTTTTATTCGTCTTTAACCCTAGGAGAAAATTTCCTGGAGCTGCTCGAGCAGCTGTGATGAGTCCTGCACAGCTCTCCTCCGTGATTTACCCCTGGCCAGGGTGAGTGATAAAGGATTTGGAAGATCCCAAAGCCCCGATTCACTCTGGGTTTATAGGGACGGGCCAGTGCCGGATTCCTTTGGTGTTTCGGTGGCAGTCCCTGAGGGTTTGGGTGTTGTAGGGCCTCATTATGGGTTCCAGCCGTCCAAAATAACCCCGTTCCCATCCCATTTGGGAAATCCAGGTGCAAAATAGGGCCTGGCTGCTTCTGGCCCCGCTCATGAACACTGGGGATCTCCAGAAACCTAAATTACACCCACCTGGCTTGCCTGGCCTGGCGTTAGGGGCAGGCTCTGCCCTCCACGCTGCTGCAGCGGGACAAAATCCTCACGTTTCCTGCACATAATAATTAAAAAAGTAATTTTTCACCCAACAACACAGCCGCAGCTCGTGCCTGTGGTCCCAGGTGCCCTGCAAACATCCCTTTAGGGACTGAGACACGGGCTTGGAAAGCTCTGACCTCACTCCAGGAGGAGTCCGGCACAACACAAAGATGTGATTTGTGTTTTTTTTATGTGTGTTTTTATCAGATTATCTGATTTTTAAGGGTTCCTGTTACAAGGGATTTTTAAGGGCTCCTGTCTGTGTGGTTTTTGGGCTTCTGCCTTCGCTGGTTTTATTTTTTATTTTTTTGCAGAGGGACGCCGGGATTTGGCTGATGGTGGCTGAGAGCTGGAGGGGATGCTGGAGGAAATAAAAAGCCCCAAAATATTCAAATTCCTCCCAAATATCAATCCCCAATCCCTGCTGAAGAGCTGGGATGGAGGAAACCCCTTCCCCAGCGGTGCTGCTCCCTCGTCGGGCTCACCAAAAACCCATCAAAGCAGCGTGCTCCCAGCAGCTCTTACAGCCCTAAACTCTGCCCCCTTGGGCCCTACTTCACCCTTTTTTATTTTTTTTTCCCCTTTAATTGCGTTTTTCCTAATCCTGCATGAAAATTAAGGGTGATGACAACCCGCCCCCGCAAAGCTCTTGGCTCTCCTCTAGCTCCGGGCTCCAATCCCGCCGCCTTTTAAAACCTTTTTGGAGCTCCTCGGATCCCCCAGGACCCAAATCCCCGCTGATTTGGCTCAGGGCGTGGGGGCGTGGTGTGTTTTTTTGGGGAAAAAAAGCAGGAATCAAGCAAAAACCCAGAGAGCAGGGGAGGGAAAAGGCCCCAAATCCCCGCTGTGGCCCTGGGGGGGCTCCCAGTATTTGGGGCAGCGTTTCATGGGGTGATTTATTTCCCATTAAATATCCTGATTTGTTTTGGGATGCAGCTGGGATGGAGCCTGGACCTGCTTGGCTGTGGCCTCCTCCTGCTCCCCGTTAGCCCCTGCGGAGCTGCTCATCGTCAGCATCGTTTTGGGCTGAAAAAACCCAAATCCTGGCCCCTTCCCAAGGTGCCAACCACAGGTGGCATCCCTGGAAGTGACGAATGGATGGACGTGTCCCCAGCTTGTTGCCAGGCTTTATTATTTTATTTTATTTTATTTTATTTTATTTTATTTATTTTATTTTATTTTATTTTATTTTATTTTATTTTATTTATTATTTTATTTTATTTTATTTTATTTTATTTTATTTTATTTTATTTTATTATTCTATTTTTTGCCACGCTTGGTTATTTACTCCCCTCTCTGGAGGGGAACCCAGCTCAGCTCTTCTCCACGGGCATCCCACTCCCTGCCAACCTGGAACTGAAAAAAAAAAACTTTTTCCCCACTTTTTCACAGCCTCTCCTTTTTCACAGCCTCCCCTCTTTTTGCAGGCTCCCTTTTTTGGCAGCCTTTTTTTTTTTTTTAGCCTCTTTGCAGCCTGTTTATTTTTCTTCCAGCCTTCCCTTTTTGCAGCCTCTTTTTTTTACAGCCTCTCTTTTTTTTTTTTTTTAGCCTCTTTTTACAGCCTCTTTTTTTTTCATCTCTTTTCCTCATTTTTTTTTTCCGGCCTCTGTCTCTGCAGTCTCCTTTTTTTTTTTCCAGTCCTCCCCTTTTTCTGCCCTTTTTGCAGCCTCCTTTTTTTTTTTTATATTTTATTTTTGCAGCCTTCCATTTCTGCAACCTCTTTTTTTTTTTCAGCCTCTTTTTTAGCTCTTTTTTACAAGCCTCTTATTTTTCAACTCTTTTATTAGCCTCTTTTTTTTTTCCAGCCTCTTTTTTTGCAACCTCCTTTTTTTTAGCCTCCCTTTTTTTACAGCCTCTTTTTTTAGCCTTTTTTTTACAGCCTCTTATTTTTTCACTCTTTTTTTGCAACCTCATTTTTTGTGCAGCCTCCCTTTATTTTTTCAGCCTTCCCTTTTTGCAGCCTCCTTTTTTTTCACCCTCTTTTTTTTGCAGCCTTTTTTATCCTTTTTTTCCCAGCCTCTTTTTCTTCAGTCTCCCTTCTTTTTGCACTTTTTTTTTTTTTTTGCAGCCTCCCCTTTTTGCAGCTTCTCTTCTCTTCTCTTCTCTTCTCTTCTCTTCTCTTCTCTTCTCTTCTCTTCTCTTCTCTTCTCTTCTCTTCTCTTCTCTTCTCTTCTCTTCTCTTCTCTTCTCTTCTCTTCTCTTCTCTTCTCTTCTCTTCTCTTTCTTTTTCTTTTTTCCTTTTTTCATCCTCCCTTTCTGCAGGAGGGCTGGGAGTTGGTGCAGATGTCAAGGGGCCTCCCCTTCCCTCAGGCAGCCGCCTTCCCTCCCTGCACATCGCCTCCACGAAGAGCAGAGCTCTTGCTGGGGACGAGGACGAGGCCAGGACTCTGTGGAAGAGGGGAAAAATGGGGAAAAAAAAATCCCTGCCTTTCTTTAACATCCTCCGGGAGCTCAGAGGAAAGCCTCTCAGTGCCTCCAGCGGGGCTGCAGAAGTCATTGGACCAATATTTGATGTTTTGAAAACAAACGTTTAGTAGAAACATCAAAATATTTCTGCTAAAATCTGCGGGAACGGGGAGGATTTGGGGCTGACCCAGCGCTGCAGGTGAAGCTTCTCCCATCTCCCCTCCCCATGGGGGCTCGCGAGCTGCGTATCCCCCAGAAGCACCATTTCAGAGAACAAAAATCCCCAAAATATGTAAAACTCCAGGTCTCCCCTTGCCAGGTGGCCCCAATTTGCCACCCCACGTAACCCCCAGGTCCCACCCCAGGTGCCCCTCACCAAGGTCCCACCCTGGAGGATTTCCCAGGTCCCCACCCCACTGTCCCCATGGTGAGGTTTTGGGGTGAAACCAGCAGGTTTCTGCCCCTTGGCACCCCATGGCCACCCCCTTCTACTGCATCTCCAGTGGCGGCTCAATTAACGTAATCATTAACGAAGGCCGGATCCCAGCCTCCCGGTGAGTCACGGGGCGGGGTGCGAGCTTGGGGCCAGATCCTGGCCCCTTTCCACCAGCCCCATCCCTAAAATTTGGGCCTCGAAAGCCAGATTTGGGGAACAAAATGACCTCTTTTGGTGATGCCAAACCTCCATCCATCCGTCCATCCGTCTGTCTTTCCATCCCAAAAAGTGCCAGGGGAAACGGTGCCAAGCCGCCGGGAGCCCAAATTGGGTAAAAAAGAGGGCGAAATTGGGCGCTTTCCCCAGGCTGAGAGATGCCGACGAGGGTGCTGGCGTTCCTGGCCGGGCTCCAGCCTCTCGTTTAAGGCCGTCATTAAGAAAAACAGCCCAGGAGGAGCGGCGTGAAAAACGGGCTGATAATTAAACAGCCCCGGAACAGAAGGAGAAAAGGTCAGCCCCAAAAATACCGCGCGCCGCTTCGCCTCCGGAGCAGCGCATTAATAAATAATCGCATTTTTTTGGGGAAGGTCTAATTTTAGCGGCTCGGTACGATAGCCTGGTGTGACCCCGTTGCTTGTCTCAATTTTTCCAGGCTGGGGCTTTATTTTTGGGGCCAGAAATGCCCCTTTTGTGTCTGCTGCGGGGCTGTGCGCGAGCAAGAGGGCAGCGCGTGGTGAAGGCGCTGGGTGCTGGCACGGGGCGCTTGGTTCGTTAGTGACTGAGCGTTAATGAGGCCCATTGTAATTAATCCTCTTTCCAAAGCCTCCAAATAGAGAAAGGAAACCGCCCCGGCCAGCAGTGGGAGAGCTGCTGCGGTTGGGTTTCGCCCTCTTTGTAGGGAAACTGAGTCACGGGGAGCGCTGTGGGGTGGGTGACAGCTGGGAAAGGCGAATTCCTGTCCTGACTTTGTTTGGGACGGGGTTTTGGGGCTAAATTCACCCCCCACCAATCCTCTGGAGATAAAAATGGGGTGAACCGGAGCGTGGGTGAAGCCAGCAGCCCCCCAAAATAAAGGGATTTGGGGTGTGGTGGCCACAACCCATGGGCAGGGCACTGAGGCACCACGTGGGGCATTTCCCCAGCTTGTGGGGTTAAAGGATGGGGGAAAGGGGATGGGGGTGACACGGGTCCCGTCCCCAGCCCTGTTACCCCACCAATGGTGGTCTTCTTTTTTTTTTGGGGGGGGGATTGGCCCCAAAGAGAAGCCCAAAAAAGCTCTGGCAGCCACCCGGAAAATTGGGGGGGGGACATTTTATTGGGCTCAGCACGATGCTGGGGGACACGCGGTGGCCTCTATCCCCTCCATGGATACAGGGGGATGCATTTTGGGGGAAACCCTCATGTCCATCAGCATCCCGGGGGGGGAGCAGCGTCCCCAAGCCCTGTCCTGTAGGGGGGGGATGCCCACATCCAACGCAGACACTGGCTGGCGATGCTCCAGCAGGGATAAAGGAGGATTTTCCAGCCCAGGATGGTGGAGAGAAGGCAGGGAGGGGGTGGAAGGGCTGGGGGCCACCACGGCCTCGGTTCCCTATGAAAAAAAACAAAGGAAAAATAAAATATATAAAAAAAAAAATAAGAAAACACCACGAACATCCAAGTTTCCAACCATTGAGATAGGGGAGAAGGAGAAATTTGGGGTCCCATTCCCAGGGAGATGGTGACCCCCCACCCCTGCCCCCTGGCTGGGCGCAAAGCTTCGTCCCGGCTACTTACCTGCGGGCTGGGGGATGAAGGTCACTTCTCCGTCATCATCCTCACGAACTCCTCGTAGTTGACCTGCCCGTCGTTGTTGCAGTCGGCCTCCTTGATCATCTCGTCCACCTCCTCGTCCGTCAGCTTCTCGCCCAGGTTGGTCATGACGTGCCGCAGCTCGGCCGCGCTGATGTAGCCGTTGCCGTCCTTGTCGAAGACGCGGAAGGCCTCGCGGATCTCCTCCTCGCTGTCCGAGTCCCTCATCTTCCTCGCCATCAGCGAGAGGAACTCGGGGAAGTCGATGGTGCCGCTGCCGTCGGCGTCCACCTCGCCCACCATGTCCTGCAGCTCCGCCTCGGTGGGGTTCTGCCCCAGCGAGCGCATGACGGTGCCCAGCTCCTTGGTGGTGATGCAGCCGTCGCCGTCGCGGTCGAAAAGGGAAAAAGCCTCCTTGAACTCGGCGATCTGCTCCTCCGACAGCCGCTCGGCCATGGTGTCCCCCTCTCCCCGCTCGCACGCGGCTCTGCCCCGGCACGCAGCGCCGGCGGGGAGGCGCGGATGGGGGCCTCCTCCCTCCGTCCTCCCTCTCCCGGAGGAGGAAAAGGAGGAGCTGAAGCCTTCAGGGAGCTCCTTGCTCGTGCAGGTCCAGGCAGAGCCCGGCTGCCGACGCTGACGGGGATCTGAGTCAGCCGTGATGCCTCGTCCGGGCTCCCCGGGAACATCCGCGTGGCCCCCGGGGGGGTTGAGGTGGCCGTGGGGAGGCTCATGCCCTGGTTAGTCAGGGGTTAGCCCCGGGCTGGGTGAGGGTTAACCACCTCGTGACGTGCTGCTTTCGGTTTTTGCTCGTCTCTCACGGCAGTGAGGTTCAGAAGCACGTGGTGATGAGGTCAGTTTTGCTGTCCATCTGTCTGTCCATCCAGCCAGCCAACTGTCCGTGCATCCACTCAACCATCCATCCGTGTGGCCTTTCTTTTACCCATCTACATTCCTTCCATCCATCCATCCATCCATCCATCCATCCATCCATCCATCCATCCATCCATCCATCCATCCATCCATCCATCCATCCATCCATCCATCCATTCAATATCAACTAATTATCCATCAATCCATCAGTTGTCAACTAACCATCCATCCATCCATTGGATTCCATCCATCCATCCACCCATCCACCCATCGTCAACTAACCATCCATGTATCCATCCATCCATCCATCCATCCATCCATCCATCCATCCATCCATCCATCCATCCATCCATCTTCACCCAAACATCCATTTATGGATTCATTCATCCATCCACATGTCCATCCATCCATCCAATGTCAACCAACCATCCATCCATCCATCGCCATCCATCCATAGTCACCCAACCATCCATTTACGTATTCGTTCGTTCATCCATCCATCCATCCATCCATCCACCCACCCACCCACCCATCTCTTCCTTTTTTTGCTACGTGCCCAAAACAGCCAAGCGAATGCCACCAGCTGGACCAAGGACCAAACAGACCAGATGACCTGGCTGAGCAGCAGAAGATATTTTGCCTTTTTGGGCTCCAGGAAAACAACACTAATTCTCCCCAAATTTCCCCAGCGAGGAATGAAAGCTGGGATTTGAAGGGAATGCCATGAAACAGAGCCATGGGACAATGAGGGAAGTGGGGTCTCCAGGTGGGACAAAATTTAGGAGCGGGCGCCCAGCTTGAGGAAAACCTCACCTGGAAAAATAAAAAAACCAAACTCTTGGCACGAAAAGCGTCGCAGAGGCGGGGAGGGATTGGCTGAGCCCGTGCTGGGAACCTGTCTGGCGAGAGGCACGGCGAGCGCGTTTCGGGGAGGGGAGGCCCTCCCTTGGTTTTCTGCCCGCTCTTCTGCTCCAAAAATGAATCAAAAATTGTGAAAGAGCCCCGGGCGGGACAGGAAAGTGCTGGGCTGGGGAACGGGGGCTGGTTTGGGGGTGGCTGGGAGAGGCTGGCAGCGGCAGATGCTTTTTTTTTTTTTTTTTTTTGGGGTGTTTTCCCAGGTTTTGGTAGGACCAGTACCCAGGTGGGTAGGACCAGTACCCACCAGTGCCCACCAGCAGCACCCAGCACCTCCCCATCTCTCACCCCCATCCCCACCCTTCCCCTCCCCATCACCCTCTGCCTCCCCCTGCCCATCCCAAATTGCCACCCAATCTGGGAGGAGGTCGGGCCAGCCCTTGATTTTGACCATACTTAATTACAACCTCATTAGCACGGCAGGCTAATTAACCTCCTCAACCCGCCTGCTGGCCCATAAAATCCTGATGGAGCAGGGGGAGGACGCTGATGGGCGTCGCAGTCTCGTGCGGTGTTTTGCTGCTCAACCCTACCCCAACATCTGCCTTAAGGCGGTCTGACCCCCCAAAATGGCTAAAAAAATCCCCAAAATGAATGTTTGGAAGCATCCTGATGAATTATCCCGACCCATGTGGCTTGTACCACAAGCGCAGATGTGTCTGGGTTTGCTTTCCCCGACGAGTTTTTGCGGTTTGTGGTTGAGGTTTTGGTGAGGTTTCCCAAAAAACGGGAGCAAACAACGGGGTCTGCATGCCCAAAGTTGTGTTTTTCTAACCCAAAAGGACCTGCCAGGTGTCCCTGTGGAGCAGAGCAGGGTTGGGGTGCTGGGGAGGTGCTCGGGGCAGGGGTGTAGGATAAGGATAAGGAGGAGAGAAGAGGAAGAAGAGGGAGAGGGGGAGAAAGAGAAGGAGAGAGAGAAGGAAAGAGGAAAGGGGGAGGGAGAAGGAGAAAAGGAGAAGGAAAAGGGGAAACGGAAGAGAAAAGGGAAAGAGAAGAAGAAAAAGAAGGAGAGAAGAGGAAGAGGGAGATGGAGGAGAAGGATAAGGAGATGAAAAGAGGGGAGGGAGAGGGAGAAGAGAGAAGGAGAGGGAGAAGGAGATGAGGAAGGAGAAGGAGGAGAAAAGGGAGAGAGAGGGAGAAGGAGAAAAGGGAGAAGAAAAGAGGAGAGGAAGAGAGGAGAAGAGAGGAGAAGGAGGGGAGGAGGAGAGGGAGAAAGAAGGAGAGGGAGAGGGAGAAGGAGAGGGAGAGAGAAGACAGGAAGGGAAGGAGAAAGAAGGAGAGGGAGAGGAAGGAGAAGGAGAAGAAGAGGGAGATGAGAAAGGGGAAGGAGGAGAAGAAGGAGGAGGAGAGGGAGAGGGAGATGAGGGAGAAGGAGAGGGAGAACGAAGAAGAGAGGAGGAGAAGAAGGAGAAAGGAAGAGAGGGAGAAGAGAGGAGAAGGAGGGGAGAAGGAGAGGGAGAAGGAGAAAGGAGAGGGGGAGAGAGAGGGAGAGGACAAGGAGAAGGAGAGGAGAGGGAGAAGACAAGGAGAAGGAGAGGAGAGGGAGAAGGAGGAGAAGGAGAGGAAGAAGGAGAAAGAAGAGAGGGCCAGGACCTGCTGGCAGCCAGGCAGCCCCGGCGTGTTTAGTCTAGCAGAGCGAGGGCGGAGGCGGCGGCCGTGCTGCGGTTTTGTCCCGGGGAGCGCGCGGGCCCAGCGCCGAGCGGGGGCAAGGCGGCTCGCGGCCAAGTCTCGGCTGCGTGAAGAGCAAAGCGAGCTCTGTCCGCGCCTCACCGCAGGATTTCCTCTCCTTTGAGGCCGAGCCGTGTGCCCCCGCAGCTCCCCGAAGCTTTTTTTTTGCGTGTGTGGGTCTGCAAAAGGAGCTTTCCTTCAAGGCGCCTCGCTCCTAAGCCTCCCTCCAGCTTAAAAGTCAAATTCAGGAGGCAAAAATGGGGAGGCAAACACAAAGCTGTGCCCTACGCGGGCAGCCCGCAGATTTTGGGGTGATTTCGGGGTGATTTCATCATCACCACTCGTAATTCGCCTCCGGAGAGCCTCCCCAGGGTGCTCCCCAGGCCTGTCCAGCCACGTTCTCCTCCAGCTCAGGGATTTATTTCTAAACACTCACTAAACAGGGACACCTTTTTCCCCGCCGGGGTTGTGGGGTGGTTTGGGAGCTGTTTTTGGGATCCGACGTAATTTCCTTTAGCTCTGTGTTTGGAGAAGTGTGGGTTGGTGTGGGTAGAGCCGGTTTCTTTCCGTGGGCAGCCGCACGGTATCACTTCACAGCACGCAGGAGGAACAAGGACGATTAATACTCGGGTAATTAGAGCTCAGGATGAAGAGAAACACGTGCAGGACACCCAGGGAAGCAGCGAGGACTTGGTGTGCCACCAGCAGGGCAGGGCAGTGACCATCACCCCTGCTCCCTTTTCCCCTGAAAGCCCAGGGAAGCAGCAGGGTGACTCAGGGAGCTGTGCCCTTTCCCAGTGCCCGCCTGTCGCCAGCCATAAAGCCCTGGCTCGTGTCCTGCTGGGCCTCATTGTAAAAAAAAAAAAAAGAGGAATCGTGACCAAAAAGAGGATTTTGAGAAACCCACAGCTTCCTCATTAGGGCTCCGGGGCCCAGCCAGGTGCCCAGGGTTTCTCCGCTTCCCCGTACCGCAGCCCGATAACCCCGATTGCATTTCGGGTGCCCTGCCCATGAAACAACTCACACCAGACGAGGAGAAGGCTGTCGCAAATTTAATTGTACTTGGCAATCGAAACTGTACAAGACATTTACAGAGAACCACACGGCTTCGTGTCTATGTACACCTTTTCCTCCCACCTCCCGCACCGAGGGACGGGAACCCTCGCAGCCACCCGCGGCGCGGGGACAACAATTTGGCTTCGAGCGGAGCTGGTAGCGCTTTGTTTCTCCCAGCTGGCTTCTCACACCAATTCTTTGGACTGCTAGAAGGCGGCAGGGCCGCCCTTACGACTATGTACACTTCTACCTCTTCCCTCTCCCCATCTCCTCTGCCGCAGACGCTTCCCTTCTCTACCTTTCTACCACATGCAAAATCCTCTCGGCTGCCTCCAGCCTGCCCCCCCCCATGGAAGGGGCTTCATTTTCACCAAACAGTAACTACAAAAGCTACTTTCACTCCCTTGCTATTCCCCTCTACAGCTGCTGCTCTTCTTCCCTCCCCAAACCCTTTGCAACGTGCCTACAAAACACCTTTCTAGCCCCCCCCGTACAACGCAGTTCTCTTTCAGGAGTCCAGAGCTCAGCACAGCGCTAACGTTAACGCGCGTGTGCCTCTGAACAAGAAGGATCAAGTACTTGAAAGGAAATGCCAAGTCTGAAAGACTGAAGGTGACGAAAATACAAAAGTAAAAAAAAAAAGAAAACCAAAAAAAAAACCCCAAACAAGTATTTGAAACAAAAACAACTAATAAAAAAAATAATTAAATATGCGGCAGGTTACATGAGTGAAAAATGAGGAATGTACAATGAACACACCAGGAGGAAAGATTCCAGTAGGTAAATTGAGAACCTGTTGAACCTGGGGTCTGATTTTTTGTCTTTTTTTAAAAAAAAATAAATGATGGAAATTCACATGGGTGATGATATCCAGACACTGCAAAACATGCACTATTTGAGACAAAAAATATGTGACTCCAGCTTTTGGGCCCGCTTTAAAAGGGCTCCCGCAGCACGGATCCGAACTGTTCCCCTGCCATGGGACGCCACCAGGCTCGTGGTGAGGGCACCAACTTCTGCTTTAGGTTTCCCGTTTCCCAGCCTCAATCACCACGTGGCAATCTTTCAGAAACCAAGGTGTGCTCTTCAAAAAAAATCTGCCAGAAGCAGTCAAAAAAAAACCACGAGGGCTTCTGAATCACAGACTAAGAGCATAAAAACAGGGTCAAGAGTGGTTGCTTTAGGAAAAAACAGACTCCAGTTCAACAGTGTTAACTGTATACCAGTAGCTGCCATTACAACATGAAAAAAAAAAAAAAAGACACTTCTGTTCAGAAGAGCAAATCCAATCATGCTCACATGACAAGAAAAATGTACACGGTATTTATAAATAAACAGTCTTCCGCCGGGCTCTTCACACCAGCGTTTCTTTCCGCTTGCTGCTCAGCTGCTTCTCCCTCGTTTTCCTGTGCCCCACGAGCGTTCTGTGCGTTTTCACGCTCTTGGTTTCCTCCGAGTCCAGGACGGAGCCGCACTCGGCCATGCTCTCGTCCAGTTCCATCTCCGTAACGCCGGACTGCCTCCTCTGCGCCCTGACGTTGGGCACCGAGGGGTTGTTCTCCTCCGTCTCTTCGCTGAGCTCCGGCAGCTCCGGCAGCTCGGCGGCGGCTGCTGCAGTCCGCTGGAAGGGGGCGATGGCGGTTCGGATGCAGTTGACCCACTGCTGCTTGTGGAAGACGTCGTTGGCCTGCAGCGTGTGGGACTGGCCCGAGGAGGGGTCTTGGAAACGAACTCGGAAGATATTTTTAGCTGGAGGTAAACAAAAGGAAAAAGCAGATCAGTTCCTAGCTCGGTATTTAGAGATTCAGGCACGAGGCGAGCGGCCCTGCCTGACCCGCTCCGCTTCGGGGAAAGCGTTCAAAAATCCTACAAACATTCTCCCCAAAAAAAACCCAGCCTGGTCGCACTGAAATAGATGTTTTCTAATTTTAGCTCCAACCGCGAGGCGCCGTATGAAAGTTTATGGGCACCAGATCTAACACTGCAAGGCCCAGCAGCGAGTCTAAAGGTGGATGCAGACACGGCACATGCCTGCTGGGATCATCCTGATGGAGATCTGCTGTCCTCACCGCCAAGTGAGGATCCCCAGATGGGGTTGGGCCGTACCTTTATCCGAATTGCCAAAAGCTCCTCGGAAGGATCCTCCCATTTTCACATCGCCGTCCTGCAGGTCTTCGAGGAGCAGCTCCTGGACGGGGATGGGCTGGCGGTACACTTGGTATGACTGGCGCTCGTTGCGAGTCACCGGCCGGGTCAGAACCAGGATGTCTTGGAAGAGGAAGACGTAGAGTTTCTGAAAGGGAAAACATATCCAAGTATGAGCAAAGCCTTGTGCTCTATGCAAAGCGATAACACACCCTCTGGAATTCAAGGCCACCTTAGCTCGAGTCTCACGCCCACGGTAGCTTCCTGACAGTTGGTTACAGTAACTCAGCATGTACAACGCTTACACCATCAGGTTTATTATTTTGTGAGCCTTCAGAATTGATTTATGATTGCAGAAGGCAAGGAGGGGATAATTAGAAGCAGTTTGTTTGCTGACTATACAAAATGCTTCATGTGTCCTGCAGCGTAATGGCTGAATTAAACAAAAAACCTCAAAACAGCCAACCGAAAAATAAAATAACACAAAGATTTGATGTTTTAAACTGAGGTTACTCCTGTAAGCCAGGACAAAAGGCAGCAAAGCCTGGAGTACAGCAGGGTCTTTCAGCGCTGCTGCAGGAGGAGATAAACTCTTGGCAGTTCATCTCAAAGCCAAACAGGCTTTTGCAGGAACACTTTTGTTTGGAAGAGCTGTGCGCCAGCCTCCACAATGGGGAATGTCAGAGCACCTGAAAGTAAACAGGCAGCAGGAAATCCCTTTTGATGGAGTGCTAGAGCACAGAGCGCACTTTCTAAGGTAATTTTGTGCTAATTATTTTCCAGCTCCTTGAAGGCCAATTGTAAAACTGTCAGCAGGAAACTTTCCCTTACAGCCTGCAATGCAGCCTGCCATCAGGTCCTTTTTCCTCGGCTTTTTAAAGCGTAGGTAATTGTCTAGGCTAACCCTGGGGATGGAAGGGCTCCTGGTCCTGCTACCACAAGGAGTTTCAAATTGCCTTTAAGGGAAGGTTTTCAAACCTGAGAATTAATTACCATGAACACGAGGGACTTACATGCCCATTTTTATTCTTCAGCTCCCCGTGGCACAGCAAAGCTTTGCTGCCTTCAATCCTTGGGTCCTTCTGCTTCTCATCCAGGTATTCCAGCTTGTCGATGTAGTACTGGCACTCTGACTCCCCCTTCTTCAAGTTGATGTCAGAGAGGACTCCTTGGATTATAGATATCTGAAAAATAAAACATTTATAAATGATTAGACAGGGATCTATGGTTGCGTATCTTCTTGTATAACTTCTTTTATGTAGTTATTTTATTTAAAACCTCCCCGTGATGGAGTCCACGTGGACTGATCACCCATTTGCTTTCACAAGGGGTTAGTGTCACAGATTTATGTGATCTGAGAAAGCCACCCCACAAAATTGCTGGGGTTTTAAGGAAGCTTTCTGGAGCTCTAGAACAACATGGCTCTGTCAGAACAATGCTCATGAAATTGCTGTTACTTACGGCTTCTTCCAGGATCTGGATATCAGGATGGTCTTTGGGAGTGTGCCTCAGGATTTCTTTGAGGAGCAGCGGGTATTTGACCAGCCGACTTCGAGGAATGTCCAAAAAGCTCCAGAGGTCCAGCTTGCGGCTGAAAGGAGACTCGAGGCAGCGCTGAAGGAAGTCCTGCACTCTCCGGTCTTGTTTCTTCTGATCCAGAAGCGCTTTTGCTGCCAGCTGATTGCTACAGTAACCTTTGTAGGCATGGAGTCTCGGTAACTGCAGGAGGAGAAGAATAGCGTTGAAGAGTCAAATTCCATGCAGGAAAACCAAATCACATTAACATGTCAAGTTCGGGGAGTTCTACTTCCCTCACTGAGATATCTGGGCCCGATAAAAAAAAGCTAACAGATCATCCTGTATATGCAGCTAGCCTTTTGTGAGGAGAACAAGGGCGTCCTACATTCAATGCCTTTGAAGTTCAGATGTTTGAGATTAACAGCAACAGCACTACTGAGCTCACATCAGTTGCTAACAGTCCGGACAATGTAGACATTTCAAACATAAATCAGTAAGTAATTGCAGTCGCACTAGTGCGAGTCTCCCAGATGAAATTGTGGCCCATTACAGCTGACAGAGTCCCATTGTTTTCGGGGCAGTCAGGATTTCCGCCTCAATCTTTCACTCAAGGCCACAAAAGCCCGCAGCTTTTCAGCTTCCAGCTTTAAATGTTCTTTAAGCTCATAATCATTGTCAGCCTGGTGTCTGCGAGTTCTGTACTCACCCACTTCACGAGAATGGGCCCAATCTGCTCCACTGTTCCATCTGGTTTTGTTGCTTCTCCTAAACTTGCCAACAAGTCTGGAATTGAAACGCAGAATTAGGAACTGCCACAATGCCCCAAAAAACTATTCCGATGTGAGAAAGCACCGAGTGCAACTCCTAGTCAATGTATCCGGTTGTTCTTACCTTCATGCAGAGGAATATAAGAATCCAGGTCCCCAAATATGTGGGTGAGCTCCTCCTCGGACATGATGGAGAGTTTCAGCATAGGATCGTGATAAGCCTGTCAAAGGAAGTCCGTGTTAAAATGGATTCAGATCTCCCCCAGCTAAAAGCTGACGATATAAATATAAACCCGGGGGATGTATCAAGTGCAGGACAGATTTGAAGTGAAGCCGAAACAGTAACATTGACTTGGGTGATGTTACAACATTGTTTTAACAACTCTGTATCAAGGCATCAAGGCCTAAAAAGGAGAAGGGCTTTCCTGCCTGAACTGTTCTCATCTGGGAGAGGAGATCCCCAACCAGCTGTGCAGGACTGCAAAGCCTGATTGTTTTAGGGCCGAATTTGTTGCAATCAAAGCAGCACTGGTAGCACAAATGCTTGCTTCAACTTTCCAGGAGAGTTTCCAAAAGGTGGATTCTGGGCCTGACGCAGCCGATGTGTAATGTTTGCAGGGGTAAGTAAACTTAATTATCTGCAATGTGATTAGTGACTGCAGGAAAAAACCACTCACCTTTCTGGCAAGCTTCAGGTCCTCAATTAGGTCCTGCTCTCCTCTGGACATTTCATAGATGGCCTGTGAGGAGGGGGATAAAAGCATTGAGGGTCATTTTTAATCCCTGTTTTCCTCCAAAGGAGCTTTTCAGCTAACATAATGTCTACACTGTCTCCTCGCTTTTGCCATGTGAATCACTTCACGCCACCTGGGCACGACAACCCCGAGTAAATCTGCTGGCTTTCCCAGCTTGGAGAAAGCCACATTACTTCCAACTGTGTGAAAGCTCTGACGCTCACGCACAAGCCAAATTAAATATTAGCACCTTTTAAATCACTGCTTTTACACAGGCAAGTAGGAAAAAAAACAAAAAACACAAAACCCAGAAAACCGCGGAGGTCAAATCCCAGGCGTCTTTAGTCAGCTTCTGTGTTGTCAGGAGAAGATTTGTCTAAGAACTACAGGGAAAAGGCAAGCCAAGGCCTCGCTGTTTGGCTCTCAACCAATTGTCAAGAGCTGGGAGAGAAAGACAGCTGGCTTTACAAGGAACCCGACTTTGGGTCTGCTGCAAAGCAACCAGCGTGGCTGGGGCTCAAATTTCAGAAGCGCTGAGCACCCCTGTGAAAAAGTTTGGCATCTCTGAAGGGTCGAACTGGGGAGACGAGCTCCCTAGTGACTCGAGAGAGAGCAGCCTACCTTTTCCCATGCCTGGCACCGAAATAAATCTAGTGGTTTAGAAATGAAGGTGCACAGGAAGGCACAATCACCCACAGATGCTCGCTACTCCTTTTCCCACCAAGGAAAGGAACCAAACCTCTGCTGCTTTTGCCAGTTCTTACCTCCTGGCGCTTGATTTCTTTGGTGCTCAGGGATTCTTTCATGTTGACGTCTAGCATCTCAGACCAGAGGACACTGTTTCTTCTTTTAGGAGGGGTGGGAGCAGCGGATCTGCTGCATGACTTCTGGGCACAGCCAGGGGATTTGCTGTCGCTGCGAAGGGCGAATGACTGCAGGGATTAAAGAAAAAAAGAAAAAAGTTTTTAAAAAAAGAGCCTAGAGTTCAGAAGTGCAGCAGTATTACCCACACCCCTCCCAATCCTTCATCCTCCTCTGCTGCACAGGGCAGGAAAACACACCCAGACACTTTTCCTCAGATAAAGGAACACTTTAATCAGGCTGCTGAGAAGGACCCGAGGGCCCTGAGCCTGGCAATCTTTTCCATGTGCCTCTCCTGCATCGATCCAGTGGCGGCAGCGTTGGGGAGGAGAACAGGGAGATAAAGCTTGGGTCTATTTCCAAGGTATGAGGAAGTAAATAAATTGGGATCATAACGCTGCTCATACTGGGGTGAGTCAGATGGCAGTCGAACTTTGCTCCCGTGATCTGCAACGGTGTTGCAAGAGGCAGAGCAGCGATCACACCTGGACACAGGCGGTTCCTCGGGCAACACGTCCCTGACATCATCGCTCAGCAGCGAGGGCAGCTCGCTCCTATCTAGCTACGAGCTCCCAGACCCTTATCTCAAGGGCTGCGACGGGTTACCAACACCGTTCTCCTTATCTGAAGTTTATTTCTGCTTCCCTCCCTAAGCCCTCGAAAACACAGAGAGCCACCTCTGAACTCCTGAACTCTCCTTCATCCCCGAGCAAGCTTTCTGGCCTTGTGTGAATCCTACAGGTTTTCAAAAGCTGCCTGGAAATCCCAGTGCCTGTTTCTGCCCCCTGCCACAGCCAGTATCACCCCACACGTCCACAGAGGACGAGAAAACTCTGCTTTTTACCTGGATTGTCTGCCCAAAGCGCCGAACTGCACCATTTCTTACAGGAGAGATCAAGTTCGCCAAGGATGTGACCCGTGCTAAAGGCCGAACCCGTTTATTGCTTGGCTCCTGTAAATAAAGCAGAGAACAAATTGTACTGGCTGTGACTCCCACTTCATTTCTCAAGCTGTCCAGGCAGGTTTAAAAAGCATGAACACCCCAAAGGAATGGGAAACACTGCAAAGAAAGCGTTTTGAAGTAGCCATTCATCTTAAATGGAAAGCAGGGGCTGTAAATATTTGTCTGAACTTTAGGGCTACAATTAAAGCTGCAAAAAAAACCTCTGCCCAGTGCAGAAGAGGCAAGATAACTCCCACGTCAGAATTCAGGATTAGGCTCAAACAGAAATAGACCGAAGCACTCTGCTGCTTGACAGGGCAGGCGACTCATCTAAAGATGGAGCTGCGATCTGCTGTGCCCTTTTATCATGTTTTCCTTTGTCAAAAGAATGTGTTTTTCCATTTTAATTTGATTTTGGAGAGAAAAGTAGCAGTCGGAGCCCAGGCCGGCCTCAGCAGCTCTTCTAACAAATGGCAAATGACCGCATGCTGAACATTCCTGCGAGGGCTACGCACACTCGAAGCAGATGAAGTTTAAAACCAAAAGGTTTTTTACAAAGCTTCCTCCCCCTCCTGCTCTGCCCTTCCCCAGCGACTCATCATCGTTTTTCATCTCCGTGTTTAGATCTGAAAGGCAGAGCTTCTGCTTTTCTACGCTGCTAATCCACGCCAGGAGCCCGGAGCATTTTCAACGCTGCCCCGACCTGAAGGCTGCCAAAAATGAGGAAGTGTCCCCAGGAAACCTACGGGTGCTCGAGCTCTGAGCGGGTTTTAACATCACGCTGACAACCCCACGAATTTTGGATCAAGATATCGAGGCTGTAGGATCAAGGTATCGTGCCCAGGGAAGGTGCCCTGGTGCTCCTAAGCACCTGGCAGATGTTGGTGTGACTCATCAGCACAAGGAAGTTTCTTCATTAGGATAAATTGATAGAAACTTTTATTTTTATTTATTTCTTTTTTTTTTTTTTTACTCCCATCTCCCTAGAAACTTTCCCCAAACTTCATTAGGTGTTTTTGGTTAATTACAGCTAAGTTTCTCCGCTCCTGTATCAAAGACTAGAAGGTGAAGGCTTGCTTAGGCCAAACTTTTTAACATCTCCATCTCCAGCCTGAGGTTGCAGGACTGGGAGCCCGAAGCCTCTGCTCCTGCACAGCACCAGGAGCTGAAAGCAGAAAGGGGAACAGGAACCTGCAGCGAGAGCTGGGTCCCAGTTAGGGCTGAGGAAGCCGAAGCAGAGAACGAAGACCTCTCGGCACCACTCAAAGGGTGTTTGAGGCTGTGCTCGAAACGTTTGGGTAGTCTCAGGATTACAGAGGCGCTGCAGGAAAGGGGAAAGCTCCAAGAGGGCACCCTTGAGCATGGGCCCGACCCTCAGAGGGTTTAGGCACAGCAGCAGGGACGCTGCAGGCACTTGGCCCCTCTGCCAGCCTCGAGCTCTCAGGAAACGTTGGTTGGGAAAGGTTTATCCAGCAGGCCGTGCTCAGGAAACGAGGAAACTTTAATTACTTACAGACGTTTCTGGCTGCAGAGAAAGGAGAGGTAATTCAGTTCTCTGAAAGCACGTACCCGTGTACTGGGAGAAAGGGGAGGTGAGCCAAGAGAAGCGTAAGAAACTACAGGAATGCGAGCAGAAAACATACAGGCGTGAGCCACACACAGCTCGGGCAAGGCCAGGGGTATAAATAGCATGGAAAGGAAAAAATGTGACACTGAAAATGAGCAGAAAGAAGCTCGGTGCTTTAGGATGCTCCTACTGGTATTTTGTAGCCTTCTGGCAGCACAGCCAGAAAGGAGATAGAGTGACACTGGTGTGAAATGAGTGACAGTGTCTGTGTGAAGGGACACGTGTGGATGCCTTCCCCGCACATCTGTGACACATGCAGGAGGCCTGGCGGAGGGCATTCCTGCCTCTGCTCGGGTCCGGAGGCACAAAGAGGCTCCCTGTCCCAGCGGGACCTTTTGGAAGAGCAGCTGGGAGGCACCGAGACGGGCTGGGAGCAAAAAGCTCTGCTCTTGTGAGCAATCCTCTGCTCTGCAGAGGGAGGAATTTCGCAGATGGGCAAGACCCCAGTGTTTTCTGTCCATGCCCTGTGCTCCCTCGGGGTGTTCGGCCAACAGAAAGACTTCTGTGCGCTACAAAAGTGCTCAGCAAAAGGCCGTTTCCCCTCTCTTGAAAAGAAATCCCACTTTCCGTCCTGTCTGGGACAGGAATGGTTTTCGTTGCCAGCAAGCTGCATCTGTTTCTTCTTCTCCTTCCAACTCTATCACTCGATCCGAGGCAGGCAGCCCCCCTCTCAGAAGCCTCACCTTCCCTGTGATCTGCGTTTCAGCCGGGGGTGACGTGCTGCGAGCCTCCGCCTGTGCTCGAGCTCAGCCGCGGTGTAAGCTGAGCCTCGGCGTGGTTCATGCTAGGGATAACTTTGGCTCAGGGCTTTTTTTTTTTTTTTTAGTTCTGTACTTGCAAACAATGAGCAGACTGTCTCCACGCCGTATTCCTTACAGCAGCCGGGATTAGAAGCGAGTCTGCGACGTTTCCGTCACAAGTTAGCAGCGGTGAGCACTACAGCCCCCACGTAATTAAACCCTGGGGAGTTCACAGCTCTCCTATTCGCATTTTTTTCCCCCCTCAAAGGGACTCTTGATTAGAAATGAATATAAATACGTTGTGAACGTCCACACAAAACTTAAGTTGTTCCCCCAGCAGCACGCACACACGCAACCTTTCCCCCGCGCTGGGTAATAATTAGTGGGTTTTACAGGGCTCATTTAGCAGAGGACAATGCTCCCCATGCCAGCCCCGTCCCCAGCACATACAAACTCGGTGACAAATCGACGAACCGCACGCAGCCGAGGTCGTATTAATTAAACCTGGTATGCAGCAGGTTTTAAGTCACCAACTCGAATATTCCTTGCCTGCAATCATCGCCACCTGACTATCTTTAAGATCCACGTGAAAGCTGAGCAAAGCTCACCTCTGTCCCAGCCACCTTTACCTGTGCCTGATGCGAATCCCTCACCCTCTGCCTTTCCCAAATCCGGGGGGCTGCTCACCAAAATTGGAGTGTTCAGCCCCAAAATTTGGGGGATCCTGACACCAAATGAGTACCCGGCACCACCAGGAATATCGCTCAGGGGGCATCGCTCGAGCCCTGACCCACAGCTTCACACCACACTGGTTACACTGTACCAAACCCACACATTTTAACAGTCAGAGGCGATTTATTCATATTTATAAGTCCTGCCTTATTTCACTTCTCTCCCAGCACCCGTTTCCCCTTTCACTTCTCTCCCAGCACCCGTTTCCCCTTTTGCAGGAGGAGATTGCCCAAATGGGATTCTTTTAAAGCCAGGGCTTTAATGTGGGAGCTGTGTGTGCAGCGTGCTGGCTACAGAGCCGCCCGGAGCTCCCTTGCCCTTGTCCCCGTGCAGGGCAATAACGCCCTGCCCAGTGCCACTGATCCCTGCCTGGCTGCTGAACTTTGCCTCCAGTCCCTGCAGGAGACGTGCCACAGCCTCCCCTGAACGCAATTACCCTCTCTGGGTAACACCAGGGTTCAAAACCAACTCTGTCTATAGAAAAAGAAAAGCCACCAACACTTGGGCTTTGGCTCCAGGTCCTAATAAGGCAAAATCCTGGCAGCGGGAGGAGACGGCGCACGGAGAGAGCCCCCCGGAGCAGCCCCGCTTCACCCCCCGCCCTCAGAGCGACCCTCCTGCAAGAACCTTTAACAAAAAATTGATTTTTTAAAAATTTTAACTCACAACCTACACCTCAAGGCGGGTCCAGGACACCACCTAGCTCCTCGCCGCCCCCAAACCCACCTCTTTTACCCTCAAAACCCCTCCGAGACCCCCAAAAACCCGCTCCCCGACCCTTTTTTTCCCCTCGTTCTTCATCTCCGGCTCACCTCCTGCTCCCTGAAGGCTTGATTTTGGGCGTCGATGACTCGGATCGTCCTCTTGACGGGCAGCAGCCCCCCGAGCTCGCCGGGGGCCACCATCGCCCCGCGCCCCCTGCCGCCCCCCGCCGCTCTGCGCCCGCCTGCCGCGCCGCGCCCCGACCTCACCGCAGGGGGCGGGGCCAAGCCCTAGGCCCCGCCCCCAAGGCCACGCCCCCCTCCCATAGCCACGCCCACACCCCAGTCAGGATCCCCTCCCTCCCCCCCCCCCGCTCCCTTTCCCTTGCCTTTTTTTCTCCTAAAATCCTTAAAAAACGCCCCAAAACAGGATGCCCGGGAGGTTTTGCTTTAAGGGGGTGAAGGTGTGAGGGGCGAGGGGTGCGTTCCTCACGTTTTGTGACAGAAAGTGGTTTGGAAAACCCACTTTTTCCAATTTTTTTTTCACCCTTTGGGTTAAAAATAAGCAAATTAAAAGGCATGTTTAGGTTTTGGGGCCGTTTCCCTGCTTTTTCTCTGTTGGTATTCGTGGTGCTGAGGCTCAGCCGCCCCCCGGGGCTGGCGGCGGGATGTTTCTCCTCACGGTCTCTCCTTCGCTGCCGCCACAGGGGCGTGAGGCGGTGGCCGCCACAAACTTGTTTTTTTTTTTTTTTTAACCAACCTCAACCTTCCCTGTTCCAAAACCCCAATTCTTGCCCAAACCTGTGCTTTTAAGTCTGTTTTCGGCTCCCCAAGCCCTGCTGGCAGGGGTAGAGCCACCCCCCCCCCACACCTCTCCTCACAGGGGTGCCTGCCCCAGCAGGCCCGGGCCTTGTAGGGTTTTGTTTGTTTGTTCAGCCCTATTATTTCTGGCACCGACACAAATCTCTGAGGTAAAAAAAGGGCTCCTGTGCTGGTGGAAACACACCGAGTCATGTCAGCCTCTCCCCCGGCCTGTTTTGGTTTGATTTTTGGCCCTCTTTGCATCTTTTGGGTGGAAAGCTTGGAAATCCAGGCTCCTTGAACCTCATTTGGGGGTTGGCAATGTTTAGGGTCGCCCAAAGCAGGGTTCTCAGAAAGTTGAGGTCTTTCAGGTGCTGGTCAGCCAGGTCACCTTCTTTCCTGAGAATT